TCCCCATAAGCATCGTAGATCTGGCGCTTCTGCGGATCAGACAGGACCTGGCTCCCGTGCTTGCGCTCTGTGTTCTGGACTGTCAACCCTAACTAACGAGCTTAAAACAGCGATGCGCATCCCTGTCCATCCAGAAACCGCATTCTGAAGCGATAACGGGAACCATGTCATCTCTAGGTCATCATCTGTTTAACCTCTAGCACATCCTCAAGAGTGTTTGTGGGCGGGCTCGAGCTTCTACCCGCCTCGTATGCTTTGGAGACGTCCTTGAACTTTGCCTCGTCCCCGCCCCGATCCGGGTGGTGCCTCGGTGCCAATACACCTGCCTCACCTTGCCATGTTACAACATGAGGCTCGGTCTTCATCGCCTCTTTTTTGTAGGCTTTCTTGATCTCTGCCTCATTGCGAGAGTCCGTCGACGAATCTCAATCTGAATGGATCGTGCCTCATCGGCGCCGCGGCTGATCCCCAGCAGCCTCCGTTGAGGCAAAGTCGCAGCATGGCTCAGGTCGGGCGCTGTCACATCCTGAGGCTGTCGCTGATACAGCCGGTCGTCTCCGCTCTGAGGTGCGCCTGGCAAATTGAACCTCCCTGCATGTCTAGAAAGCTGCGAAGCAGCCTGCCCCAACGGGTGCTGCCGGAGAAAAACACCGCTGGTGCATATGTGACGCCTCCCCCGAAGCCGCCGAAGCCACCGAAGCCATCGAAGCCTGGCAGAGACGGCGCTGTAAAGGAAATGGCCCCCAAGCTCATGTTCAGCCTGTGACCAAAAGCAACAACTGTATGCCTCGAATTCCCATGTCACAAAATGGGAAGTAAGAAACAATGTTGTGATGTATTTGAAATATCATATTGATACATATGCAAATTTGCATTGCATATGCTCGAAAAAACTCACTCCGCCCCCCCCCCCCCCCGGCTCCCATGAACTACCTTTGCAGCATATGTTGTAGCCAAACTGCTAAAAACCTATGTGGGGACTTATCAAACTCCATTTGAATGGCAATTCACTTTGATTAAGATAATATGTTGAAAGGAGTTCCTACTTAAGTTCTAAATCACCACAGCCATTCAATTTAATTATGTCCTTCTTCAGTTCTATCAAGTTCTGTCAAAATCCTAATTCAATGTTTATTCAAATATCTAATCAATGTCAAACAGAAATCAACATTTCAATTCTAATTAGCAGGCTACTTATAGTTGAGTTCTATCCATGGAAAGAGTGCCCCTTTCAAATATCATTGAAGATAGACAGTGTAGTGGAACTCTTTCCTTATTCAACTCTACGTATCTTCTACCAGTTAATCTTACGAGCAACTAAATATCATGTGGAAAGGAACCCCCTTTAAACTCATTAAACAGAAATCATATCATTCAACTCTTCGCGTGTTAAAACTTTAGTCAAACTTCAATCAGAATCCAATTCAGTATATTGAGCCTTAGCTTTATACTTAGCTTGTACAGTATTGCAGGGAGCTTTGTAAAGAGCTTTGTAAAGAGCCGTTCAAGCAGTCTTATCAGCAGCTTTACGAGTGAGCTTCGCAGGGAGCTTTGTAAGCAGCTTTATAGAGAATTGTACAAGGAGTCTTATATGGAGCCTTCTCAGGAAGGAGCCACTTCATTTAGGAGTCTTACAAGGAGCTTTACAGCGAGCCTGAGAAGCTTAGAAGGACCTTACAAGAAGCGCTATAAGGAGCCCTTGAAGGCGCTTTATAGCCCAAGAACTCTACGTTTGCCCGCGCCCCCGCCCCCCGCCGCAAAACGCAGGTTGCCAGCTCAGCTTTGTTCTTCAGGGAAGACACATAGCCCCCCCAGAAGACACATGCCCCCCCCCACCCAGAAACCCGAAACCCCCCAACCCTAAACTGTGTTGCTAATCAACAAAGAGAAGACACATTGCCCCCCCCACCCAGAAACCCGAAACCCCCCAACCCTAAACTGTGTTGCTGGTCAACAAAGAGAAGACACATTGCCCCCACCCAGAAGCCCGAAACCCCCCAACCCCAAACTCATTGCCCCCACCCAGAAGCCCGAAACCCCCCAACCCCAAACTGTGTTGCTGGTCAACAAAGAGAAGACACATTGCCCCCCCGCCCAGAAACCCGCAACCCCCCAACCCTAAACTGTGTTGCTGGTCAACAAAGAGAAGACACATTGCCCCCACTCAGAAACCCGAAACCCCCCAACCCCAAACTGTGTTGCTGGTCAACAAAGAGAAGACACATTGCCGCCCCCACCCAGAAACCCAAAACCCCCCAACCACCATACCCCTGTGCGGCAACTGCTGATCTGTGGGCGAACGTGACATTCTGCGGGGACTTGTTGAATTCCATGCTGAAATCAAAAACACTAGATGCACTTCAAACAAAACCAAACTGGGGAAACCACCAAAAGCAAAGACGAAAAATGAACACACAAACAATGGACTCGGAGGAACAGGATTGGTGTTTCCAAAATTGTTGTTTTCGGCGATTTCTCGAGGTGCTTCGTTTTGTTTGGTTCTCCCTCAGTTTGTAGCTGTTTGCGTGAAAACCGAGAAGCTCGATCGATGCTTCTCTGTTTTTGGACTTATGAGATTGAACACCACGAACAACAACAAAAACGAGAAAACACAAACACCTCGGGTTGTTTGCTTACTAAAAACAAAATTATCGCATTGTTTTGTTTTTGATTTGACAAAACAAAAAACCTGACGGTAAACCCAAACACCTCGAGAAACACGACAAAAACACAACTTTTGGCAAGCCCAAAACTGTTCCTCAGAGTTGTTTTGTTGTTTTGGTGTTTCGGAATCAGCTTTGCTTTGAACGTCGCTCTTATCACAAAAAAAACACAGTGTGTTCTTTACATAAAGTTGAGGCACAGCGACAGAGGTAGCTCATGGGGGGTGACCATATATATATATATATGTATATATATATATATGTATATATTATATTATATCTGTATATATATATATAATTGTAGATATATATATATATACACATGCGTGCTCTGTTGCAAGGCTCGAACCAGGTAGAGGAAGAGCTTGCAGAAGAATTCGGTCATTCGGGGTGACTGGATGCCAGTACTCTCAAGACCCCTACACGCATCCTGCCTGGTTCATGCAAACACCCACAGCTTGCAACGGCGCAAAAGGCAGCCCTGACAAGAAGCCACTGCCTGCAAAGGACCGGCGACCTTGCCAAGAAGCGCCATTCAGCCTGGCGAGAGATCTGTACCAACCTCTGCCATGCTCAGATCTGAGAGCAAAACGATTTGGCAGAAGCAATCGCTGAGGCTCTTCTGGGCAATGCCTTGGCAACCAAGCAAATTGCTTAGGCTCAGCTGGACATGCTGCGGGTGCTTAACAGAAGAGGCGGTTTTCAATGAAAAGCGAGCCTGAAGCAATCGACACGGAGGCATGCAAGTGGCTTTGGCTGAAAGCCAAGATCATGCTTGAGAAATTTGAAGAGCACAAAAGCACAGGGCTCAGAAAGCTAGCAGCGGCTTGACTAGGCACCATTCAAACTGCAGCCACCTCCTGAACATGAGATTTACCTGAGAGACAGGCTCGGGCCAAAGCTGCCGAGGCCGACATGGCCTGACCAGCATTCGGGTCTAACAGTCTAATACTTAGCCGTTGCCTGTGCACGCCGCAAGGCAAGGTTCATTGTAATTCCTCTTGGCACTTTAACACTTTATAGCATGGCCCTTTCCTTCCAGTGGGGCGATGTTGGAAGGAGGCTCATAGCGCCAGGTCGAAAATTTGAGCATACCCGAACACACACACACACACAAACACACACGAGGCAGGGCATTCAAGAATCAGAAGCAGAGGTGTATAAGCGTGCTTCCAGCAGTTGGTAAAGAAAACAGCTGGTTGGTTCATCAAAGCCTTGGTTGTCAGCATGCGTCTTTTGGCCTTTCTCCCGGGCTGTTCTTGGAACTGCCAATATGTCCATGGAATGAGGAATGCGCATCAGTCCAGGGATGCCAAACCAACTCAGTGCTTCCAACATCTCTCACCCACGTTTCAGCGGCTCACCACCCCTCCTTGCCCCACTGCGGCCCTGAAGGCCAAGCGCGCGAGGCGCGGAAGGATCAAAACGCAAAAATGGACGCTGTTGACTTCAAAGTCACAAGTCAAAGCATAACTTCAGGTCAGGGTGGGGATCTGTCCTCTCCAAGCACTTGGAAAATTGGCCTGTTTGCACAGTCTGTCTTTGTTGCTGCATCTCGGCGGAGCCATGATTGTTGCTGAGGAATTGACGATACTGCAAAGATTGCTCCGTGGCAGGCACTTATCGCCAAAATATGCGCAACCCTTCGCTAGGGTTTGAGGATACTGCGGAGCCATGGCACGTCCTTGCGCGGCACCACAGTCAGCAAAATGCCACGATCACACATGCAACAAATCGGACGAGACACGCACGCGCACACACACACACACACATGAACATGAACATGAACATAAGCATAAACACAAACATGAACATGACACACACGCACACAAGCACACACGCACACACGCACACACGACACACACACACACACACATAGACACACACACACACACACACACACACACACACGCACGCACGCACGCACGCACGCACGCACGCACGCACGCACGCACGCACGCACGCACACGCACACGCACACGCACACGCACACGCACACGCACACGCACACACACACACACACACACACCAATGACAAACGGGAAGAAAGGTAGTTGCAAGTACGTCAGTGAGCCTTGTTGATGTCAGTGCCACACACAAGCCTCTTCCTTGGGCTGGTACTTGTGTGGGCAACCAGCCCCCCTCCTGCTCAGTCCAATGATGCATAATCGAGCTCACACACACACACAACCTGCAACAATCTCGGATCTATATAGGGGTGTTTATGTCTTATATGCTAGTAGCCCTGTCACACGTTCAGTTGGGAAATGGCTTGAAACGGCAGGCTCTAAGGGTGCCGACAAAGTTCAAGCTGGGTAGCTGCGCAGCCCCTCTTTTCACCGGATCTTCCCCGAGGCGCAAAGCGGCTCTCGCTCAGGCCGCCTCAAAGGTCAGCAGCTCGGCGCCCGCGGGGGTCCAGGCCTTGCCCGACATCTCCCGGGGTTGATAAAAGGACCCAGGCAGCGCCACCCGCGAGGTGAGGCGCAGCTGGGCGTCCGAGGCCACGCCATTCACATCCCAGTCTTCGTACTGGGAGGAGAGCATCACCAGCTGGATGAGGCCACCTTCCAACAAGAACCCCCCAGAGGTGACGCTGGTAAAGAAGTCCCGGAGCAACCTGGAGTTGCAGGGGTTCGGCGCCCGACTCAGCGAATACCGGGGGAAGGGGAAGACCACTATGTGGAAGCCGCCTTCGATGCCCTGCGTCCTGAGCGTGCCTCCCAGGGGCCAACGCCATCGAAGAAGCCACGTGGTTCCTGCTAATTAATCCCTGTGTTTGTCGACCAAAGTCCCGGATGCGGTTCCCCGAAGATCAGGCTGGGGCGATAACTTCAAACTGTCATTGATGCGGCAATGTCAGCATCCTCCCCCTTCCAGACAGTGGATGAAACTGATTTCATGCAACCCCCGAAGACGAAAGAGTAGAACCAAGCAAGCAGCGAGGCAGACACAACGATGCAACACAAACGTGAAATGACATCATGCATTCAAATTTCAAAGGCAAGTATGGGTTAAGCTTAGGGCCCGGAGATTGAAGAGAAAATTGTCAGGTTTCAGAGAGCCAAATAATTTTTAAGCCGTTCGACTTTGACGTATGCATGAGGGGGGGTCTAGAATTGAGAGCCACGTGACATCCGCCATAAGGGGTTGGTTTGGATGTTTCAAGGAAACCTAGAGGAAACCAACCATCTTGCTATCTTACTTGAGGGGGGTCTCCCATTTCGGAACCACCTATTTCTCCGTTGACGGATAAAATCCAACGCCAACGTGGATGAAGAAACCCCGTAGTGAGAATACACCAGCTGCCAACTGCAGGATTTTGTCCCACGGCAAGAGACCCGGCGTTTTGGGCAGTGGTGGAGTTGAGATTGACCCAAACCCCCTGCACCTTCCAGGTTTGTGGCGTCCACACTGTGCAGCACCTCCGCCCCCAGCGCCCTGACAGACGAGTCGCGGGTATCCTAAAATCTCCCCGATGACCTTTGGCCAGCAAGCTCATTTGGAACTGGCAACCAGTTTTGCCTAAAGCCGATCGAAAGGGGAGATTCCAGGAGTTGGAGTCCAATCATCGATGGGTTTTGGATCCCGAGATGTTATCCAGGGAGCCAAATGTGGCTGAATTTCAACAGAGGACTCCAAAGTGGCTGGTGGAGGCAGATCCCCACCATGATGTCCCCAATTCAAATTCATACCTAAATTGTTGTTGGAAAACAAGGAAACCCACAAATCCCCGGCTTGTAAACGAAAACAACACCCCGAAACCTGCAGTTCCTTACCCAAATGGGCCTCAGGCGGCTGATGTTTTTGTTCAGCGCCCCAGCCATGCCAGGCAAAGACTTGCGGCAGTAGGTCGCCCTCTCCCCGTCGTCCGCCGGGTGCACCTCCACCTCACTGGGGTCGTGCTCCGCGAGGTAGGAGGTGGCCACCATGACTTTCCTAAGGATCGGAAGATTCTTTTCGGGACCTGCCAATCTCGGAATGATCACTATTAAAGGGTCCGTTGCCTTTCTTTGGCTCTCATCATTTTGTTGGAAGCCTGCCATGAAAGTCTGGGATTGTTGATTTGCAGGGGATTCGGAAACAATGGCATTTGTTTGGATAGTGCTTGAATAGAAGCCAATACGTCACACCTTGGCATGTGTCACACACGTATTTTGTTTGTTTGGTTCTCATGGAATCCGGAAACCAATCTGGCTCAAAGAAACCTTTTGCGCCCCTTCATGTTTATGTGGGGACTTAGCAAGGCCCGCCACCCAGAGCGGCAACAGGAACATTTGCGCAAAACAAAGGCACGCGTTGCTGGCGAATCAGAGGCTCCCAAAACCCGGTGGCTTTCTACTCCCTGCTAAAAGTTTAACCTTTAGTGGCTTAATGGAAAACAAGGTAAGGTCCTAACATCCAAGCAAAATGCACAGAAATTCATGTTCATGGTCTTGTTTGGCCCAAAAAGCTTGTTTTGCGTGTTCATGTTCTTTCCAGGGAGCCGCTTCCCCCGAACCTTTTGACTGGTGCCCATATCACAAACATTGCCATTCTGAGCGGCCCCGGAGGCCGGAGATTTGCCACCGCCAGGGAAAAGGAGAAATCCATCTCCCCAAGCGTCAGCACTGCCGGGAACTCCCCAAGATCATCCTGCCATCGCGATGCACTTGTTCTCCGCGTAACATGGCTTCTCACGATGTACAACATAATACGATACAACAATATAGAAGACATAATACGAAGTATATCATATATCATACAATGTGGTACAACATGCTGTCATGTCATGGAGTCGGGCGTGTTGGCAGCGTGGTCGCCGAATCGCCCTCAAACTCCGACGCCCGACGTCTTCGCCCTTGAAGCTCTGAAACTCGGCGTCTTCGCGTCCTCGGCTGAAGCTCCGAAGCTCTGAAGCTCGGCGTCTTGAAGCGAAGCTCAGGAGCTCTTAAGCCCTGGGAAAAGGGGAACGACCGGGGAAGGGGAAGCCGGGAAGGAGACCAAAGGGACGAGCAAGGGACGAAGGGGCGACAAGGAAATACCAAGGGGCCGGGCCCAAACAAAAACAGAATGCGATGAAAGAAAACAAAACATGGGTGTCCGCGATTTTCCGCCGCTAGGTCCTCCTTGTTACAAGCGAGTTTATCCCAGTCCAGAAGCAAGTGCTTTCAAACTATGAGGATAGAAGGTTCCACCGCGACACGTTCACTTGGTAGAGTTAAACCTGAGGGGTGGCTGGCAAGGGGCATGCGGTTCGGCGCAGTTTGTTGAACTGACAAGCGCAAACACCAACCTGGGTGTCCTAGATTGGGATTGTAGGGGTTTGGCAGGAGCAAGAGGAGGCGCTGACGGATGAGGATGGGGAGGGGGGCGAAGCAGTCAAGGTACAGGACAGCCAAGAACAAAAGAACAAATGATTCGAGCCTGGCGCGAACATTTTTGCTCTACTGTGTTCAACGCAAAGAGGGGAAGCCATCTCGCATCGGCGGAATTTCGTGACAGAAAATTGCGCCCCCCTCTGACGACAAGCTCTGCCGCAACCAGTCACTCCTGACGCAACCTCGCCTGCGTGGCTTCTGGCATGTCTTGGCCAGCCCCGGTTCGAGGAAACCCCTGCCATGTTGCACACGCTCTCAGTAATTTGTCGGGAAGGGCGCGAAACGGAAACTGATAGACGGCGGCGTTGACCACCGCGTACATTGCCAAGGCGAACTCATCGAGGACGATCTCCGTCCGCTTCAGCCGCGCAGCGCTAGGAGTCCTGGACAAAGCAAACTACGGCTGCGGGAAACCAAACGCCCCGCGTTCGCCGGCAACCAGTCGGACCGCACGCGTGCAAGAGCAAGTGGCTTCAGTGGTCCGTTCCAAAAGGAGGCTTTGCCCAGGCAGCAGCTGCCTCTGTGCGCCGCACGCCCTGTTGCCCGCCCTCCACCTTTGGCGGCCAAAACAAGCTGATACCGACACTTCATGTCACCCATACTAGCCCGGGTAAAAGCTGCCGGTAAGTTCTTGGACGCGCGACGCAGCCGAGCAGCAAACTCTGCGCGCCTCTCGCTTGGACGCCGCCCGCTTCCGCTCTTGGCGGCGCATCCGGCGGTTGATCTCGCTCCGTGCGGCGCAACCCACCACACTCAGATCTGGGCTCCTTCGCGGGACCTCCAAAACATCCAGGCAAGCGGCTCTCTTCGCTGCCACACCCCATTTGCACTTGAAGCCCGCGCGGGGCCATTGTCTTCCAGAACGCAGAGCCACCTTTTTGCGGGCCTGTGTACATGCCTGCAGCTCTGGGTGCGTCAGAGCCGCAGCATGAAAATCCCACTACCCAGCATTTCAAGACCTCTGGAGGTCTCCTGGGAAATCCTGAGGCGACGGCCGCAAGAGAAGCGCAGGAGACACAGCGCAAGTGTTGAAACCGCCCAACTGGGCGGTGACTTCCGGCCAGGCTTCTTCAAAGGCGAAGCCTTCGCTTCGGAAAAAATCTTCCTCTCTCCAAGGGGCCGCAGCTCCTCCATTGGCTGGGCCTTCGTCAACTTCGGCGACAAAACAAAGTTACTTCGGGCTGCGCCTCAGCCCTCCAGCCGCCAAACTCCCCGCGGGCCTTGCGCGGCCTCAAATCAGGGCCCCCGTCACTGCCAAGCGCGCATCTCCACCCAGGCACTGCCCAGCAAGGCTTCTCAACTGCACGCTTCCACAGTAAAACGGCATCAATAACAATCGCGCGGTTCAACCCCCTCTTTTCCCCTCAGCACGAAACGGAGCTTTCGTATTTTGCAAGGCTCCATTGTTTGCCCATTTTAGGGCAACCGCTTTGGGTGGAAAAACATGGCCTTTGGCGCGCGCAAGTGTGGGCTAGGGCGCGCGGAACTGGGCAAGAAACGGAGCCTTCTTGCTTTGCAAGGCCACGCTTTCTGCTGCCAGGCGCTCTGACTGCGCCAACCCCGGGCGCGCAGCCAGCAAGTGAATTACATGGGTGTTTTTGTTTTCAGGGGGCCCCGAATTGTTGGCTTTACTCTCGGTTTCCCCCCCGCGTTTCCCATGCGCGCGTAAAAGGACTTGCGGCTTCGCTCTCCAGATGTTACATTATATACAACGCAACCAGGGACTTCCAGCACTTGTGCTTCCCCGGCTCCAAGGTTGTCTGGCCACAGCCCGTTGATGCAGCGACTCCTTCAGCTCCCTGGAGATCTGTGTCTTCGTGTCTTCGCGTCTGAAAGCCCCACGTATTCGAAGCTTCGCGCAGCGCATCTTCGGACTCAAGCTCCGAAGCTTCACATCTTCGCGTCTTCGGGTGAAGCTCCAAAGCTGCGAGCTGCGCGTCTTCGCGGTGAAGCTCTGAATTAAGCTCGCGTCTTCGGAGCTGCGCGCCTTGGGGCAGATTTTGAGGGACCGCCCTGCCGACTCAATGATGGAGTCATCACGTAGCACTATATGCCACAATATACTACATCATAATATTGTGTACTACAAAGTAATATAGTACATGTTGGATCTTACATCAGATACTCTAATACGACATGATATGTGACTATACTGTAGTATCAGGTAACGCAGTGTAATGCGACACGATTCAATTGGAATGTAGCGCAATATGACAATGACATACTCATACAAACACATGTAACATGATATATTGTAATGTTGCTCAACAGTACATTGCAGCACAGTACATACTGTGACACATACTACTATACCATACCAGACAACACAACACAAAGAATACAGCACAACACAATACGGTACAATACCCTTCAACCCAAGTTACAACAATATGAAATATGGCCATGTGCATTGTAGGCATGGGTGTGTACATATGTATGTGTTTACACAAATGCTGAGAAGAGTGGGAAGCGCTTTCAAGCTCTATGGGGTGGACAAAGGGCTCAAGCGAACCAAGGCATTGAGACGCTGCAGCGTACAAATCAGCGGCTTCTCCAGCAAACATTGATGGGGTAAGCTGCAAAATACTGGGTACAATGTGCATAGTACGTGTATACATTCATATGTATATATATATATACCCATGTATGTATATACAAGCGTTCAAGGCTTGCTTATGCTTGGTGTCATGTCCACGAAACCATGCAATCACAGCTCCGCTTCCCCAGCAACCTCTCATGATTTTGAACGCCCATCCTACCCGCAGAATAAGCAGCTATGCTCATACATTGAACAACAAGTGACTGTTCACACAATATTATTCAGCATGCTGTACAATCATCACAATGGAGAAAGTTGCATTCCCTGCATCGCCCCTCCAGATTTGAACCCGGTTCACCTCAGTCAGAACGAGCTCCCAAGTTAACTCGCTTTGAACAGCCCTCGCAAAAAGCCGCGAGCACGTCGCTTGCGAAAACGATCCTTCAGACACCAAGCGCCGGTGGAGCGGAAGTGCTCCGGGCCCAGCAGGTCACAGGGCGGCCTAGGCTGTAAGAGAGCAACCCTTTCCGGGTTGGTACGGGTAACTGAACAAACCTTTTGGGAAGGGGCTGTCTCCCTATTTCGGCACACGAAAAAAAAAGAGCCCCAGACAAAATTACTTGTTTCTCAAGAGGACATTGGACAATTGGGGCGGGCCAGGGCCCTGATGTTTGTGGAAACAACCTCGGTGGGTGCTCACGTGCTCCCCAAGCTTACACCAGTTGCTCATATTTGCTCCTGTTAACATCACCCCCCACGAAAGGAGAATCATTTCAAAGTGAATTCAATGAGTTCAAAGGAGCCGTGCCAGATCACCAATCCGAGCAAGGGGACACCCAGCAACAAATGTGATTGGCCCATGCACCTGTTTGCTAGCTGCTTGTGCGCCTCTTACTCTTGCAGCGGAAATGTCAACTCCACGTTCCTGAATTTGACGTTGGCTAAGGTCCGTCAAAGTTGGCGTTGGATCTCTGCCCATGGTTTGCATTGCTCAACGGAACAATCTAGCAATCTCCGCAAAAGGTATTGCAGGGCACTCGGGCCCACGTTGACCTCAAATGGAAAAAGGGACACGCTGTATATTGAAGCAACTGCGAAACCATCAATTGTAATTTCAAACATGTCTTACAATCCCAAAAAATGCCTCGCGCTAGCGCTAACAATTTGCCAACCTAGGTCTATGATTCCTGTTCCATGCACCAAATGGGAGTCCTCGGCTTCTCCGCAAGCCCCAATGCAGAGGATGTCTAAGATTCAGGTCACCAGGGCGCGTTGGCAACGGCCTTTCCACGTGGGAGCGAAGCTTCATGGGCTGCATCTGCAACCTGCGAGCGGCTGCTACAATGGCAGTCTTGCCTTCCACACCCGTGTTTCGAACAGTCAATAGAAATTACGCCCCTGAAATCCTGAGATGTCCTTTGATTTCCTTGTGGTGACCCTGTAACATCCAAGTGTCAATGAGGTCCCCAATCTCAGGAACCCTATTGAAGGGTTGATGAAAGGGACTCTGTGCAAAACTGCTGCCCAGACAGGATCTTTAATTTCTTGCCGGGCGAGGCAGGTGTGGCAGCAGATGCCAAATGTCCAAGTGGTGGTCACGGTTTGGACAATAGGTCTGAAGGGTAGACCATCCCTCTTCTTCCCCTTCGACTGCCAAAAGAAGCAAACAAATACACCAACTACGACCTCCTTTTCCCAGGCAGAAAAACCTGGCGCATCTCACGGCCGAAGGGACCCACGAACCGACGAATCGACCCGTCGACCCGGCCTCTGGGAGTGCTTCTTCCCCGTGGCGTGGGCCTCCCAGCCCTTCATGGACACCACCACCTGGCCTCGATAGGGTTCCGCTCGGGGCAAACCTGAACAGCCCGGCATGAAAACCAACATATGGGAAGCAAAAGGGCGCTCTCATGAACTTTATGAACTATTTTTCCGGAGCCTTGTAAGGAGCCTTTGCAGGGAGCCTTCGTAAGAAGCTTTGTAAGAGCTTTGCAATAGGCTTTGTAAGGAGCCTTGCGCGGAGCGCTAGGAGGAGCTTTTGTGAGGAGTCGTTGGGAGCATTTTAAGTAGTACATATTAGCTGAGGGCACGAATGCAAATGAAACAGCATGGGCCCTCAGGTCTCTCTGCTTGCTGCGGCTCGCTGAGGCTCTTGCAAACCAGGCAGATCTGGCGACTCGATACATGACTCTGTCTTCGGGGGTATCTTTTGTGGTTGTTTAACGTGACACCAAAGGAACGACGCCCAAATCACTATTTGTAAGAGGCACCACAGGGCGAGTCTTATCGGGTGTCCAAACGTTTTCGAGATGTTCCAACCAGTCAAAGGCAGCCATTGTGCGTCTCCAAATGAGGCAAGAAGAAAATGGGACCCACGTTCTGCTTCATTCCCCTTTGTTCAGCAACCCAACAAGGGTGGTCGGAAGGACTGAATGAGGCTGTGGCCTGCCTGGCCGTAGTAGTAGTCGAGTGAAGCTGGATCCTGCTGTTGAATCGGTTTCGGAGAGAGATCAAAGCCACACTTTGGACTTGGGGCCGCGATGAGAATGATCCCAAAGGCAGGTACAGTTGTCACTATCGATGGTGTTTTATTTGTTTGCATCTCCAAGGCCCTCGGATAAGTTGTGGAGTTTTGACGGCTTGGCCTAAAGCAGGAAGTCAAGTCTAAAAGGTGGGCTCTGGAGAGAGGGTGAGCGTATATGCAGCGCACGCACGAACACACGCACGAACATTTGCTTACGCACGCTTGTATATATACATATACACAAATGTATGTATGTATATATATATATATATATACATATGTACATACGTACGTGTATAAATAAAAAGATATGTGTATACATATATATATATATATATATATACATATACGTGTGTACACATACATGGTCACCCCCCTCATGATCCACACTTTAGAGTGTGGTATGCAGGAGAACGCTGTAAACAGTCTTTTCTCATCATATTTTACATGTTTGGCTGATGATCCTATTGTTGATCAGAGTTTGAGACCTAGGATGAGGCAGGCCGTTTTTGTGGAATGCTGCATCCAAGAGCATGCCTTGTATCACACAGAATACACAAAGCCGCACAAACGAAGTGCAGTAACCCAGTCCGGAACGTCTTCCATTGTGCATGGCTCGAGTCTGACATCACCTAAGCGAGTTCTGGCAGCCATTGTGTCGCACTTGCATTGCTGGCCAGTGGGAAACGCCAAGACTCCAGAAACTCTTTCCTCAACACAGCTGGCCCTCGTTTCTCCGCGCCAGAAAGACAGCCTTGACCGAACGTCGCGTTTCCGTCGCGCTGCCTTGCGGTGTGAGTCATATCACATCTGGCTCTTAGCCCTCAGTTTCCAGCGCCAAATGGAGAAGTCGGAGCCTGACCGGGCCGGCCGAGCTTCAAGACCACGGCCGGCCAGGCGAAGCGAAGGCGGGTCAACCGGTCCAGGCCTTCTTCCAAAAGGATGCTGTTGGAGGAAGCGGTGCGCAGAACCTCCTTCACCTTTCCAACTTTCTGGGCCTGGCCACTCGCACCATAAAGCTCAAGGGCCAACATAAAATGGTTCAGAACCAAGGCCCCACTAGTTGGAGTCTAAGGCTTCTCACTTGCGGCCTGCACAGCTCCCAGGATCTGCGAGTGAGACCTGTGCCAGACAGCAAGCACATTGAGCAGTCTTAGGCAACTCGACTCTGGCAGCACCCAAGCAACTACGCCTCTTCCGAGATGTCTTTGAAGCATCCAGCGAGCCAGGCGCTAAGCCAGGTATCGCCACGTTCTCCTGATCAGGCTCGGCTTGGGCGTCACGTTAATCCCGGATTAAGCAAACCCCGATTTGTGAGTTACACCTGCCATTAGTAGGATGGGCTACTCATCCCTGGCTGAGTATTTTTAGATGTGCGCTGCCCGCCGTTTTTGCCAGGCTCAAAAGAACCGCATAATCAGACACTGGGGGTAGGCAAGGAGACTGAAGTGTGCAGGAAAATCCATACTAGTACCAAGCAACACGTGCTGTGTGCAGTGCAGGCCTGTCGAAACGAACAACCTACTGGAGTTTTAATGCACGCTGCATCGCCAAAAAAGATTTTGGCACGCTTGTGTGAGTTCGCGCAGGTAGGCGCAGGCACACCACGCAACAGCAACTCTCTACTGTCCGCCAGCTTGTAGTTCCTGATTGCAAAACACAAGCCGGTCCAATGCAAACACCCTGGGGCCTATACGAATCTTCCTTTCGGCCTGGCTACACATAGATCGCTGCGCCTGCAGCCACTCAGAAGCCAACGCCGCTGCAGATTGCTCCGCATCCTGCAAAGCAGCGGAGTCAGTAACCACCTGCGTGTTGTCTCAAAAAGCCGATTGGTTTTGATTAGACTTTAATTTGGTCTCCAGTTGGCACGCCTTGTCAATTCTTTGCGACGCGGGGCATTGCAGCTCACCGGCTTAGGAGGGTAGTGGATCCGAAAACATGGCATGAGCAGAGGGGCATTTGACTGAATTCCACCTTTGCTGCTCATTCTGGCTCTCCGCTGCGCCGTCTCGCCTTCTTGGTGGTGGCAGGATGACCTGCGATGTTGTGACCTCAGCTCTATTTGTGGGTAAATATCCACACGGCCTGGCCACGGGAACGTTGTCAGTGGCGCACATGAATCACATGGGGTTGTCGTTTGGCCCGGCGGCTTCTGCGACGTATCCCATGGCCCGGGCCCCCGTTGGGCAGCGTCAGAATGGCCTGAAATCCTGAACATCCCGAGCGAAGTCGATGACATGCCTTGAACTGCTTTCACAATGGCGAGCACTAGACGCAGCGCACAAATGCGAATTCAAAGAAACCCAAATGCAAATGTGAGGGTCACACATACACTGTGACAGCTAGCCTGCTCGAAATCCTGGGGGCCTAATCGCAATCCGTAATCCGCTTAATCCTTGTGTTGTTTGGTATTCTTCTTAATCCGTACTCCGCGCTTCAAACTTTGGGTCAAAACCGTATCGTGGAGCATGGAAAATCCGTGCACCCCATAATCCGCAATCCGCAAGCCGCATAATCTAATCCGCAAACCACACAATCCGTAATCCGCTAATCATTGGGGATAAGGTTTTGAACAAGCTAGGACAGCAAATCCGCCGACCCCTTTGCAAAAGCCAAGTTAGTCTCTGCAAAGGGGCGAGGCGTGTTCTAAGTGGTGGTTAGGGGGAGTCTGAGGGGGGGAGGGGGGGTCCCGCGGCGGATTTTTGACACGCCTAACCTCTAACCCTAACCTCTAACCCTAACCTCTAACCCTAACCTCTAACCCTAACCTCTAACCCTAACCTCTAAGCCTAACCTCTAACTCTAACCTCTAACCCTAACCTCTAACCCTAAACTCTAACCCTAAACTCTAACCCTAAACTCTAACCTCTAACCTCTAACCCTAACCTCTAACCCTAACCTCTAACCCTAACCTCTAACCTTAACCTCTAACCGTGAGGATGGATGATGAAAGACTACGGGAAGATGACGGAACACTACGGGAAGCTGACGGGGATGACGGGAAGATGACGGGAAGCTGACAGCAGACTACGGGAAGATGACGGAAGACTGCGGGAGATGACGGAAGACTACGGGAAGATGACGGAACACTACGGGAAGCTGACGGGGATGACGGGAAGATGACGGGAAGCTGACAGCAGACTACGGGAAGATGACGGAAGACTGCCGGAGATGACGGAAGACTACGGGAAGATGACGGACGACTACACGAAGATGACGGAAGCTCACGGAATGAAGGGAAGATGACGGAAGACTACGGGAAGCTGACGGGAAGATGAGATGACGGAAGACTGCACGTAGATGACGGAAGACTACGGGAAGATGACGGAAGATGACGGAGGACTTTGGGAAGATGACGGGAGACTACGGGAAGATGACGGAAGACTACGGGAAGATGACGGGAAGAGGACATGACGGAAGACTACGGGAAGATGACGGAAGACTACGGGAAGATGTTGGAAGACTACGGGAAGATGACGGAAGACTACGGGAAGCATGATGGGAAGATGACGGAAGACTACGGGAAGACGACGGTACGGGAAGATGACGGAAGACTACGGGAAGATGCCCCTAACCCCCAACCTCTAACCCTAACCTCTAACCCTAACCTCTAACCCTAACCTCTAACCCTAACCTCTAACCCTAACCTCTAACCCTAACCTCTAACCTTAACCTCTAACCCTAACTTCTAACCCTAACCTCTAACCCTGACCCCTAACCCTAACCTCTAACCTTAACCTCTAACCGTAAGGATGATGATGAAAGACTACGGGACGGTGACGGAAGACTACGGGAACATGACGGGAAGCTGACAGAAGACTACGGGAAGATGACGGGAGATAATGGAAGACTACGGGAAGATGACGGAAGACTACGGAAGCTGACGGGAAGACTACGGGAAGATGACGGAAGAGTGCGGGAAGATGACGGAAGACTACGGGAAGTTGGCGGAAAACTACACGAAGATGACGGAAAACTACGGGATGACGGAAGAATACGGGAAGGACTGCGGAAGACTAGGGGAAGATGACGGAAGACTACACGAAGAGGACGGAAGATGACGGAAGACTACGGGAAGCTGGCGGGAAGATGACGGAAGACTGCGGGAAGATGACGGAAGACTACGGGAAGATGACGGAAGACTACGGGAAGATGACGGACCCTCTAAGACCACACGAAGATGACGGAAGACAGCGGGAAGATGACGATGATGATGATGATGATGCTGATGATGCTGCTGAGGATTGATGAAGATCATGATGATGGTGATGATGATGATGATGATGAAGAGCGATGATGATGATGATGACGCCGCTGATGATGATGATGATGATGATGATGATGATGGTGGTGACGATGATGATGATGATCAGGCGGATGAGGAGGAGGATGATGATGCTGCTGCATGCTGATGAGGATGAGGATGACGATGGTGACGCTGCTGGCTGAGGATGATGATGATACTGAGGCTGAGGATGATGATGAGAATGAGGATGATGATGGATGATGATGACGACATGGTGGATGATGACGGTTCATCAGCATCAGCAGCATCATCGTCATCCTCCTCATCATCATTATCATCATCCAGCAATATCCAGCATCACCATCAGCCTCATCATCCCCTGCATGCTGGGGATGCGGGGGCTGCCTTTTTGGTCTTCCATCGTTGTAGAAAAAGGCAGCTTTTGCAGCATCATCCTGCAGGTGCCCGGGGTGATGCTTTGCATGCTGGGGATGCAGGAGCTGCCTTTTTGGTCTTCGAATGTCGGGAAAAAAGGCAGCTTTTGCATCCCCCGCTTCACCAGCATCATCCTGCAGGTGCCCGGGTTGATGCTTTGCATGCTGGGGATGCAGGAGCTGCCTTTTTGGTCTTCGAATGTCAGGAAAAAAGGCAGCTTTTGCATCCCCCGCTTCACCTGCATCATCCTGCAGGTGTCTGGGGTGATGCCTTGCATGCTGGGCAGGAGCTGCCTTTTTGGTCTGGGACGGAGAAGAGCCGGGCTTTCTCAGCGACAACAAGGGCCGGATTTTCTCCAACGTCTGGCTTCATGCTGTCCGGGGCCAATAAGTAGAACCGGCTGGCTCTTAAGACCTTGGTGCCAATCCTGCTGAGAGACGGAGAAGGGCCGGAGTTTCTTTTCAAGCTTTTTGGGGAGGCACAAACCGAAACGGCTGCTTTTCGAGAACCGGCCCCCTTGCGTGCGCGCACCTGGCCGCACTTGGCATGGTAGCCATCGCAGCTGTCGTTCGTGACGCCCCGCAAAAACCTAACCCCTTTGATCAGGCACCTAGTAATTCGGGGTTTTGGGGCTTGTGCAAAACCAGCGGGCTCTCGAGGAATTGTCCAGATTACTGTTTGCTATAGGTTGGTGAACGCAAAACGGGCCGGCTGATTGCCTGTCATCTGCCTGTCTCTCCCCTTGGGATGATGATGATGATGATGATGCTGTTACGGGGGTCGGCGGCATCAGGCGTCAGCCTGCTAAATCCGGCCACCGGACGTGATCGGGCCGCAGGCCAAAGCCCGGTAGGGCTTACCTTCAGGTATAAGGCCGCGCGCCCCATGCCGCCGACCATGCGCGGACCATGCGCAGAACATGCGCATACGTTTTATGCTGGGCCCTCCCTTATAAGGGGCGAAGGATTTGCGGATTGGTTTAGGCGATTTTTGTAGCATCTCCCCGCAGCATCCAAGAACGAGTCCAAAAACGAGTATTTTTGGGGGGTGCCTAATACTGGACAACACCCCCAGCATTGCCAGCATCATCTCGGATGATGCGGATGATGCTATGCATGCTGGCGATGCGAAACAAGGGGCTGAAAGGAAACAGGAGTGACTGGAAAGTGAACGAAATGCAAGTCAAAGGCATTGCACGAAAATGAAGAGGGCGCTGGAGAGAAACCAAGCTGCAGGAAAATGAAAGATAGAAAAGGGAAAGGAATGCGAATGAAGGAGTCTTCAAGGAAATGAAGGGAGCTGAAGCGGCAGTGAAGTGGAAGGAAGTGAAGGGACATGCCAGGAAACTTAGAGGGAAAGGAGATGAAAGAACGGGAGGGGTGCCCGGTGGCCGGCTGTGTCGCGTCAGCGTGTAAATACAACTCAACATCGTCACACAGGTAGCAAAAGACTGTCATGCAACGCTTGTTTCTTGAAAACGCCCTTGTAAAATCAAAGCGCGCATCCGTCTTCCTGCCACGTCGCACGCAAACAATGCCTTTTGGGGCAACCGGGCCAGCGCTATCTGCGTCGTTCACGGCTAAGAGGCACACGAAGCATTATATGTCCACAGCGTATAAAATCGTGACCTGTGTCAATAGCTGTCTTCAATTTTGCCGAACTTCGCCGCTTCCTGCTGGGGTCAAAACAGGAAGGCGCGCAACGCTGTTGATCTGGTCTGGGCTTACAGGCCTCAGCTTTCGTCTCCTGTCGTTCAGGGCGCTGGCCCAGACTGGACTGGCTCGGTGCAAAGTCTGGGGGATGCTTAGTGTCACGTGCCGCTCATGCCGCTCACTCGCTCACTCCCTCGCTCCCTCCCTCCGTCCCTCCCTCAATCAGTTACTCAGTCACTCAGTCACTCAGTCACTCGGTCACTCGGTCAGTCAACTGAGAAAAAAATGAAGCAAGCCGCGCGCAAAACGCACGTGCTGTTGGCCTCTCGCGCTCTCCGCGACCACGCACATGCCACGCGCGCTCGAACGCTTGAAGCTGGGTAATGGAGCAACACGGCCAACCTGACCAGAGGCGATCTCGCGCTGAAGCGCCCTGACAATGCACGGACCGCCAGGCGAGCGCTTTGCCCGCTCCAGAAGAAGTTCGGCGCTGGCCAGTCCGCCAGTCCGGCTTGACCGGCCGACCCAGGTCTATTGACCGACCAATCTAATCTAAGTCACTCAGATATGCACCAAGTTAACAGGTACGCTTTGGAATTATTCGTTGAAAAGCAACATCCCCATTGCCCAAGCAAGGCGTTTCCGACTTCTCTCCTCCCTCCACCGGGAAGACTTCGTAGATCACATCTGCCTGCAAAATTGTGATCTCTGCGTAGCCAGCCCTGGCTTGAACAAGCCCCGAAGTCTTACATGCCACAGACCAACAGATTCACCCCATCCGTGCCAGCTCGGCCTTGGTCACAGACCGCCCTATGATGCGTGAAAGCAGGCTATGCAGCTGCCTCGGTACGCCCGAAATGCATTGGTTTTTTTTGACAAATTTGACAAGTCTTAAAGGAACGTCCTTGGGGCTCAGGGAGGCGTCAGGGCGCAGCTTGGCTTGAAGTTTTGAGACTGCCAGTCAGGAGAAAGCGCAGCTTTGAGGTCAGAGCGCCTTGCCTTCTCCCACATCCTCAGGTCATTGAGGTCATGCGCTTGTGCTGCTGAAATGTCTGGGACACTTTGCATGGGTTGCCATGTGCTCTTGCATACCCTTTCTGAAGACGGTATGGAAGAAGGGTGGACTGCTCCGTTGTTTTCCCTGCCATGCACAGATCAAGGGGGCATTTAACTTCCTGCTGAATATTGCAGAAGGAGATTATGCAACGTGTGAAGATATATTGAATATATTACATACGAGTACATACATACATGTTGTAATGTTCCATATGCAATTCTATGCATGCTGAGTATGTATATCGTTTTGGGCACTTATGTGCAAGGCCAAGTCCTTCAAAGCCACATTTGACGGTAGCTTCTACGTGCAACAGAAACCCTCTGCAAGGCTCTAGGGGATGCGTGCCACTTAAATTGTCCAGCTCAGCGCCGGGCCGGCGCAACGACCAGCCCTGACGGCGGCTTCGGCATGGCTTTCACCTTGACCTTCGGCCTTGGAGCGAGCTGCAAGCGGGCGCGAGGGACCTGCCAAATCTCCTTTGAGCGATTGTGGGCTAAAATGAAGGATGCTGCGCTTCACCAGCTTCATTCGAAGCGCAATTAAAAATCCATCCAGCGCGCAGCACCCGTTCAAAGGATCCTTTCGGGCTTGTTTTTTCGGCCATTTGGTGGAATCACTCATGCCTTGAGTTCTTAGCTTCAGGACAGAGCTGATTGCCCGGCATAACCATGACGCAAGCCTTCTACGTCATCGCGTTCAAATGCCGGACTCAAAATTCTACAGCAATGTTGCAATGGAATTTTGAGGAGACGGGGGAAACTGCAGCAGATCACAGGTTCATCTGAACGATCACAAAGGTGATATCATCACAGTACATTTTGCTCTCCGCCCTCCATCTCCTTGTTGCCTCAGTCGGCAGCATCTTCAACGTCTCGGCTGGAGTTGGGCTGTCTTTTTGGCCACTACATCTGAATCAATAGCCGGCTTACTCTTCAAGCTGCCATGGGCCGTCGCATCACTTCGGGCGTTGCGCGAGCGCCAGAGTCCTTGACGGACTGGTTGCGGAAGGTGCGGGAAACGCCCAGGCCGGGAGTGCCTTGGAGGAACACTCGACAGTTGATGGATGCATCTGGGTCGTTCTCTGACAGAACTTGGCCGCCCAGGCACCCGACTCGGCTTTTCTCATCTGCGTCTCCCAGCGCACGCCCCGCGTTGCAAGGGCCACACCTTTCTGAGACCCGACGTCGCAGCGCGAGTCGCCTGCGCCTACTCCAAATTTTGTCGCCCTTGACTTGTGCGAACAAATTGTTGCTGCGCCTCCTCACAGGCATTTGTCAATGCCTCTTGCACGCCATCTTCCTCAACGCTGCCATTGTCCGCTCGCCCTGAAGTGGGGCAAAGATTGGTTGCGCAGGGAGCTTGCTGCAATGGATGCGCTTAAGCTCGCCCCCTTTGCGCTGCCCGTGCGTGTTGACACCCCTGCGCGTGTCCGAGAACCTTCGTCGGGAAGTCATCCAAAACACTCTGCGAGGCCAAAACTTGGTTGTCTCCATGGGCCATGTTTCGCAACGGCTGCAGGAAGCAAGTTGTGCCACCAGCCCCTCAGGGATCCTGAAAGCACGGAACCCGCAACACCGTCACATGACATGGCTCCACGGCTTTCACCAGACTCCAGAATGGGGGAATCATCGAGTTTCAGCATCCTGGCAGCCTGAAAGACCTTGCCTGGCTCACAAACTTACAGGCGGGGACCTAGATAGCCCAGTGCTTTTCTAGTTCCCCTTCATCCTTCATGCTACGCTGCCTTCCAAACAGGAGCCCCCAAAAAGGTCTCCATCGTCGCAACCGCCCGCAAACAACAGGACCACCCTCCCACACTAAACTTAAAGCAGCAACCAGCGCCTCTCAGTGCGTCTCGAGGCTCCAGCTCGGGTCTCGACGGTGGCAGCCGTCCCACTGGCATCGGGAAGGTCCGGGCCTTTTTGGTCGGGGGCTCCTGGCCGCGCAGGAAACCTGCGTCGCATTCCCTTTGAAACCAACCCAAACTCGAAGGAAAATGGGGTCTCAAGATAAGGATATCCCAAAGTGAATTGTTTCCTTTTTGTTTTCGCAGGGTCCAAAATACAAACACCCGAATAAGAGGGCGAGACAAGTGGTGACCCTCCTGTTGATTGAGTCCTTGACATGGGTATGCAAGAAATATAGTTCCTTTCCGCTGGTGGCCGGATTTCGTGATGCGAAAGCGCGTCTGCGCTGCCGTGACACCACTGTTTGAACGATTGGACCTACACTGGCCTTTGCACTCCACACGTTCATTTGCTTGTTTTCTGAGTAGCCATCCTTCGCTGTCCTCAATGCGCTGCCTCGTCTAATAGTACGCTCAATATCTCACCCTGACAGCACTTGCATGACGCATCACAGGGAAGCTCAAACAGGCCGTTACGAGGCACTCAAGTGATTATAAACGTGTCATGTACAATTTGTGTGGAATCCAGCACCACCTCCCAACGCTGAACGCCCGTCCTCAGGCTGTGGCCACCAACCTGCAGTCTTGACTTAACCATTGCTCATTGCGTGCCGAGTCAACGGGGAGTGCTATGATCTGGTTGACGAGTCGGGGCTGTGTCCAAGTGGGAGGCTTCCTATTGGCTCCACAGGCAGCCCATCAATTGGACAGGAGTCTCTACATGTGATCATGGATTCACATCCCAAACGTCAGGAGCAACAGTACCAGCTTGATGACAGCCGAAACCTCGAAACATCGGTGGGCCCAGAAAGGAAAAACCAATCCAGGGTCACCTAATGCAAGAAGTTTGCCAAGCAATATTCTCAAATACATCTTAGTTTGCAGCATGACGAAGGGCCAGCCACAAACGCCATCACAAAACCCACCGTGAAACGAAACCTCACAAAAATCACAACACACAACGCCAGCTGCCAGCTGCCTCCGCGGGCAGCTACCAGCTCCGGCGGCGGCGCCTCCGCTGGTGGATGGGGTGTCCTTAGTCCAAGTGGTACTCATTGGGAGTGTCAAACACATGCGCCAGTTTTGCACTCTGGGGCCTCCGAAAAAAGTCCCCAGCCCCCTCCCATCCCCCACCAATTTTGATAAAGCCCCATGGTGTCCTCAACCGACACGGAACTTTCCTCCTGCTGGAAAATATACCCCATCCCCCGCCCCCTTTATACGGAAATTAAACGATGAATTCTGACCGCGTGGATCGTTGCTCATGTAAGCCACTGTCAAGATGCGGTTCTTGGGATGTCTATTGGATACCGCTTGCATGTTCAACGGCTAGGCTTTTACTAGGCAACGGGCTCCACACCCAGCGCCACTTTTGCCTCGGCAAAGCTCGACGTCTGCATGATCCAACTGGATTCCAGCGCAAAGCCATCCCTTGTCATTTAGCTCATTTGGAGCTGTGTCAAGGTTAGCTGGACCCTTCCAAATGGCATCCGCGTTCAGCTTGGCTTCCCCGCTTCCTCTTGGGCCATACGACAACGCGGCCCAACTCGTTTCGACGCAGTCCCCAACAGATAGTACATTGCCAGGTGGATTGTTTTGTTGATGGTACTCTATTCAGGGTTGTTGAAGAATGGGAAACCAAACCGAATATTATCGTTTCTTGGGGCTCCTTCCACACGCATCGGGTTTGGGGCCCCTAGCCTTCGATGCGCAGCTCATGGCTCTGAGCTCTCCGGCCATGCTACCCACCGAAGCAAACGCATCGAGGCAGGACGCCACCGCAGCCGACTGAGCAGCCTCGGGTGTGTCGAGGAGGCGCAAACCCTTCCCTCCCCTCCCTCTTGCAGAAAACTGTAGTTTGCAGGTAATGGCCCTAGAAGTTCAAACTTCAACAAATAATTTACCTGGCATTTAGCTCTTGTCAACATTTTGTCTTTGATTCTTCGGGCCGTGCCAAACTGAGACCTCTTGAACCTTTGCGCTTGGGCCGGTGCCTCTTCGGTGGCGCACTCCTCGCCTTCGAAGGTCAGGTCCCCCAAAGCCGACAGCATGACCTGAAGCTGAAGGTAACCCAGGCGAACTCCTTCCAAACAACGGCCGCTGGAGGTATGGGGCAAAACCCCGACATTCGCCCCAGGGGAGGTTCTGCCTGCCTTGAGTAGACTATAGTTTCACATAAGTGACCCAACACGAGGAAGAACAGCCTTTATCTGCACGAAAGCAATGAAGCCTGAAGGTGACTGAAGAAAAATCGTAATCAACAAAAAATGTGCAGTTCCGCCATTTCTTGGTGGAAACTGTGATACAGCTTCTACCTCCAAAAGCGATTCCAATAATGCTGGACCTCCTTTAGCAATTGGGGCCTCTATGCCTCTATTGTAGAAAGTTGTTTTTCCTAATTCAGGATCCTGTGACTGTTTTGGAGCCTCTATTGTGGAAAGTGTTGTTGCCGGTAAATATTGCCGGGAAAAAGATAGAGTGAAAAAGCAACTGGCCAAAAAAGTCGGGCAAACAAAACGGGCAAACACATCCGGGCAAAGGTTAGGATTTGATCTTCTTGAAGTGGTCCACGAACCATCAAATTTGAGATAACTTCTTTACAAAAAAGAATGGGCAATCAGCCCACAAAAGGCCCTGATTCTTTTCTGTGACCGTTTTGGGGTCATCTTTAGTGTCCCGCTTTTTGGGGGTTGCTGAAAAAACTGGTTCTTCCCAGCTACGTTAGAATGGGCAACACTAAATATTCAAGCACTGGGAGTCTGAGAGTAAGTCTTGGCAATACTACATTTCGTCTTGGCAATACTAAAGTAAGTCCTGGCGCCGAGCATAAGGACACTTGCCCTGGCAGTGGCGCAAATTTGTTGGTGGTCCATGCATCCATGTTGATCACGCCGCTAGGGAAGCTAAAACCCATCTCAAGGGTGCGTGAAACGCGGCGTTGAAGCACGACGGTTCACTGCATTGTGGAGGCCTGTGGGGCCTCACCGAAAGATCTGAGAGGGACCCTGCCTGACAAAGCGTGCTTTGAAAGGAAAAGTCTTTCAAGAGGTACCCCAAGGTCCCTTCCAAGTTCCCTGTCAAAACCAGCTTTCCGATACGCTGACGCCCGCACTCGGCTCACATAGCCAGACACACCCATGTCGGTAAAGACCTGCACATCTTCTTCCTAAGCTTTGCAGGAGGGGACGCTTTGCACACCGCGGGCTCTAAACATTGCAGTGTTGTAGTTTGCTGTTTTGAATCAGACAAACAAGCAACAGAGAATTACAAAGCTGTGGAGGAACCTTGGCTTAGCACGGAAGTGGCACGAAGCTTTCTGTTTTGAACCCATTGTGTGGCACCTTTGTGTACATGTGTGCCTGTGGCACGAACACCGAGGCTGCAACGAAGGTCTCTCGCATCAACAGCCTGCAATGCTAGCATGGCGAGCCATCCCAGCGCGTCAACAGTCGCACTCCGGCCTCCGTAGCAGGGAGAACACCACGTCCATGCCGGAGGGCAGGTCGTTCATGGTTGCACAGTGATGCGTGTGACGGTTCTCTTTCAAGATTTATCCCAAGCGATCTCTGCGACCCCACCTGGAGTGGAGATGCTGCCTGCACCGTCCGCAATAGACTCCCATTTCATTTCAGATTGCGACATGTCAGCTTTGGCCGAGCGGGCCAAAGCTGAACGCATCCCTCAGCTGTGGCCGAGGTGGAGCTTGGAGGATCATACTGTTGTATAACTTACTTCCTTCCAACTGGGATAAATCTTCAAGAAACCACCCGATTTGTGTTCCTGGGGTACAACCTCTGTGAGTGTGGGGTTGAAGCGCTCTGTCTCAGATTTTGCGTGCTGCTGCCGGGATGTCGCATTATTTCCGGCATTCCCCTGAGAGGGCTTGAGAGCCCCTGTGAGCCGCGAAGTTGCACATCCGTTCTTTACATTCAAACTCTGTCATTGATTGTCCGAAACCTTTGTCAAAAGGTATCACAATGATAGTCGCACACCTTCAAAATGAGGTACAGAGTCAAACCAGTCTCCCAACGAACAACATATCTGCTGGCCACCCTCCAATGCAAAAATACATGGATTGTATGGAAACTGCAACGAAGCAAGCCGAACACGTTTCTGGCAAGACCGTCATTGATTGCCGGTCTACAATGCTACCATGGCTCCCAAGGTGAGACAGAATCCGTCATGACTCCATGCGCTGCTGATGGTCCGCATTTCTGATAGCAAGAAGAATTAGAGGATCATCATATTCATGCTGCAGGCGCATTATTACGTAGCGGATGTTCTCAATGGGGCAACATGTGTGTGCTAGGTGAGGGAATAATCTCCTTTGAAAACCAGTGCATGCGGTCTGCAAACTGACTTCGAGCAAAGCCATGGTACCCTCAGGTTGCGGCTCAAGCGCCACGTCTGGCCCCCGCCTGAAGTGAGGCAGGTGTGCAGTGTGACCCAGACCAACTCAAACACATCAGTCACGTCCATAGTGTCAAGTTTGCGGCGTGGAAACCAAAAAATGGGTGACCCCTGATTTTGTGGAAAACAGACTATACCAAGTCCCTCCCAAATTGACCATGGACTAATGGACATTTTGGCCCAACCTCTTGTCCTAAATCAGCCATTCTCGTCATTGAGCTGCAAACCGGCGAGCTCCCGCCATGTCTGCTTTTAACGCCACAAAGCAAAAAAAGTGTGGGGTGGAGCATGTGCAAATGGTATGCAAGGGTAGTCTGTCTCCGCCCAACCCGCCACCCCAACCTGCTTCCCCCCGACCCAACCGCCACGACCCGTTTCCCCCCACCTGCAAACCACCCCCCCATCCCAACACCCTCCCATTCCCACATCCCTCCATGCCCCACCCTCCCATCCAGATAGTTCTCAAAACAGCGCAGCCCACAGAAAGTGGTCAGCGTCCTTTGGTTTCCCCTTTACGACCAACCAAAACACGGCCCGTTCTGAGCAACTAAGACTCCGGCAGCTCCACCCCGGAAGTTCACCTCGAGCATCTCCTGTCCCGTGGGTGTCTCAGTCTGAGTCTCATGCGGGTGAAGTGATCCGCCCATGTGCTGGTCCCTCTTTGGTTGGATGTAAAAACAAGCCGTCACCCTAAAGATGCTTGTGTGCAGCTCCATGTGGCTGCCTTTCAACAACTGCTGAAAAGAGGGGCCGCAATGTTAACCAGCCCCAAACGCGACAACAATGTCTCTCTGAGATTTCCAGTGGCTCCAGCTGCCCGCTAACTTTGGAAGAGGATGGAGGCTGCGGATGAACATGTACAGTACATGCCTCGCCACAGCAGGGCGGGAACGCTTTGCCAGCAGCCTGATTGGTTGACCAAGTGGGAAAGGGGGGGAAAGATTTCCGGGAGGAAAGGGAGAAGATCTGGGGAAAAAAAATATCTTAGGGAGGAATGGGAGAAGATCTGAGGAAAAAAGGCCAACAATAAAAGGGGGGAAAAGATCTTAGAAAGGAAAAGGGAGAAGCTCTCAGGGGGGGAAAGGCCTTAGGAGGGAAAGGGGGGAAAGGATCTTTATTACAGTGCAATGTCAAGTTTGACGCTCCCTTCCAAGAGCTCGCCGGCGTCCTTTGTCACCCTTTCCATATAGTACGGTGCGAAAGTTGTGAGCCTTGGATATGGCACATTGAGTGCTACGCATTTGTTTGGGAGAGCGGAAGAAACACGAACAATCTGCCAGTGCCGAATCCAGCAAGCCTTTCAAGCACTCCTGATTCCTGTCAAGGACGAATCTTTCCAGATTATCCTTTGCATATGGGATGGTGTCGGGGCGCAGGCTTTGGATGGTTTTGGAACGAAACCGTTCAAAAGAAACCAGCAAACTGCTGGGCTTCCTGTTTAGGACACACCCGTAAAGCCACCGACAGGCGCCGTCCATCAGGCTTTAGCATCTGCAGGTCTGCAGGGCCATGGCGAACTTCCTTTCACAAACATGATATTGGAGTTATCTCAAATTGTGGCCCCCCAAAAAGGTAATAATACTGGCTGAAACCATCCGCTGTCCATCTAAACAACCCAGGACGGATATCAAAAAACAAAAAAACAAACACAAAAAACATCCACATGCAACGCGGCCAGAACGGATGTGCTTGCAGGTGTGCCAATGCACATTCGTGACCAAGGCCCCAGTCACCTTGCTCAACGACTCAATTGCCTTGCCCACTCGTGTTACCTCCACGATTCCGGCCGCTCAAAGAGGCCACGCATGTTCAATGCATGTTCACTCAATGCTTGCTATGCGGTCAATGAACCAAATCTGAGCTCAGTACCCCTCACCGGCGGCAATTGTCCAGAAAGGGGTGAGATGGCAAGTCATAAACCTGCCCCCGGCGACATGGGCGTGCAATGCTCCCGCCGATGCAGAGCGGCCATTCAGTGAATGCAAGTGCAAATCCGGCCTGGGTGAGAGTTGTCTACCTTGCCTTCACGCGAAGAACCTTTCCAGCAAGAATATGCAACCATCCGTCGATGATACAATTGCAAGCAAGACTGGCCTCAAAAATGAGCATTCGCCACCTGCGTCAGCGCTCAATGGGCCGCACTTAAAAAGTTTATATTAAAGATCTCACAGCTTGCATCTCACGCTGGGTAGGCCGCATCTTCAGCGTGAAGTTCTCGGCTTCCTCGTCCAAAAACCCTTCGAGCCTCAGCATCAAAGAGCTGATCAAAGGGTTGTCCCTCGCCCTCAAATCCGCCGATCCCATGCCTGGTCCAAAATGGACCATGCTTTTGGCTTGGGGGCGGTGTGTTCTGTGTTGCTTTTGTTGATATGTTTTCTATAGGTTTAATGTGAATATAATTATGTATAATATATATATATATATATATATATGTACATACATGTAATATACATATATATATATATATGTCCCTTGGGGCGGGAAAATGCGTCGGCTGGATGTCTGGATCTCTGGATGTTCTGGATCTCTGGCTCTCTGGATCTCTGGATGTCTGGATCTCTGGATCTCTGGATGTCTGCCCCCCCACTCCCCGCCCCTCCCCCCCCGCGTGTCTCTTTGTGTCTGTCTGTGTCTGTCTGCGTCTGTCTACGTATCTGCGTCTGTCATAGTGTCCGCAAAGACCCTCCCCCCCCCCCCTGCGTCACGCGTGCTTTCTCTCGCCCCAGGCCAAAATTCCAAGGTGTATGGGGGCAGCGGAACCAGGCCGCAGTTCTTATTTGGGTGTGCTAGTTTCAGGGTACCCTTGTGAGAGTGGTTAAAGGGGAAACGAAAAGGAAATCAATATTTTTGTTTCCCCCCCCCCCATTTTGACAGATTGCCCAAATTAATGATCTTATTTGTTCTCCCTCTGCAAAGCAAAACCACTCATTTGCACCTTCCTTCGCCACGGAAAATGACGGGTCTGTGGGCTGCGCATTTTCACTGCGGACAGGTTCGGCAAACCAAAGCATAAGCCCTTCACTCTGCCAAGATGAGATCTGGCTTGGTGTGTGCAGTCACCTGCATGTCGGGCACAATTGCAAAGGCTGCCAAGTGTGTGTTTAGCATGGCACATTGCAAACAAAGCACGACTGAAACACGCCTTCCATGACATGCGGCAACCACACGGCAACTGGCCTTCTTCAGGATAAACTCTATCATTCCCTGCAGCGAGCAAGTCATGCCCATTGCCAAAGGTGCTCAACGTCAACACTCGCAAAGCTCCATTAGAACTAGCGTGTTGCTTCGCGCAACGTTCATCATCTGAGCTGCTCCAATAAAACGCGCCATGAATCCAGCGTGAGCTTGCATCTGCTTCTGCGCCCCACGTGCTGGCTTCGCAGCGGCCAACAAGCAAAACAAGCTTACACCCTTGTTCGCGAAGAACCCTTGAATGCTTTGGCATGTCAAAAATTACGGTGTTTGTTCAGGCCCGCTGCACGTCCAAAGCAAACTTTGGTGCAACAGTTGCTGGCCAAGGCCCAAGGATTCGGCATGCAAGCTACGCAGCGACCGCAAAAAGAACAGCAAGGCCATGTTTTCGTGTCTGTGAGCTGTTCTTTGTTCGTCTCATCCCAAGATGTATCCACCTTATGTTGACCAACTCTCCGCTGCAGTCATGTCCAGCCTACGCACCTCGTACGTGCCAGCCCCCCTTAATTCTGTGTGGAGTCGGTCGCTGCTTAAATGGCCGTTAACCTCAAGACAATCTGGCACATTTGCCTGGCGCAGTACGTGGAGTGGCATGTACGCCAACCATGTTGCCCCTTCATCAAGGAGGGCAGCTCAAACCATTCTCTCTGACTCCACAACCAGGCGCACGACTGCCAAAGACAAAATCGATTCATGCTCAAATTCAAGGCATGTGTGTGTGTGTGAGAGGTGGGCCCATGGCCGGGTAGGTGAGAAATTGATCTAAACTCTGAACATATAAAAGTTAAAGAGTACGGCTGGGAATCGCCAAGCTAAGGGGTGCATGTATATCGCAACTCTGCGGTAGCATTCTTGCCAAAGGTCCTGCTCCTCGTTGCCCAAGAACTCTGTCACCTGCAGGGACGCAGTCAGAGAGTCTGACTCAGAAGACGAAGGGAGTGGCCTTCTTCTTCACCCAGGGTCGGAGCTTCTTCTCTATGATGTTGTTGCCCTTACAAGCTGAAAGTCCCAAAGGCAAGATACAAGGGAGCGTACCATTTTTGAAGGTAGCCTTGTTCACATTGGCTTTCAGGGAAACCGAAAAGAGCCCCAGAAACATTATTTTTGGCACACGCCCAAGTCCCCAAGGGCGGAGGGCACCACAAATGCGCACCCACAATGAATTCCATGCAAGCAAGAAATTGTCGAGGTGATGCACAAAAGGCAAACATCCATGTTGGCAGCCGAGCTACATGCACAGCATCCCAGTCGATGTCAAAAGCAAAAGCTCTTGCTTTGTCTGTGGGAACCTGGCACTGGCAAAGCCCAGACAACTCTGGAAAGAATGCAATACTCCCAGCACAGCACCCCTGACTCAAATCGAAGCAAAATATAGATAGCGCAAGTCGAATCTCCCGTTTCGAAGCAAAATACATCGATAGATATGATACCGTAGATCATTTCTGCCGCCGGCGTGTAAACCCGCAAGGCACCTGCTGAATCAGCCGACGCATCTCGTCATCCCTGCAGCAAGGTGACATGCGGCAAAGGCCTTCAGAATTCGTCAGCCCAACCCTGGTGGGTTCACAATGAGGATCGCCAATGATATCAACAGTTGGGGCACACAATCCCCACTGTGCGAATGGTTTCAACATGTTTCAACATGTCGTATCGGTTTCGCATCAGCGGCCTAAGCTTTCTCTCCTCCGCTGGAGGCCCATCAAGCCGCGTCAGCGGCTTGTGCTTGCGAGGCTGGCCTCAGTAACACCCGTCCCGAGGCTCCGAGGCTTGGGGCATTTCAGCGAATGAAACCCGCAGGTTGGCCTGGTACAAGTTTGGCTTATAAGGCGAAATTAAAACTTGATAACCCTGCTGACCCTGGAAACAAATTTCCAGCGCCCTTCATTTGGACTTGCCTGAGCTTGAGAAACCTATGCTGAGGTCCTGGCCATTGGCATCTAACTCCTCAGGCTCCTTGAACAGCGCCTGGCGTGTCGCGCTCAAAAACACGAGCTTGTTAGATAGGCGCTTTCTTCAGAGGACATCTCGGTTTCAATGCAGCAAAGCTCCATGCACCATGGACCTTATACTGCCATTGACCACCCAAACTGGAAAGCCCTGCCAGAGTCTTCCAGATTCTGGAGGCGCAAAATAGAGGACTCGGCAAAGGAGGTGGAACTGTAGGACACTAGCGGTCCAATTTGAGCCACAGTCAAGGTTCATCAGCTGCCTTCCACCCCTACTGATTCGGTTGAATTTGGGGCTTGCCAAACTTTCATTTTGCTTTCATGGCGTGTCTGTTCGGGAACATGTCGCTGCCCCTTGCCTTTGGCCGCCGGCCTCCCAACCCCCCCCCCACCCCCGCACCCCCGCGGCAGCCTGAACATGCGCTGGCGGGGATGCCTTTGGAGCCGGCGCCTGCGCGTTGGATGAAATGATGGGAACACCGGCCGAAAAAATGTAACCTCTGGTTTTGTTCTGCTCCGAATGCATGGTGCGTTTCTGGGAGCGCGGCTGGAGCGCTCATGATCTCTGCCTGCGACTACAGGACTGTTCCAGCAAAGGGCACGGCCGCATACCAATAAATTACAGTGGGGTGATCATAGGTCTTGCGACTCCCAGTCGCCTGCATCATCCGAATGAATAGCACCAAGCAGCTGCAAAACTCCCCCCGGAACGAGTGGTCAAACTGATGACAGGAATTGGCGACTCGATGTCGACTGCAGTGCAGCGCCGCCTGCACAGACTGCAACAGTTTGGCTGCTGCATCCTGCCCGGGTGCATGCTGGCACGAATGCCGACAGGACCACGAGAAAGTCAAAGCTGCCTAGAGCCTGACAAGTTGGCCTATTTCTCATTTGCGCATGAAGGAACCCATCTGAATTTGTCAGCTGCAAGTGCAAGGAGAGGCACAAACCACGGAAAATATTGCTTGCGCTGAGACAGAAAGAAATTCGGGCCCTATGTCCTCCCCAAATCAGCCATAGTCTCCCGGACTTTGTTCGCAAATCAAATACAGCACGTGTCAAAACTCCGAGCCCTCCAAACGTCTGGTTTCGCTCGCTGTGACCTTTGCAAAACCCTTTAAACAGGGTACAACTCGCTTGGACACGTGCCAATGTGCGAACGATTTTACCTTGGAAAGACATCATCTGGCAAAGTTACTTGTGTTCACAGGACAAGTATAAATTGGGTAGGCCGGTTTATGGGAAAGGTGGTCAGGCCCATGTCCTCCCTAAACTAAAGACAACTACCAGTGCTCACATGAGCCACGGTCAGAAGTAGTTTTGTTCCCCGTAAAGGGAGACTTAGTTAAGTCTCCTCGTTTTGCGGGCAATTTAGAAAGACCCGATGTTCCTCGCATTGTTTTCGTTGGTGTTCCAACCACGAACTTTCTTAGCCACGGAAAGGGAAAAGCACCACCGCGAGAGAACCGCCTGCTGCTGCTTCTTCTGCTCCTTCTCTCGAGCCTCCTGTTCTTCCCTGTCCTTTGCCTCCTTCTCCTGTCTCCACAACCGTCACACCCAACTCGCCTCATGTGGAGGTCTGCTTTGAGGGACGCCAGTTGAAAGGACGCCATGAAGCCCCCATGGCCTATAGTGCCCTAGACTTGTATGCTGCGGACCAATCCGAACTGGGGAGGGGCAGCACCTTGCAGGAGGCTGTCCTCGCGCACTTTCCTATCTGCTTCCTCCTTGATCTTCTCTTCCTCCTCCTTCTTTTTCCTTCAAGGTTGCAGCCCTCAAAGGCCTTCAAATTCTGCAAGTTGTCGGTATCAACCACAGAATCTTGATTAGCATGCATTCTGGCTTTTTGGCACAGATGAGCGGCAAGTTCGTGGCAATGTTAGGCGTGCAAGAAGTATCGTGTCAGAAAGCCGGTGTTGACAACAAGAACGGTATGGTCACGAGGTGAAGATGATGCATGTGGAGCTTGATCGATCCTCTTTGGGAATGAGCTTGCAGTGCATTCCTGCGCGCATCCCTGGGCAAGCAAGCGCGACTCCCCCGCCTTTCAGCCTCTTCCGCCTCCTTTTTGGCCTTGCAACCATTTGCATTCGCAGCCAGCAGCCCCGCAAGCCACAGGGGTACTTCGAACCCCCCCCCGCTCCCCAACCCCTAGCGATTCTCATTTGAGCAGGATTTTGGATGAGAACAATGGCCGGTAAGGAAGACAGGATGCATCTTCCATGAGGGTACCCTTGATTCGGCAACTTGCACCCCTCAGCTACCCCCTCCACAAGTGGAGGATCCAGGCCGGATCCCCACAAGGACCTTGACGAAGTTCAAGCTTGAGGTTCATTCAAAAAACCTTGCCCCACAGTAAGCGTGCTTTTCAATCGGCCTTCTCCTCCGCCTCCTCCTTCTCCCGTTTTTTCTTTTCCTCCTCCTCCTTCTTCTTCCGCTTGGCCTCCTCGGCCTGCCGCGTGCAAAGCCGAGTCTGGTTAGTCGAGAGGGGGAACCCTGCAATAGGTGGCTTCCTGTTGGCCCTTGAATTTAACCCCTCAATATAGGCAAACAATGCACGATCAACAAGGTGCACCAGCGCGGAAAAGCAAAAGAAGGCTGAGTCACGTAGCGTCTCAGAAATGGCCGTCACTGCGACTCAGAGGTGCCAACGCTTGCGCCTCCTCCTTCTCCGCAATCCGATCTGCGGCGTCCTTCTCTTGCTCCCGCTTGCGATCCTTCTCCCGGTCCTGGAGACCAGGCATGCTGTCAATGACAAGGGCAAAGGGCAGTCCTCCTGTTGGTTTTGCAGATGCTTGGTAATTGCCATTGAGATATATTTGAATAAATTGTGTTCTTCCATCTCCTCGGTTTGCGTTGCCTCTCACAGTGATCTACAAAGAGCTGTACAAAGAATGCAAAACGTAGCCAGCAAACTGGCTTCTTCGGCAGAAAGCCGTTGTGCCAAATATTTCGAGATTTGTTGAGATTATTGGCTTTGCTACTCGTCGTGGGCAAAATGGCCAAACAGTTTGACTGGGGCTCAGTCCCACAATGGGCATCAACACAGTAACATGCCATGGCATGTTGCTCCCAACATCTCTCATGTGGCAAGTTGGTTTCAGTCCTCGCGGCGTCTCTTCCACTCCTTGACATCCGAGTCTCTGAAGTCAAGGTCCCGGTCCGCGAATTTTCGCCTGGTCACATACCCCTGCCCTCAGGCCCTCAGGGCTGCACGCTCGCAGCTCAGTGCGGGGCTTCTCACGGTCAGTAGGTTCCGCTGCTGGCCTGATGAAAACTCGCTTCCCGCCAGCTGCTCTTGAAGATTCGGTCATTCGGTCTGGCCCCATTGCTCAGCGCCCGGCTCCAGGTCTCGCAAGTCCTGCTTCAAGTTCCTAATCCTCTTGTCCTGGCGAACAGGCACTCCGCTGGCCGTCTTATGCCCAGGCAACTCGAGTTTCCTCAACAAGCACCTCATTGACACCAATTGTCCAAGTTCAGTCCATCCGTTGCTCAAACCTACACATCAAACAGAGTTTGCGAGTCCTCGCTCCGTTCGAACTCGCGGAGGCGGTAGTTGTACTCCTGAGACCCACGGGAAACTGGATGGCAAATCAGGGTATGCGGTGTGCGACATGCGTTTCAGGGATTGTTCAAGGTCTGCCCAACCGCAGGATGGAGGCCTTCTCGATGTCCCTCTCTCTGTCGCGGACCCGTCCGTCCCGGTCCTGCGAATCTCTGCCCCCAGCGCAGCCATTTCGGGTTATCTCCCAAATGGGGGGACCCACCAACACTGGCAGGTCATGGGCGGGTTCCCATTTTGTTTGAAACAACTACAACCACGCTCGATCTTCTTAGCACAAGCATCACGAGGACCCAAAACCGAACACTTGACTCAACCAAGGGATGGCTCCAAAAACGCGGCAAGGAACAAGCTGAACCCCGATCGTCGTTTCTGCAATCCCGGCGGTCCCTTTCTCTGCGACTGGTGCGGTAATGCCGAGAAACTGCCTTCTCTCGCTCCTGTGGCATGCCCACAGCAGGTTCACTGCAGATCCGCACGTGTAAAGGTGCAGGGCAAAAAGTGTCAAACGAGAGCCACCCAGCAGGCGACTCCATACATCCCAACAACACACTCCTCCCTTTCTTCGTCCCTTTTCCGCTTTCGCTCAGCTTCAGACTTCCCCTGATGGCAATAAGAGGGTGCGCTTTGCTTGTGGTCTGGCAAATACACAGCATTTCATCATGTACAAAAACGTGCGCATGCTTGGCAAAAAAATATCAGGTGGCAACTCAGCACTAAATCGCAAGCAGAGCGAATCCATGAATGGCAGTCAGCACAGGGCCGAGCCCGCTCTTCGGTTTTATCCTTGTGGTTCGTCTTCTCCTTCTCATCCTGTCACGTGGAAGTCGGAAATCCGCTAATGTTGCAAACCGTGTGGGACACCCGGATCCCATTTTGAGAAGCTCCCATGCACATGTCCAAACAAAAACTCGGAGGCTTCGCACAAAAATACATCGCCACGACAAATGATGGAACCACTTGCATGGAATCTATGCAAAACATTTGGGGACATTGGAGAGATTGGAGCTCTGTCTCATGTGCTCCCCAAATGAATGATACCGTAGCTTTGGTATTGCCCACCACGCGCTAATAAAAGGGAGTCAAGCATGCCATTGATGGACGAAATCCTACACCAACTCAGAATTCCTGGAATGACTCGATTCCCCTGTAGCTACTGACAATGGTTTCCTTGCCATGGTTTCACTTCGTGGTGCGGTCCGGGGTTTTGCCTCACCAGCCACAGTGCCCCTTTGCGACCCAGTTTCATGCTGGTGAAGTATAATATTTCACCAGCCTGATTCTTGCGGTGGTTGGAGAGATATTCCCCACCTAATCCACCAAATTTGGGGGTGACTTCGGTCGTGTGAGGTCGTTATTTTTCACCCGGTTTCATGCTGGGCCTTTGAAACCAGATCACGTGGCTAGAGAAACTCACTTGCAGATGGGACCCCCAAACCTGCGGGGTGATCACCTTTTGGGTTGCCATGAGTGGGTGGACGTTGGACAGGGAGCAAAAAAATAAATACTTTAGCAGTGACGTGGATTTGGATTTCAACCACTAAACCACAATAAGATCAAAAATGGGAAACATGTTTCCCAACAACAAGCATGAGTGGAACAAAAAAACGGGGGAAAGGCCAAAAGGTCAGATGCGGTCGATTCACTTTGGGCTGAGCATAAGATTGGGACATTGCAACGACCTCTCTCTCTCAAACTCGAAACCAGTAGCATGTGCCTATTGGAGTTGCCTCTCACCCAAACCCCCCTCTTACCTGTAGTTGGCTTAGGGGTTGGGTGTCCATTTACTTTGTGGTGAGCAGTCTGCTCAGCCCTCACAAGCTGCTATGGGCGGGAATCGGGGAAGCAGCAAATGCTGATCAAACAAAGCCGTTCCATGCTCCAAACATGGGCCCCACAGTGCGCCACCATCTGTCCAAGGTACCCTGCACCTTTTCTGGGGGCTAACATGTTTGCTTGTATTAGCATGAAGGTGCCATGCCCCTTTTCCCACCAGTTCCCTGTTAGGTTGGTTTGCCAGGCGTGCGCCTCACATCAAGCTCAGCACCTGTTTTGTCCCCTTGCTTCAATCGGGGCCAGGACGCCAACTGACATGTCACTATGCGACTTTGGTTCGCGGCAGAGCATGAAGCGCAATCAGGCTGGAAATCATGCAAGCCCGGCCCAATTTCAGGGCACAACCTGCTCATAGGCTGGGAGTCAGCCCTGGTTTGCACGCGAATTGGACTTGCCTCAGCGTGACAATTCAGCCCCATATTACTAAAAATATCTGAAAGTAGTCAAACACAATATAGGCTTGAATTGTGTATCAACATGGCTGGTCTCGGCTCCTTCTTCTCCACCGCCTCTGCCGCCTCCTTGTTCTTCTTTTCCTGCAGATGCAGGGGTTCAGCTGATGCTGCCTCTGCCAGAAAAGATAGACAAAACTGAGCGATGGCCGAACATCCAACCTCGGGTCTTGAGAGCGCAGGCATCCCGAATAAGTGTGTACCCCTGAGGCTGGATTTGTGCCCTCTCCAAAACTTTGCGCGCGCGCGCGGTCGTGCTTTCTCTATCCAGTCTTCACGCTTTGTTTAAGCAGTCCTCATCAAAGGGGTGATTTGTAGGTTGACGCCTTTGTTGGTTCCTTGAGGGCAAACCAGAAAGAAACTATCCATTTGGCCTGAGAAAAACCCATTTGAATCTTGCGAAACCCTTGCCGTTTGCCCTCAATGGCCTTCTCTAAGGCCTCCTTTGCAGCTTTTTCCTCCTCCTGATCCCAACTGGGTTCGACGAGCGGCATGGCTGAGGTCACACGTGATTCGTCTTTTCTTTTGTAAATGGTTGGCAAGAGAAAAACAAAAGGTTCGACTCCTCTTTGGTCTTCTCGTCGGCGCCATCCTTCACCTGCATTCTCAAAGGCTGTGTTGGATATGCCCATGTGTGTCTGCCTTCTTTTGAAGGGTACTCTTTTGGGGTAGTAGAGGGGAACCAAAAGGAAGCAACCCATTTTGGGGGGCAACAGCTCCCTGCTCCCCGGCTCAGATTGACAAAGACTCGCTCTGCTCATCTCTGCCAACACTCGTCAAATGGGCCAGAGGCTCGGCTTCCGCGTTGGCTGGCGGCGGCTTCTGGATCTCCTTCTCAACTGCCTGGCACGTCAGCGCGTCAAGGGCAAGACCTGGACCAATCAAACCAGGCTCTTAAGAGAGTCAGGGCCCAAAAGGGGCTGAACGCTAATCAATCTGAGAACAAATGACATCTACATCCCAAGGAAAATCTGAGGGGTTCAATATGCCGACCTGCAAAATCCCCGCACTGCCACCATAATCCCGTGCTCCCAAATAATTTCAATGATTTCCAGGGTCCTCCCTGGGCCAATTCCTGAATACTTAGAAAATATAAATAACTTCAAGAACCTAAACGACCTTTATTCATATATTTTTCGGCGCCTTCAATAATTGAAAAAAATGTCAATTGGTTATATTTTGCGAAAAGCGAAAAGAAACAAAACAACAAAACAAAAAACAAGCTAAAATGAATACCCCTCCTTTTTGAGATACCAAGCTCAGTCGACCTCTTCTCTCGGTCCGACGCGCCACTCGCCCCGCCCGAGACCCTGGCAGGGGCAGGGGCTTTGGATGTCGACGCGGCGATCGCAGCCGTGGCTGGCGGCCTGGCGCAAACATTGGGAGGTTCCAGCTAAGGAGCCCCCTTTAATTCAGAGTTGATATGTGTCGTTCCTTTTTCCAGCAGTTTGTTGCGTGGATCACCGGCTTGCCAACTTGCCACTACAAGAGCTTGCGGCAAGCTTGGCACAAGAATTAAAAGACTGAGTGCCTCATTTGCGCTGCCAAGGAGGCACAGCACAAAGCCAAGCTGCAAAAACGACTTCCCCGTGGAGGACTCCTATACACTGTCGTCCGCCACGCGGAACTCAGCGGCCGAGCAGAAAGTCTGGACCGTGGGCGGATCCAGGAAGAAACAAGGCCACACACCAACCAGCCAGGCAACCCAGAAACGTTGCAAGCATTTGAATTTATTGCAAGCTGTGCGAATACCACTGGTCAAATAAATCAGCATCTTTGGAACAAAGCGATGTCCCCTTCTCCTTCAAGCATGCCAGCAGAGCCTCCATCTTTGCCGTCAGGATGCCCTTTCCATATGGCCCTGCCACACCATGTGCCCATGAGGACGGCGTAAACCCCAGAAAGGCCAAGAGCAGGTCTGTCCGGGAGACCTCGCCCGGCTCGTCGTGGCAGAACGGGTCATACCACTCGCAATGGGTCGCCTCTGTGTCTAACGAGAGCTTCGCGTAGGCCACAGTCAGAGTCTGGTCCTCCGTGCGGAAGACTGGCAGACCAAAACGCGCGCTGCACAAAGGCGTCGAACCTAAATCCCAGCTCATTCCATGAGAACCTATGATGAAACCGTCCACTTCGTTGGGATCTGCATCATCGTCAAGACACGAATCTTCGCTGGTCAACTTGAAATTAGTCATACAATTGCAATGCTGGTGGCCGACCACAAATTTCAGTCGTGTTGCTGCCATTTTTGCGGGGCCATATGGACTTTGGCCGGTCCCCTTGAAGGCGGCACAATCCAAGTGGTCGAGAGCCCACTGGGAAACATGGGGCACGTCCCAGCCGTCTTTGCAACCAGAGCCAGGCCTGTTCCAATGGCCAAACATCAGAACGAGATCCGGATTCTTCTCCTTCATGAAGGAGCAAGCTTCCGCAACAAAGACATGTGGGTCTTCGCCAATGCAAGTGAACACAATGAAACCGACGTTGCCCGCGATGCTGTAGTGCTGAAAATTGATGGGCTTCGCATTGTCTTCAGGCGCAGCTGAAAGGTCCAGAAACGCCGGCGGCACTGAAAATTTCGAGGCCGAAGTCCCTGGCAGGGTTGGGTTGGCCACATGTTCAAACGGATTAAACATTGGGCACGCTCTAAACAGCTTAAACACTCGGAACCCGCTCTTTAATAAAGTTGGCCCTAGCAGCTCCAAGCAGGTCATTTAAACGAGCTCCTCAGGACACTGCGTGCCAATCCCCCCCAAAAAAAAATAATAATTGGGGGGCGAGCACCCCGCGGTCAAACAACCAGGAGCTGTCGCCAACCCCTCCCCAAACCTGGATCCCGGCCCCCAAACAATAAAAGCCCCCCCAAACCAATGCTACGATTTCTCCCTCTTCCAGCCGTATTAGGGGACCTCCTGCCATTAGTCACCAAAAACCCCTTTTGGAAAATGAATTGGACACCCCAAACCCGGAAGTGGCGACCCCTCAATAAGAAAAAGTATCGGGGGATTGGGACTCTTCCCCAAATAGCCTGAATGCACCAAGGGGGTCTAACGGTATTAATATGGCGTGGCGTCTAGATCGCGGCGCCAACGCGCGCCTCGCTCATTTTGACTTCACAGGCTCGCGCACAAGTTCTCTCTACCTCGATTTCGACCGCGCAGGGTCGCACGAAACTGTGTGACGGGAGACCGGTGTTTCGAGGTTGCACTCTCGCTGTGGCGCCGTGCAAATGCCAGAAATTGTGTGTTTTTTTTTTTGCACTCTCGGATCGCTGTTTACGTGGCTCCAGGTCATTGAAACGATGGCCAAACCGCGTGGACATTTAAATGGCTCCAGGCCTTCGTTTACAATCCCTCGCCCGCCGCCCAACAATCTTAGTGGCCCTCGTGGGGACGGTTGACACATTCTCCACCTGGGGAAGGCCTAGGATGCTCCCCTTTGACATGCTTAAACAACCGACGCGGTTCAAATGTACTGGAACGACTGACATCCCCAGGGTCGACCTAAGCATGCTTAAACATGCTTATGTTTCAACGGAGTAAACGATAAACAAGTTTAGCCCGACCCCGCCTGGTGGAGAGATCAGCTGCTCCGCTGGTGCTTTAGGCGCCCATGTCGCTGCAGTGTCCATGGCGTAGAATTGACATTGTCCATTGGCAAACTGATCAAACCCCCAAGTTTCATCGTCAACCACCAGCCCAGGATCTCCCTCGAACCAATAATCGTGATTCCCAGGTGTCGAAATCAGGGGCACCGCCTGTGCTGCTTCATCTAGCTGCTCAAAGACGCTGACCGAGAAGACGCCGTAGCGGTCATAGAAGTTGTCACCCGTCAAAAACCAAACGTCACTGGTGGGCAGAGCGGCATTCAGCAAGGTGGGCAACGTCAAGTTGGTTCCGTAATAGTCACGGAAGTTGCACTGACCTCCACCCAGATAGTTGCCATTGCAGGGGTCCCCAATGACCACAAGTGTCAAGGGTTGGCCAAAGTCGGGTGGCATTTTCGCTGAGGAGTTTGCGGTGGTGAAATTCCGCAACACCTCGCCCGGAAGAGCTGCAACTATGCCACTCTGCAAGCGCAAAGGAGGTCCACCAATCGATTCCTCCGGGAGCATGCCATCTCGAATCTGGCCCCAGGAAATCTGAAAGCCTTGGTCATATTTAGGCTCAAGGAGTAGCTGGGCCTCCTTCGATCCCCCGTTGATCACTGAGAGCCTGAGGCCACTTTTCTTCAAAATGGTCTCAGAGGCGTCTGACGTTCCATCTGACTTGTGCAGCAGTGACACCCTGGTCATGGGATACGACCTCCCAGTCCCCGGCCAGCCAGGCCAAATGGGCGTGCCGGACGTGCTCGCCAAGGAGGGGCTCGCGGATGAAGGGAGTTGCATCTCAAAGCCTTTTCGGGTCGTCATCATGTTGCACAGGTCCTGTTCTGTGCAAGTGTCAAAAGGATGACCTCCCAAGTGATCTGCGGGATTGTGACGATTGTGCCACATGCATTGAAATAGCATGACCACGGCATATTCAGCAAAGGACATGGTCACAAAACCTCGACGGACTTCGCCATTGAGCTTGCCAAGCGTCTGGGTATAGATCTTGTGGTGCGCGGCCTTGACAGCAACACAGTCATTTGAATACTGTGAGGCTCTTGGATCACAGCCTTTCTGAAAGGCAGAAATGATCGCTTCCTCCGATGGCATATCTGGGTTCTTCAACTGTTTTGCAACCGTCGTGAAAAACTCCACGGCGCACTCGCTGTGAGAGGCCTTGCGAATCTGAATGAAGCTCTCAACATCGCATCCCGACTCACCAGACCCGCACGTCGAGTCGGCCGTGCGTGTCCAACTCACATTCTCTGCAAGTCCCGCGCTGAATCGGAGCGATGTGAGCAACACCACGCCTCGGAGCAGTCGGCACCACGCGCCAGCCATCGCGAGGGGCACTGCAGCCAAAAACTTAAGCCGACGAGCGGAAACACCGGGAAGACGCAAACGATTCCTAGAAGCCTGCAGTCACCATCGATGGGAACCAAAACAGGCAACAGTCAAAGAAAACACACAGCTGTTAGTTGTGCGCAAACAGAAATCTGCTGAGTTGGACATACTAGAAAAGCAACATCCGTCGAAGGCGGGGGAATGCTTGCGAAAAATTCAGAATTCATCGGCCGCGTTTGGCCACAGAATCTGCCAAAAGGGCTATGGCTCGGTCCTACTTGCAGCGAACACCACGCCTCGCGGGCGCAGCCGGCGGCTGGGGAGGCCGCACGAGGCCCGCTGCCTCCGACAGGCCCCCTTTCGACATGGACGTCGCTTGAACAAACCCAGCAAGACGTGCTGGATTTACCAACCGGACGAGTGTGCACGAACCGGTGCAAGCACAAAGGCTGGGACAGAGTGGATTCTTGTTTGGCAGCTGGCTTGGTGTTGCCGCCTGTGCTCCAGACAGAAAAACAAGCCAACATCATGAGTAGAAAAAGGGGAAGGGTGTACAAGGTACAGGTTCCTTGAGCTTCTCAAAAGCTCCTGCAACCTGTTTTTCACATGCATCGCAGCTTACCCAATATGGAGTGGGAAGTGGTGGTAAACTTCAACGGCCGCGCACTCACCGAGCACACCGAGTTGCCTTGCATGATCAAGTCCTTATCAAGTCCTTTTACCCTTCCCAAAACTGATATGCGAAGGGAGCAAAACACGATGGTCCTGCGGTTTCGACCCCTGCCTGGACTCCCAGGGGTGCCACCGGCAGAGCGCCAGGCAGGGCTTGAATGCCTTGCAAAGGAGGCAGGCCACCCAAGCTGACCTGAGATGTTGCGAGGATGCGTGCTCGGGGACGGTGTCAGTGTCCCTCATATGGCACCAGAAGATCCAAGAAAAATGGGGTAGCGCTGTTTGACTAATATGTAATATGTTGTCTTGTTCACTGTCTGCACCTTTACTCCAAACTGTCATACCATGGTGTCTTTCGAGCTCGCAAGGCATGCTGCAAAACTTGGGCGGACCTGCGAGCAATCTTCGCTATCGACCAATGACGCACCACCCAAGAAGCCGCACCTTGATAGCAAACCCTGATGAAAGTAGCTACTAAAACGATGCCGCAATCAGAGCTTCGAGTGAAGCCACCAGAACAGAGAGCAAATGAATGCTACTAGTACGAATCTGCAGTTCCAGAACCAATCAGGGCCACACCGAATAAAACCTGAACCACATTCAACCCTAGATCCAGGATTTATGTTCTACCATCATCATGCTTGGAAAAGGGCAAAGAACCTAGATGACAGCGGCAAACATATAAAATGTACCGAAACATAGCCAAATGCAGAACAAATTTGTGACAGCTGAAAAAGACCCGTGGTGCCGCCGAAGGACTCCCACCAGCGGTGGCCGCGCTAGGCCCTGCCTCGGTGCAAGCCAGTTGAGGCGGAGCTTTGACCAAGTTCTCAAGGCCCAGCCGAATCACAAACACGATTGCAAACCAGGGTTCTCTCTGGGTGAAGACCGGATTGCAAACCATTGAGCTGAGACGTCGTTTGCTTGAGCCTGATCCAACTCTTGACACGCCACGCTGAAGCTTGACACGAGTGTTTGATTTGATAAAGGGACTCCTCGCCCTTTCTCCGTCTCGATTGATGGGAAGATCACCCGACGGCTCCTTATCTTGACATCGCCACACTGCGGATCCCTGGAAACGAGCAGCTTCGGTTCTGTGGCCCCCGCATGCCCAGGCCTGGGCTCATCGCAGGCATTGGCAGGCCTCAGTCACACTGAGCTGCCAAGCCAAATGGATCTTCACGGCCCAAGTCCCGGGGCGCGCCTGCTTTGGCTTGGATGCCCCCATTCACCAGGCCAGGTTGGAGGCCAGGTTGGAGTCCAAACTGGTGCGTTGATGGCTCTGGAAGGGGCAGTTGAGGAACTCCCCAGAAAGGGCAATTTGACTGATCCCTTTTCAACAAATTCAACAAATCAATACTCTTTCTGCCGGCTCTGCTTCTGAAAGGATCAAACGCCATGAGTACTGTGGTGAACGCCGCCTGCCTGCATGTGTTTGGGCAATCCTCGCGTCCAGCGTCAGCACTTCCAGAAGCACCTCGGTCAGAGCAATCCTTGTCTCCAATCTTTCGTTTTATTGGCTCTCCGCGTGCTTGGCTATTTGGGCTCCTTTCAGGCTTCTGCAGTTCTGCAAGGCTCAAAGCCCTCGCTCTTTGCCGGGGGAAACCCTGCGCTACAAACCTTCGAGCCCTCCAAACTTTCCATGATGTGCGCCTCTAGCAGCAGCTCCACGTGCTTACACAGCCGGCGAGATCAGCGGGCCGAGTTGGCTCAGCCTTGGCCGTCCCTCGTTCAGCTAGAGCCTTCGGATGGTATTCGGAATCCAACCTGATGCTCGGATGCCCGCCCCAAGAGACGAGGAAATTAGGGACTCAATGGGTGAGGCGCAGTTGCGCCGAGGGTTCGACCCTCGGCAGGTGTGGATCTTCACAACCCAGAGGGCTTCCAAAATCTCAACAAGATTGATGACTACTCCAATCAACCCACAACCCACTAGGTGTTGGGGGATGCTCAACATGAGAAAATGAACCTAACAAATAGTTGGCTTCCCTCGGTTTTCATGCCCCCATTTTGAACCCTGGCACCTATGAGGCAGATTGACCTCGACTTGAGGCTCCAGCTGGGCACTCAGTCTAAGCGTTCCCAAAGCATGGGTGAGGGGTTTGAGCCGATAAGTGAACTTCGGTCCAAACAATCGCCACTGAAGAGGAAAGGGTGCGGATTTATTTATGATATGTTGTTATGTTTTTTGGGGAAGTGTTGTGCGTTCTTCGTGCGGGAACGAACAATGCTGGAAATTGCAGTCTTTTGGCTTGTTTAGGCTTGGTTCACAGGGCCGTTTCAACAATACAAATACGACCTACCAAATTGTGTCGTTGTGTATTCTTTGGCTTCCCGCATCCTCAGCATCATCAGTTCCTCTCCGGCAAGCATTTTTGGTCTGTAGGTATATATCCCCACCCATGATACTCGAAGAAGCGAACATTTGACAAAGGGCGTGTTAATCTCAGCAACAAATATAAAAACAAGCGGGGGGGTTGGGGGGGGGGGGTGGGTGCGGGGCTGCCCCATCATGTTCGAAGAAGTGAAAACATACAAACATAAATACACAAATTGCAGATTCAGCAAAGGGTGCATTTATCTCTTGCCCCCCATGATGCTCGAAGAAGCGATGATTCAACCAAGGGTGTGTTAATTTGTGTAAAAACATCAGAAACCAGCGCGGGGTTTGGGGGGGGGGCTGCCCCCCGCCCCATGATGTCCGAAGAAGCGATGATTCAACAAATGGTGCTTTAGTCTCTGCAAAAAAAACAGTAAAAACCAGCGAGGAGTTGGGGCGGGCGGCAGCCCCCCCCCCATGATGTTCTAAGTGATGATTCAGCAAAGGGTGCATGTTTATCTCTATAAAAACTCTAAAAGCCAGGGGGGAGGTTGGGGGGCGGCACCATGATGTTCGAAGCAGTGCATACATACACACATGCATAAGCAAAAGTCGCAAAAGCCAAAAAGCCAACTTCCAGAGAGGTGGGATGCAGAGGATGCGAAAAGCCAAAGACGAAAGCCAAGAAGCGGAGAAGCCAAAAAGCCAAGAAGCCAAGAAGCCAAAAACGACAAAACATACTAAGACAAATGCCCCTCCTTCTAGGATGGCTTCTGCAGGTTGACCCCTGAGTGAAGCCATGGTGTTGCAAGCTTCCCTGCCATTCCAATGACTCCTCTATGAAAGCACCCCTTGATGAATGCAGGCCGCTGATCAAGGGTCAACAATAGAATGCAAACAAGCCTGATGGCTACCATGTGCAAGGGCTTTAAAGCCAAAATTTGCCCATGGAAGCTCGACATGGCTCATTGAACAAGCCGGCAGTCGCAGCTCTGTGGAAGGGTCTTACTACGATGGTTTTAAAGCCTACCATTTCATCAGAGCAGAGCGGTGCTCCTCGCATTTGATGCAAATGCTCCGCTGGAGTCTCTGGGCACAGCTCGGAAAATGCCAGGGCTGGCCTGTACAATGTGGCCGTGACACGTTGGAAGCCCTGCGCAAGCCGACCTGTACAAAGGCGTCTACACTTCCACTGCGCTCTCAGCACCCGGAGCGTTCGTTGAACTTTGCTCTGTGCCTGACCCAAGCAGGTCCTTAAGGTGTTGTTGGGGAGGCCGGTCGGGCATATAAATGGTTGCTTCAGGCGTCTGACCTTCTGAAAGAATTCCATACCTAAATGCAGTGCTGGGCAGTGCTTGCCTGCCCCCCATTCAACACAGGCCTGGAGCTGCCGTCTTCTCCAGCTCAGCCGGTGGTGAAGCCTGCGCCAGCGAGACTGATTCAACTTGTGGCCTTTTTTCCAGGAGAATAACCCCTGTACTCAGTGTTGCTGAGGCTACAACAATTGTTCATCCTTTCATGACACAAGAAACTCGTGTTGTTTCTGGTCCCATATGGCTTCAGAAACCTCCCTCAATCCGAAGCCTCTTTTGGAGGCGCCACGCTGGGTTCAGGCTGGGCAGGTGGAGACTCACTGCCTGCCCGCATCTGGTCACGTGCTCAGATTTGGAATCGAGCCATCATGTTCATGCTTCTTTGAGTATGGTCCGACAGGCTGCATGACTCTGTCAAATGTACATGACATGTTCTTCGTCTGCATTGAAGACCGGCTTGTCACCAAGCGAAACAGAGCGTAACAGCGTAATCCTGCTGTACTGCCAAAGCAGCGGGGGGTACACCCTTGCAAATCGTTTGTCCTCTTTTGTGCATCTGAGCGAAATTGCCGGTGCAAACAAAACCATGCAGACTTTTCACAGAAGGAATGGCCATGGAATCAAGTCTTCAGCAACCAACATGCTGCAATTCATCCCTGGCCTCCGTGGTCTGTCCGAAGAGCATCCTGGTAAACATTCTAGAATTCCCAGTGCATGGCCTGCCTTTGCGTCCCCTTTGGAACTATAGGATAGACTTCCTGGTCCTCTCTTCAACATCATCCCACCAAGGCATCTGAAAGCGAATCGGCCAAAATAAGAGTGATAAGCAAACCACCCAAAAGGGCAAAGATAAGAGCCCCTGATACAGCCACAGGCTGAGGCTGCATGCTATGGTGTCTTCAGCCTGGCCACCCTACTGTTTCCCGCTCGCCTTCGAAAAACCAAGACAAAAAGAAATGGAACCCGGCTTCGCCTGAGAGCTTCCTGTTGGATCCAAAGAGGAACGAACACAGAAAGGAATATCCTGCCCAAGCTCTTAACCTGCGCTGTGTTGTCCGCTCGGGCTCCAAGTCTCTGACCAGCTTCGTCTGCAAGGACCGGCGCTCTTCCTATGCCAAAGATGTCACCACCGACATAAAGGACCGAGTTGGAAGATATTGCTGTTCAGGATGCTTCTGTGCTGCTTGCAGGTCGGCTGCTGCTTATCTTGGTGGTGGCTCCCGCTTGCACTTGCCAACGAGGTCGCTCCAAACCATGTAAGCAAACAATAGTGGCGATTCCGTGCCCTGTTGTAAGACTTTCGGCCATCCTGTCCTCGGCATGGTCGGCCTCTTCACGCAGGGTCTTGACACGAGCTTTCAGCCGCTCCACCTACAGCTCCGACACCAAGCCTCTGCTACGCCTACCCTTCTAAGGATCATCCCTGCAGGATAGAGCATGCAGCAGGAAAGGCTGTTCCAACATGGCGCCCTTGGGTGCTTTGGGGGATGGGGGTAAATGAAAGTTGAAAAGGGCAGGTAAGCTTGAACAAGAATAGACAAACATAACAGCAACTGGGCTACCTGGGAAACAGCTCAGTGGCCAGCCTGTTGATCTTGGTCTTCCCGGTCCTTCTGCTTCTGCTTCGCTGAGGCCTGCCAGCCATCTTTGGGCGCTGGCAGCAAAACCGTGGTGCCAACAGAAGACAAGCCTCTGTAAGGGTGCATTCGAAACACATTGTCAACGGCGCCTGCCTCCACTCGCTTCAGCTCATCCGCAGAACGGTCCTTGGAGGCACACGTGAGGGGCTAACAAATTGTAACGAACAACTATATAAGGTCGCCTAGGTGAGGGAAGAGCAGCATGCAATGAACATGCCGCTCTTGCCGCTGTGTCTCAGCAGCCCGCACGCTCCCTCTCTGCAGCTTCTGCACGTGTCCGCGCTTTTTCCGCCTGCAGAGCAACCTGTGATTTGTGTGGGGAATGAGTGTTCCTCTCATGTCATACCCAAACTGAGAGGGCTTGTTGGTGGAGGCAATGCTTTTTCAGCACTCTTCAAAAACGTCGCATGCACCACGGCCAGCCAGCAAGCAGGCAGGCTGGCCAGTTGCTACAGCAAATCACCTTCTCACAAGCCGGCCCCCCCCCCCCCCCCCGCATGGGCTTGCTGCTCCACAAGCAAGCAAACTCACACAAGCTCCCAAAGCAAGCAAAGCGACCTATACCACAGTTATATTAGCACCACCACCGGCAAGTGCCAGCTATGCCCTTGCAATTGAGATTCTTCTGATTCAACACAAATATCGAATCCCATGGTTTGCTGGAAGTAGGAGTGCCAAAGTATTCAGCTTTGAACAAATCGGCCAACCACGTGTGTTCTGGTCACAGAACATGCGGTGGGCCCATGGCCACCTGCAAGCAAACGCCAAGGACTTTGGAACGCCGAAATCCTATTATTATTAATATTATTATTATTATTATTATTATTATTATTATTATTATTATTATTATTATTATTATTATTATTATTATTATTATTATTATTATTATTATTATTATTATTATTATTATTATTATTATTATTATTATTATTATTATTATTATTATTATTATTATTATTATTATTATTATTATTATTATTATTATTATTATTATTATTATTATTATTATTATTATTATTATTATTATTATTATTATTATTATTATTATTATTATTATTATTATTATTATTATTATTATTATTATTATTATTATTATTATTATTATTATTATTATTATTATTATTATTATTATTATTATTATTATTATTAGAGAAAAAAAACTCCGAGTGTTCTTCAAACTAGGGACCCGTTCAGGTGCCTGGTTTCCTTTTGGTTATCTAACCATCCAAGAAGAAACTTCGAATTTGAAACTCCTGTCTCCCGGCCGACGCCTCCATGCGGGCCTCATGGGCCTCCCTGGAGAGGCGCGAGCTGCGCTCGTCCTCCTGGCCGCTGGGCTGAAGATTGCATCAATGGCCGCTGCCGAGGCAAACGAGCTAATCCGCAAATCCCCGAAAAAGGACTGTGCTCAAAAGGTGGATCTGGTGGAGTAGATCGTTGGGAAAAATCCTTGTTGAGACAGCCAAACGCGTCGGGCTGATCTCTTTGGCCACAGAATGTGTGTCGCAAGCAAAACCTGGTTAGAGGAGTCCTCCCAAACGGGGTCAACCATGTCTGCCCCAAACCATACAAAGGATCTAACACAAAATTCAGAACCAGAAGGGTGGGGACTGTCCCAAACCCAAACCTTCGCGGCTCTTGCTACATGAGCCCGGGCACCTCCTCACTCTGCGTTTCCTTTTCTCGAAGTAGCTTCTTCACCTCTTCCAACCTGCCATAAGATCCAAGGCTGTCAAACGGTCTCTGGTGGAGGCAAAACATGCCAGGCCCTCTTCTTCTCAAACTCAGCCCTCTCCTGCAAATGGCGCATCTCACTTCCACTCTACCCCTCTCTCACAACGCCGACCTGTGAAGCGAGCCGACCAGTTTTATCCCAAGTGTTGTTGCTTTTCTTCCAAGCTTTGAAGGATTGATGCCCACGTGGGCGCCCATGCGTCAAAACTAGTAGCCCCGTCAAAACTAGTAACACCTGTCTCCTTTGGCAGCCAGAACTGATACTCCAAAGGGTCCGACGAGCTTCGTCTCTCGCCTGCTCAGCCTGGTCCACCAGCTTCTGCTTTTGGGAGCCTCGGTCGGTGACACGGTCGCTGGAAGCTGAATCCGGATTTCGAACATGGGCCCCAAAACCTTCGAAGTGCTCAAGGGATCTCAAGGGCACCAAACCTTCGAAGTGCAGACTTCTTTCTTCGGATCGCAAATCCTTCTGGGGGTTCCCCCCTCGAAGGGGAACCAGCCAGGAAATCAAGAAACGGAAACCTTCAGGCGATGCGAGGCCTTCCATATCGGCACAGCCCTTGGGCCAACAACCTCAATTGCGACCTCACAAGGGCGTGCGGCCTCCATGACTAAGCTGTTCGTAGGACTCCCCCAGGCCCTGGGTCTATCAAATCACCGAATGGGTCCAAGCAGCTGGACTCGAGGAGCTCCACGATGCGGCGCGAGGTTTTCAGATCCGCGGCCTCGTGGCTGCGCTTCAGCTCCTCCAGCTGCTTCTCCAAGAGGAGATCCCTGCAGGAAGTTCGTTTGAGGGAAACTCCCAAGACACGCGTCGAGGTGCCTTTTCGCGCAATAGGTGCTTTGGTCTCCAATGAGGGAACCCCCAAAACATGTGCTTTGAGTTCCTCTTGGTTTCCCAAAACAGCCCCCAAAAGGGAACCCTCAAAAAGAGTTCCAATCATGGCAGCCATTTTTTCTTGTTTACGGCGGCTGGAACTGGCCACGACACTGGCCGTTCAATACCACCTACTACTGTGGATGGACGAAATCATGCACCACCTCAGAAACCCTGGAAAGAACCAGGCAGGACCTCAGCATGTGGCAAATCTTGCAGCCCTAGCATTTGTTACAGGAATGATGGGGCTGTGCTTCTGGACAACCCGGCCGAAACATGGGCATGTGTCCACTCACACCTGCAGACAAATCATCCCATCCTTTCCGCCCTCAAGGCGCCTGACGCGCTTGTTGTCCTTGGCTGCAAGACTTGACTCAACACCCAGAGGAAGTCCAAGTCAACTTTCCGGGACTGCAACGACTTGTTTGACTTGCGGCCTGCGGGAAACTGCGCAGCACGAAAACATTGTGCAGCTAAGCGGCGCTGCCAGAGGATGCTGCAGCCGGCACCTCTGCCTCTGCATCCTCTCAAGCCGACTCTCACTATCGAGGGATCCTGATATAATCTGAAACTACGCTCACCGACTCCGGGTGAGAGCAATTGAAGCAAGGGTTCTGCTTTTGGCTTGCTGGTCACGGCTTGAAACAATGGGCACATGAACTGTTTTGTGTCCTTGGAGAACCAGGAGGAAGCTCGCTCCTTGGCAGACGCCTCAGGTTGAGGAAGAAACCCTTGTCTTCATGAGGTAACACACACCCCCCGCCCGCCCAGTACAGATTTGTTAAGAACCTATGCTTGGACCCCGTCCCGTACAGTAAGTGTTTCCTGTGGGTATGAGAATGTCTTTTTCGGGTGCCCCAACGGAAACCCCTGGAATCCACCCATTATAGAGCTCGCATTCAGAAACAAACTCAAATCTTCCATAGAAGAGAGGCGTTCAGCGACCTCAATCGTATACCATGAGACTGCGTGCCCCCGAAGCCTTCGGCTTTTCCAGCTTGTCAGGCTTCTCTTCCTTCTCCTCCACAGCTTTGGGTTGCCTGCGTGCGGCAAACGGAATTCCTCAGGCAAACATTCACATCACATTGCCGGGGAAAAAGTTGTGGCAAATGAAAAAAGTTGTGGCAAATGATCCTGGCGTTGATCAACTATATATGATAAACTAGCAAGCCCAGGGATGCTCTTATAGCAAATCATAGCTCCTTGCTTGCAACTTCTGGTCCTTCCATACTATAGAGTCATAGAGGATCTCCTCTATGGTCCGCGCACCTGTCGCTTCCTTCAGAATCTTTACAACAGTTCTCTTGGATTCACTCACACCCAGAGAACCTCAAAATTGGTCTCCTTTTGGCTGCTGTGAAAGGGTCGCCCTTTCCAGACAACCCGTCTGTCCGAATCAGCCCGTCCGAAGCCTGCCTGACTTCCTTCGGCTTGCGGCTCATGTCCGGCAGGTGCACCTCAGCTGCCGAGAGCTGCCTGCTTTGCGCTGCTTTGGTTCGGTCTTGGGGAATTCCCCGGCCAAGTTCGGGACCGAAAACTGAGGCCAACCGGTTTTCGAAAAGAACGCTAGTTGAACAGAACGAACTGCCAACCCGCAACTTGACCCAGGTTCAGGCACTGGTGGGGCAAACGCAAAAACACTGTCTGTCAGGAGGGAATCCTCCAGACATATTCGCGTGGTCTCATGAGCATCGTGCTTTCGGAAAAAATATGCACGAGCAGAGCCCAAAACCCACTGACATGTCATTCCACCAAAAGTGTTGAGAAAGGTTGAGAAGTGCAAAAGGCCGTACAATAAGGTTCACCAACCCGGAGAGCAGAACCACCAATGGTGACTTGTCTTGGGCGCTAGATGCCACCCACCGAGGACTTTGAGCCAAGGCGCGTTGTTCTGCGCGTTTCTCGCACGCTTCTCCACCACGGGCCTGGCGCCTCGCTGGAGAGCATCCACTATGGCCTATCGGGCAAAGACCAGAGGTGGGTCGTTGAAACCGTGTCAAGCTGTCCATGTCACACGCTGGAGTCAGGAGCTCGCACTGCCCCAAATGCAGTTCACACACGGTTCGGCAGTGGCCCATTTTCGGTCGCTCTGCGATACAGCAGCACGCGCGTCCCCTCCACTCCAGTCCAGGTCATCTCTGCATAGATGGAGCCGACATAACCTCGGAGACGGGGACTAAGTGGCACGTCCCCCTTCTTTCCAGGTATTCTGCCTTTCACAAAATAGAAAGTCATCCACAGAAGTTGGGCAGTTGTTGAAAAGAAGAATGTGTGGAAACACCAGGAGGGGATCAACATTAGGAAGCATACTTCGGTGAAGAGCACACATCTCGTGGGGGCAAAGCCGCACCATGCCAGAAAGGCGCAGGAGTTGGACATCGAGAGTCGCATGGACGACCCCTAAAATGTTGTAAGAGGACCAATGAAGAGAACCAGCCACGTATGCCTAAACGCAAGGAACAAACATGTTGAAAGGTTTTGAGAGGAAACCAACACAGGAAATTCACCATCTGGAGGGGGCTCCTGCATTGAGAAGCACAGAACCGTTGCATCCAGAAAGACAAGGCCTCCCCTCCCCTCCCCGTGCAAGGTCACATTCGTGAATTGGAGCCAAGGGAAGTAGCTGAAGCATGGCTTCCGAGCTCTCAGCCTTCCCGCGGCTGTTCCTCCCTTCCAGTCATAGAGAGTTCCCGATGAATATCGCCCTTTGAATATCGCCCCACGCAAGTTGAAGTTTGCCCTGCTGCAAACCTATTGGTGTCAACAATATCGAATGAAAGTTTCAGCAGTATTTCACTATTGGATTACCCTCAAAAGCGTAAACCCATGGTGGTTCGTGCATTCAAATGAAGAACCCTGGATTCTCGGCTCCCTGGAAAATAAAACCTTGATAGTACACCCCGGATTGTACACCCCGGATTGATCCACCTGGTGGATTCTCAGGGGGAGTGTTGAGTCGACAAGCAACCATGGGTCTGTCGATCCAGGGTTCCCACTGGCACATACAGGCATAACTCCAATCTTTGTCTACCAGCTGGACTTAAGCCGGCTACATGAATCCTCCAATCGTTTGAGGCTCAAAACGGAAAAACTCTCAACCCCCCCCCCAAAAAAAAGAAGAAGAGGAAAAAACGACTCCACCAAGGCGCAGAAGCCAGCCGTCCGGCTCCGAGGCAACGCCCGTAGGGAGGCCAAAGAGTTCAGCGATGTCGCCTCCCGCGAAAGCTTCTCCACCAGCTTGCCCTTAGCTCGGCCATTCGGGGCAAGCCTTTTGGATCCATACAGAAACTCCCATCCCAAGTCTGAAGGGATGTGTTTGATCCAGAGATACGGCTAGTCAAATCCTGAATGTATGACCACAATCTATCTTTCTTACCCTCTCTGAGCATGGGTAAATCAGAGAGTCCCCCGGCTTTCGTTAGAAGTTTAGAGAGTCCGTATGTACCATGGAAATTCTGACCTCATATATGGGTTCGTCTCAGATTTTGAGAGGGGTGGAGCGCTAGAATTGTTGGATCAATTGAAAACTACGGCTTAACCATCTGAAATGAGCTCGGGTGCCGAAACCCCAAACAAAAGCAGGGGAAAAGTACATAGTTCTTGCAAAGAACAAACAACCACCCCGATGCTTTGCTCTCACATCTCGGTCACTTATTGGTAAGGCTCGAAACAAAACGCGTGCAAAACATGTCAGTGTGCGCCTGTTGTGAGGGTACCTACGGAACCTAGGGATTTTCGGGGGGTTCCCTATTTGGGGACAAACCCTCGTGGTTGGGAGGCCCCTTTGTTTTCAACAGGGGGGCTTGCTGGCTGTGTCAAGAATGGGGACCCTTCCAACTGCTTGGCGTCAGTCTGGGATCCTTTGAATCGTTCCCAAACACTCCCCCACATCCCCTCAAAAACCGTTGGCCTTTGATTCTTCCGCGACTAGCTTCATGCTGCCTTGGAGCAATTTTCTGCAATGGCGGGCCAACAGCTGCAAGCAAGGCTTTGGGCGAGGTTTCGTTTCTGCAGACAATCATCCCTGCTCGACATGCTCGAACGAACAAAACAGTAGACACTGGACTCAAAGCAAGTCACAATAGACGATGGACTCGAAGCAAGTCAGCGTTCCAATACTCCACAAAATCCTCGTGGGAAGTCCTGTGCCCTATCTTCATCCACTGGCCCGGAGGCAACCGAAGGCCAAATGCCAGTGCAGACAGGCGGATCCCTACTCCTAATCCATAGTGGGACACCACCACAAGGGAAACCACACCGTTTGGAATGAGGATTAAGGAATATGTTTTGAACAACCCAGCTGCCTGCTTGGGCACCTACGCCCCTTGACGGCGGCACCAAACGACACGGGAAGTTGGGTCGCCCTCCCTTGGGCGGCATTTTGTCAAGCCCATAGTCCAAGCATCCAGAAGATGGTCCCCCAAGCATAGAGAAGATATGAAGATGTGCGTCGCCTCACAAGAGGCCGCGATTCGCTCCAAAGGAGAATTCCACAGTGTCCAAAGCCTTGAACAAATAGTGTCGGTAGAGCTTGCTGTTGCTGCAAAATACTACCCACATCTACCCACTGATCATCTAGTTCCCTGCCCACCTATCACCGCTACACACAAACACATCTCCTGACCCTCAGTGACGGTTCCCTTCAACGCCTTCAACACAGCCCGGGAAAAAGCTGTCCCTCAACGACAAAAAGCAACCGCACCCACCTGCGACAAGTCCGCCGTGAGCATATCCCCCTGAAGCAAGTGGACATCCTGCGCAAGCCGACAGCCTGGAAACAGGTGCATGGTCCCGTAAGGGGGGGGGGAACTGGAGAGAACCAAAAGTGTATTGGCCGACAGGCATGAAAGCAGGCTGCGTGATCAAGGATGTGAAGCGGGCTTTCTGCAACATTGAAGTGAGCAGTGCAGGCTTGAATCCATCGGCATTTGGCTCCATCAAGTCCAAGCTCGAAGTTCAAAACGACCAAGCCAGAGTGAACCCTTCTCCAACATGGCCCCGTGAGGTGCCGGGCCTCCCCGGCCACGCCGCCCCCCAGCGCGCTGCGCAGGCTCTGCGCCAGCCCGGAGGACACAAGGCACGCCCAGGCCTCGCGGAGGAAGCGAGCGACGGGGAGGGGGGAGGCGCCGGCGGAGAAGAAAAAGGTGCCCACACAAACAATGTAACAACTTGCGTGACGCCTGAGGATCAGCCGACAACTCAACATTCTCTATCTCAAGCCGCTGTTTGTTCCTTGAGTCATGATGAAAACCTGGAATGAAGGGGTCGACCCAAAAACGAGTAAAGAATCCAAAGAGCGGCTATCCGCACACTATTTGCGGCCACAGTGCCTTCCCTTCCCCGCCTCGCTGGCCTCCTCCGCGCGCTCTTTCGCCAGCTCGATGCCCACGGCGCTCCGCACCGAGGGCCACTCCAAGTACGCCTGGCGACGGGCCGCCGCTTCGGCCCAAGGGCCCAAGAATCAAAGTCACAGAGGCGAGATGTCCCAAACCATTAGGCCTTGAAGTGAAATCAGGTGTTCTACAACAACCCTTTTGCATCAGGCCTGGTCTGCAAGCTGTTTTGACTCTCTGGAGTCTATTAATACACTTGTGGGGGCCTCTCTTGAAGTGAATCCCCGTGTTTCTCGTTCCGTACCATGGCTGCCTCAAACATAGACCAAGACCTTCTCTGAAAGCCAGAATGCAGAGATAAAAGGAGTGTGGACTGCTGATTTCCTCCAGCATTGCGTGCCTGGACGACGAGCTTGCCCACACCGCTACCCAGGTCCATGAAGACAAACGGCCCAGCCCTCAGTCATCCCGCAGGCGATCACTCGAGGAAAGCCCTCGCAAAAGCTGCTCGTAATTGCATGCGGCGTCTCTGCTGTGCGCCCAACTCTGATATTTGGGTGGCCATTCATTTGCAAGGGCTGCGTGTTGGTTCACCTCTTTCTTGATGCGTTTGAAGGATCTAGGTGATCTGCATCTTCAAAATCAGTCGACTTTTGGGCTCCAATCGTTGCCAAGACTTCCACTATCCAGAATCCCATCTTTTTAAGTTGGAGGCCTGCAAACGGTTGGTTAAATGTTGGAGTCCTTCAAAAGGCCCTGGACTCATTTTCACGCTTACATCACAATTGGTGGTTTGGATGAGTTCACGCAACTCAACCCCATCTGGGTGAATCATGGCAAATGGCAAGAAAGACATGATTCCCGGTTCTCCATAAAGGACGGAATGACCACGAACCATCCCTCATGGCTTCCAAGAAAATCTCCAGGTTCCTTCCCCCAAACCCTTGGTGACTTTCCGAGAACCCGCCCATCCCCCGGCGTCGCACGACCTGGCCGGCGAGCCGAGGCGAGTGGCTGAGCTTCGTCCAGGCCCATGGCCCGCGCCAGGTGCCGCGCCCCGGAGGCGGTGACCTCCCCGTAGGTCGTGGGGTTCAAACCGTCCTGGGGCCAAAGCCCGAATTCGGGGCGGGGGGTTCCGGGGGTTCTGGGAGTGGCTGGTTGAAATGGGGGGGACCCCCTAAGCTGAGTTTGTGTGGTGGAAGTAGGGAGGAGTCCCAACACCTCGCCTGGCATGCGTGGCTCCTACAATGGGAAAACCCAAGCAAAAAACTTGCTATGACAATTGCAGGCCATTCATTCTGCAAGTGTTATTCCAGAGAGAGAGAGAGAGAGAGAGAGAAAGAGATAAAAATAGAGAGAGAGAGAAAGAGAGAGAGAGAGAGAGGGAGGGAGGAGGGAGGGAGGGAGGAGGGAGGGAGGGAGGGAGGGAGGGAGGGAGGGAGGGAGGGAGGGAGGGAGGGGGAGGGGAGGGAGGGAGGGAGAGGGAGGGGGAGAGGGAGGGGGAGAAGGGAGAAGGGAGGGAGGGGGAGAAAGGGAGAAAGGGAGAAAGAGAGAAAGAGAGAAAGGGAGAAAGGGAGAAAGAGAGAAAGAGAGAAAGAGAGAAAGAGAGAAAGAGAGAAAGAGAGAAAGAGAGATCGAGAGATCGAGAGAAACAGAGAAAGAGAGAAAGAGAGAACGAGAGAACGAGAGAACGAGAGAAAGAGAGAAAGAGAGAAAGAGAGAAAGAGAGAAAGAGAGAAAGAGAGAAAGAGAGAAAGAGAGAAAGAGAGAAAGAGAGAAAGAGAGAAAGAGAGAAAGAGAGAAAGAGAGAAAGAGAGAAAGAGACAGAGAGAGAAAGAGACAGAGAGAGAGAGTGATGTGACCTGCTTTGAAAAGTGTGTCCTCCTCATTTCTGGGACATCCACAAAGTGTTGTGATTTCAACACCGATTCCTCCAGGATCTCGAAAAGCGCCTGCTTTGCTTGGTCATAACAAGCTCCAAGGGCTGCAATCAGAATGTGATGCCTGTTTGTCATGTTGCTCCGGAAGATGCTACCTCCTGTAATAGATGATATATATATATATATATATAATATACTAGTAGGATATAAAGATATAAAATGCTATTGTGTATAGTGTGTATTACAACAATAATAAAGATAATAATTATAACAATACCTAGGAATGAACACATAATGATCAAACACTAAACAGCTAGCAATTTATATGAGTAATAAATAGTAGTCAGAATAAAATGGTAGTACTAGCAATAACCAATATATAGATCTGAAAACTATGTGAAGCTTTGCCTTGACTCCCTGCAAGTGAATGGTAGTCGCCTTAAGTATCAGCTTTGCCTCCTGTTGCACGCAAGCTAGCAACGGCAGGATATCTTGATGGCAAAGGGCTGCCGACTCCTTCGAGCATCCAGGCTGTTTGTTTGAAAGCTAGGCCTTCAACTGAAGTGCTGATCAAATGCATCTTGCATTACGCATCGTCTTTGATCGCCCTTGGAGACCCTTTGCGCCGCGCCTCCTGCGGATCAGGATCCACACGGCATTCGAAGCCGCTTCTGCTCTTCCAGACCTCTGCCAGCGCCCGGTCTACTCGGCGCCGGTGCGCCACGACCGCCTCAGATGCCTCGGGCTCGTCCTTGGTCAAAGGCACCAACGCCGAGACAGGCTTCGCGTAGCGGCCGTAGCTCCGGTAGCTCCGATAGCTCCGATCTTTCCGCGAGGCGGCCCCAGCCGCTGCGACACACGTCATCGACTGCCACTTGTAGCACCGCCTCGGCAGGCTCGACAGGATCGGCCGCCTGGGAGCCAGCTTTGCAGGCCACGAAGCAGACCGCCATCGTATCATGGCAAGCGAAATGGTTCTACAGATCGCAAGTCACGTCCATGTTACATCTTCAAACAAATCCAATACAAAAGTTACTGATGGCAAACGAGCTTTGTTCATCGAGGCTGTCCAATGTCTGGGGTCAGTGGAAGCATGGCAGGCGCTTGCTCGTGACAGGCCTCCGCTCATCTTGGCAACGTGTCCGCACACAAAAATGCAATGTCTCACATGCTCCAGCCGAAAGCTGCGTATTTTGCTCAACACGTGCACAAGCTGGGGTGGCCGGGATTGGAGGGGAGGATGCAAACAAGTGGGTGTGTCAACATAGGGCACAAACAGAGACACACACACACAAACAAGTACCAGTAAGCGTGGCATTCCCAAAACTGATTGCTGCTGCCCACTCTGTCTGACTCAATGCCTGGTGGCTGTTGGAGGTGGCCATGCTGAGGGCTGAGTCGCCCCGCCTGGCGGCTCAAGGTGTCTTGTTCTGGTCAGATCAACACGGGGTTGTCAAAATTATGGGCCCCTTTTGGGAACCTCTTTGGAGGCTTAAGAGGCACTCTCTGTCAGGGTCCCAAAAATGTCCTTCTTTTGTCCAATCCGCATTGCCCATACCACCAGACTTTGATGTGTGCCTTTTCTTGGGGGAACGGATACATGTCAGGTCAGGTGCGCCTGTTTTGTACATCTCGCATGGCTCCCTTCTGAAGCAGCTCCTGCAGCAAATGCTTCCGATGCCCTGAAACTGAAGGACTCGTTTCCAAAGCGTGCTGTCAGAAATTGGAAAAGCGCCTGAAGGGCGCCGAGATTGCCGTTGCCAGCCGCATACCTTCGCGACCGCGTGTGGCTTGGAGCTTCAAGAGCCGCGATAGGCGCACATGAGGGCGGTATTGCCCTGCTCGTCCGGCTGATCAACCGTGGCATTCGCCTGAGCTTATCTGAGCAAATAACCAGATGCAGCGAATGAATGCGCTTTCACAGATTAGCAGGCAGTGCTGCAACTGAAGGAATTAGAAAAGGACCATACGCAGCCGTTCTTGCTATACGGTTTGTTTGGTGCAGAGGCATCACACCCGCATCAAGTCCCCGTCTCCTGGCCTTCAGAAGCAACGTGACGATATCCCGGTGCCCAGTGCCAGCCTTGGCTTTCCCAGCATTCCAAGCTACCGATTCAGAGTCATGGGGGAGCCATGGCAATGTCATCTCATGGCCCTTTGCAGTTCCTTCCTGTTAGTCACTGATAGTCACCATGCTGCGAGACAAGTCCCCTGATTTGGGCTCTGAATTAGTAATATCGACTGGACAGGATCAAGGCTCCGCCGAGGGGATCAACGTGGGCATGAGGTGTCTACAACCGAAAACCTCCGTTAATGTCAGCGCGCGATTAGGACCCCCCCCCGATTCAAGGTTTCCCCTGCTCCCTCTCAGATTCCCACAAATACGAAAGCAAAGGGACAACAAGGTTTGCCCAAAAAGCCCTACTCAATGTATTTGCGTGTCTCCTCAACACCCCCCCTGGTTAAAGGTATCCCCCTGCAGCCCCGAAGCCAAAACAACCCGCCAGAAAAGGGGCTTTCCTTTTTTCTTAGCATTTTCTTAGTCTGTCCCCTTAAACCCACCAATACCGAGTCACTATTGAACCCTCAAATTTCCCCAAACGTGTGCTTCCCCAGAAATGTATTTTTCCTTACGGCCAGCCCCCCTCATTAACAGAAAACCCTGGCGATGAACAGGGCCCTTTTGGGCTCAAAGACAAAAACTAGACCACGGCTGGCCCGAAAGCATAACATCGCAAGCGAGGTCGGCCCAACGCTGCAGGGTGCGTTCTTTTTCCCTACACGAAGCATTCGTGAAGCAAGCGCGAGACAGAACCAGGCAAGGTGCTCTGCGCAAACTGGTCGGTGCAAGTTGGTCTGCGCAAGTTGCTCTACGCGAGTTGCACTGTGCAAGTTGCTCCGCGCAAGTTGCTCCGTGCAAGTTAATCCCTGCAAGTGGCTCCCTGCAAGTTGCTCTGTGCAAATTGCTCCGTGCAAGTTGCTCCCTGCAAGAGTGCAAGCTGCTCTGTGCAAGTTGCTCTGTGCAAGTTGCTCTGCGTAAGTTGCTTTGCGCAAGTTGCTCTAGGCAAGGCGCTCTGCGCAAACTGGTCGGCGCAAGTTGGTCTGCGCAAGTTGCTCTGTGCAACTTGCTGTGCGCAAGTTGCTCTGCGCAAGTTCCTTTATGCAAGTTGCATCTTGCGACGCCCGCCCGCGGACCAGGGAGGAATCGAATCCGCGGGTCCCGGTCCCGGGAGCAGGCGCGCGAACCACGAGACAACTCCCGAGGACCAGTTCGAACCACAAAAGTCGCAAAAAACCTCGAGGTTTTGCACCTCGACCACGCCGATTCCCGCAGAGGGTTGCGCGAGCACCGCAGAAATCGCAAAAAACCTCGAGTTTTTGCACCTCGACCACGCCGATCCCCGCAGAGGGTCGCGCGAGCACCGCAGAAATCGCAAAAACCTCGAGGTTTTGCACCTCGACCACCTTGCAATGACTTTCATGAGAACAAATCAAGTGAACCCAGCGGAAGAACCCTTCGCCATGCTTTCGGGAAAAAACTGCTGTTGCCTTCTAAAGTCCTATTGCCCAGAAGGGGCCAGAAGTAAGAGGGCGAGGACCGAAGGGGCTCCAGATTAGTCAGGGGGGTCGTCCACAAATCTCCGGTTTGGGGACTTGTCCAAACCTTGTCGACCTTGAAGGGGGGGGGAGGGTTTACTGTAACCATTGCAAGAAGTGGCTCAAAGTCCTCTTTGTCTTCCAGGGCCAGACAGGCCTTGCGGGCCCAAACGGGTCTTGCGGGCAATCAAACAGCAGCGGCAGCAGCGGCAGAAGAAGAAGAAGCGGCACACCAGCAACCGCAGCACCAGCAGCACCAGCAGCAGCACCAGCAGCAGCACCAGCGGCATTTCCACCCATCAGCACAGGCACCACCACCAGCAGCAAAGCCAATCGTGGTTTTGAAACGCTGCTCACATCAACTCATGCATCTGAGAAAGTCACCAGAATCACCACGAAATCGCAAGAAAGGACTGAGCAAGTTTTGAGGCACTCCCTTTGTTCTTGTTCAAACATGAGCCACATGGTCCCTAAGGCAGGGTGAAGGGAGAAGGAACCAGACATGTGTAATCATGAACAACTCAATGCAGTCGAGAAAACGCTCCCCCCTCTGAACTTGCTGATAAGGCAGAGACTACTTCACTACTACAGTACTTCAGCCTGGCATTACCACAAATGAGTGTACACAAAACAATGAAACCCTGAATCAGAAGAGCCCTGCCGCCCCGGACTGTCCCCTAAACGGCCGCGGATTCAACTGCCACCGAAACAAGGGCCGGACGGCTTCCATGAGCGGAGTGAGCCCGCGGCCGTCCTGCTTTGAGCGATTGTGTCGTGCAAGACAGTTCCGCAATGACGACATTCTATCTCACGCACAACTGAGGGTTGCATAACCTTCTTGCCTATGGCAAAAACTGCTTTTTTGATGAGTGGGCGGTGGAGCTCCTTGTCAGCTCGGGGCAATTGAAGTGAAAATGTGCAATCCTTTCCTTAAACAATGTGTGCTTTGCCATTGTTACACGCGCTGGAGGGAAGTCGGAACTCCAACCTCCCCCAGCCCGCGCGCCTTGCCCTGCTTTGGAGCATCTGGATCAGCGCCGCTCTGCCTCGGTGAGAATTTGAACAGGGTGCAAGCCAAAACTGTGGACAAGCCCAAGTTCTGATGTCCACTAAAGGATCCAAAAAACTAAAATTCAGACCCATGTACGATTGAGGTCCCAAGATTCCGGCAGCAACACAGCAGCAACCTGCCGCAACGTGGCAAAACAAGCTGAAGAAGCTCTCCAACTGGTTGGTCTGGTGCTGACTTTCTTCGTTCATGGAGTGAGCGCGCTGAAGCGCCTGCCCCCACTTAACCAAGCTAGATGACCAACGTGCGTTGCCGATTTCAAAGGCTATGACAGCATCACCAACGGCCTGCGAAAAACCTCGCCCTGCTGCGTAGAGCAGCGCCGTGTGGCCTGGGAAATTCGGCCACGTAGTTTGGCCCTTCCAGTCTCAAAGGGGTTCCAACCTTGGCCAGTTTAGACGCCCTAAGCAGTCAACTGTTTACTGGCCGGAAGGGAGCATGAGCCAAAAAGGACAAACAGGCAAACCAGTTTGTGAACAAAACCCCAGTTGTAACAAATGTGCCATCAATCCGGCTGTCACGGTGGCCTGCCTGACTCATCTGCTGCATCGATGAGATCTGCAAACCCCATGTCCTCCAACCACCAGCATGACGCAAGTAAAAAGCAAAAGCAAGTCGACAGAAGGACAGCAGCAGCATATTGGTTCAAGTTTGGCCTTGTTCAGCAACAAGCCAGTGACGAGCTGCGGATAACCTGGGCCCAAATCGCCACTAAAGGGGGCAAGCTGGTACACAATTGATCCTTTGCCGGCCTTGCAACGGGGACAAACTGTTGTTCGCTGCTGCTTACAGTCATGTAAGGGCCTGAATAATTAGAATGGGGTTGTGGGGTACTGCAAAACCAACTTGAGTCATGTTCCTAAGAGAATGCAGCGTAACTATTTACCTCATTGTATGACAATGGGCACACATGCCGCGGATTGCCATCAGCACAGGCACTAAGTCAAGCTGAGCGCAGCACCGTCGTGGGCCGCAAAAATGAGCGCGGCATCCTGAGCGCCCAGGTCTCCATTAACATGTCAAAATTTGGGAAGCCCAACATGGTTAAAAAAAAGCCCAACCTGGGCACCATACAAGAAGCACGCAATATCGGTCGCATCCCTCTGTGCAGCCGGTGAGCCCCGTAGCTCTGCACGTAGCTCTCCATATAGCGGCCCACCTGAGCATCCCAAAGTGGCGATTCTGCCCGCTAAACAATCCCCCCAAAAGCCGCCCGAAACGTGAGACCCCTTCGAAGCCCAGTAAGGGGGGGGGTTGAGGGGGTTTGTAGCTTGGCGCTGATGTAAGGGAGTTAGAATAAGGACCGGATAATCATGCTTTGTACTCATGCTGGACCCCTTGTTGAATAGTGGCCTAGGGGTTGGCCACGCGGTTGAATCCTCTCTCTCCATTCAGATCCTGGCCTGGCTGTTGGGGATCTTCATTTCGTTGGCCGGTGGCAGAATGTCCGGCACCTCGCAAACATAGACAGGCCATACTCCCTTAGGCGACTTCTGGAGTGCCCCCTCTTCTGTTTCAGCAAATCGCAAAAGGCCAAGATACATTGAGTCAACACTGAGTCAACACTGTTCCCAATAGGAAAGAAGTCCAGGACCCGGTCAGCTTTCAGGATTGCTAAAAGGGTACTGCTGTGCAACCGAAAAAAAGCACTCCGCGCAGGCATGAAGCACAGAGAACCCTGCGGGTCCGGTCTTCGTGAAATAGTCAAGAAAGCCGCCAAAAGGAGTATACCTGAGCTTGCCGCAGTCGTTGCAAGAAATTAGCCGGTGTCAACACAGACCTTGACTGGTTTGCCCGGGAGGGTGGCTGTGCCACGAAAACACACACACACACACACACACACACCAATCTTTACAAGGCATAAGGGCGAGTCACGCATGTCATGATCCTGTTAGTACAGTAGAGCTGCGGAAACTGCAAAGAAAAGCTCTCACTCGCTTGAAACACATCTCTGAGCCCCTGCGAAAGGAGCATGGAGAGTAGCTGCAGGGCCAGGTACAGCGGCCACAACATCTGCCATGCGCAATGTGTTGAAGCGCATGTTTGAAACTGCTATGCGCCCTTTGTGTCTGGTCTCTTTGCAACCGAGCTGACTTCAGAAATGGTCGAAGCTCGGCTGTGCTTCAACAAATCGGCCGGCATGGCCCCAAAGCCCAGAAACCAGCCAAGCAGCCAGATGGCCACCTGGTCGCCAGGCGGGTGCCCAAGGCATGTAGCTGCGAAGGTGTCAGTCACCAAAGCATCGGCGGGATGCATGATCATACTGAATCATACATGAGCCCCGAAAGCTGAAAAAGTGTTGAACAGCAAGCGTCGCATCATCGCAGCGTCGCCGGCCGAATGGCTATTGGTTTTTGTGGGGGCCCACGAAAGTCGATGCGCTGTGTCTCGAGCGCGATGAACCTGTGGCCTTGCCGATTCTCGAGCCAACCCCCTCGCCAAACACCCAAGTCAAACGAGTACTGAGAGTAGAGCTGCAGCCTGTGCTGCATTTTGCCACCCCTTGGCCGGCCTCCAGTCAAGCGACAACTCAACCTGCTTCCGAGGACTCCAGAAGACGATGGAGACATCTGTTTGATGGTTCAAGTTCGCCCCCAATTGGAAGGAGTTGGGTCGTAGCAGAAATCATAGCGCGACTTTAAACAGGGAAGATAAACGCAACGCCACGTGGCACGGGTCACTCGCTTTGGTGGGGCGGTTCTGACATCGCCTTCACAAGGTGTCTGTTTCAGCAAGTTTCGGTGGTCTCAAAATGGTAGACCTCCAAAAAGGGTGGGGTTTCTTTGGCTCCCGTTTGGAGAATCGCGAAAAGGTCTTGAGGGTACCCTCTTTTCGGGCTTGCTTTGAAGGGGAGCGATCTGGGCTCCACTGCTTGGAGCTGCCGCTGGAGGAGCTTCTTCCACTCGCCTTCGCAAAAATCGAACTCCATAAGCCACTCACCCTCTGTGGACTGGAGAGAAGTGCTGACCACCCCAACTGAAATTTGTATTCCTTGGATTGGTACACAAAACACTTCGTGAAATCCTGGGAGGCATCAAATTCGGAGCCCCTTGATATGTCGTTGGATCCCTGAAGCAAGGCAGTTGCCTGGTAGGGCTGGATGTTGGGCATGGAGATGTTGCGGCCCCTGGTGACACGAGGGAGAAGTACAACGAGCTCAGCGATGCGGAGGCACCACACACTCACAAACTCCCTACTCCCAGAACTTTCATCCGCCATCGAGATTGTGGTGAAATCAGGAGCCAATTCACTGGCTGGTACCAACGGCTAACCAAAAGGGGCAAGCAATACCTGCCATTTAAAGCCAAGAAAACCTGACAACAAACATGGCCTACCAAAATATCAACTTCGGATTAGTGGCAGGAACCGTGCTGATCAAAGGTGGTTCTCCTTTTTGTGGGGGGGTGCTTCTCTTTAAGTCATGAGGTTGTTCTGATCAGTGTGCTCCTCCAAATGAGTTCGAAGCTACCAAGCTACCATGAAGTCTTGGGGGGGTTCCATGATAGTGGGCGGGAGGGTGGGCAAGGTTGCCCAACAAAAGCCCATGAAACGAAGAACAAGGGCAGAGCATTATGGTCTTGGGCTCCTTCCCCCCCCCTGTTTCCCATGTCCACCAACCATTAACCCCGCTGATTATGGGAGGCAATGGACGGATCTTGCAGAATCCCTCAGTTCTGCTAGGCTCCCGGCTGCCCCGTCTCCACATCGCCAGCCGCGCCGTGGCGCTTCATGGCGAAATCTCGAGATCGCGGTCGTGGAGAGAGGTCCGGTTTGACCTATGGTTGTCCCATAGAATGTTGACCTGTGGCTCTGACCTATGCTGATTTCACGGGAAAAGCAACCGGCAACATGTTCAGAGAGTCAGGATGGCTGTTGCCCAAATGCCAGCTTGGCTCAAATGCAAGAGACCCATGGCGCAAAGATCTGGAGCGCCGAATTGTCAACTGAAGAAATACTCTTTACATTGGCCCCATGCGAAAAGATGCAAAACATGTCTACAGGCTACAAGCTGACTTGTATGGCAACCCAAGAAGAGATGAGCTGTTGCTTCCTTGGCTGGTCCCAGAATGTCCCATGTGCTTGCAATGTGCTACAAAACTGGAAGCCTGGCTGTCACCTGCGTGCACACAGCGCCAGTCCTTTTTGGCGGCACCCGCTTCAGGCGACTGCAAATGCAATGCCAGGCCGGGCCGCGATCAGCAAGACCAGGAACTCGCTGGTCAGGTCCGGACTTCACTGAGCTTCCAGTGCGTTGAGGTCCACCATGCCACGTGCCATCGGCTCTGCCGTGAAACCGCCATGCGCAGTGGGCCGAACACGAGCTGGTTGCTTCATGGATCTTCATGCCCCAAGCCGGAGTAGCATACGCAGGAACCCCTGTCCGCATGCTGACCAAATCCGTGTGCAGGAACCAGATCCTCCACCATGCCATGCCCTTCGCGCTGCTTGCTTGAACCGATGCCGAGACTTGAGCTACGAAGCTACACGGTCTGGAAGGTCGCGGTGATGCCGGTTCTCCGCCATTCTCTTCGGCCCAGCAGGGCGAAGCGTACCGCCAAGGAGGCGAAATATTGACCACCCGGCTGCAGGCCATTCCTTATAGATGTCTGACGCGAGGGGTGGGGTACGGAGGTATGAAATGAACAGTCCCCGTCCCTGTGCAAATGAAAACGTGAAGGTGAGAAAGTCGATTTGAATCCTGCCCAACATCCAAAGCTGCTGGAGTTGACTCCGCATCACCTAGATTACGGACTGTTGAAAGTGATGGTGGCAAAGGGCGGCTGGCAACCTTGGACAATGAAAGTACGACCGGGTTGCATGGCTGACTCACTCCCCTCCTTTCAAGTCAGCCAATTAGCAATTTCACTGTTGGCACGGAAACTTGCTAAGGGCTGTTCTTTCTAAAGCTTCATTTCACGACTCTGGAAAGCTGCATGTTTCTTCTGTCTAAACTGAAGGCGATGCAATATGTAAGCTTCAGCTGCAAGGCATCTCGGAGTGTCGCCCGTCTGTGCTGAGAAGTTGTTAATCTGTCGGGAGAAGCGCTTCAAGCAATCTGGACATGGTCAGAGGTTGGCCAATTCGCATGCAAAACATGGGGCCGGCTTGTCACCGGAACCCATTGAGGCGTTGATGCATAGACATTTGAGCCGCAGTCCCAACCTCGCATATGGGGAATTGTCGTCAGGATCCGCCCAAACAGTTGTGTTGTACCCGAGCAAAGCGTTCACGACTATCTATATTTGTCGTTCCACGCACAGTTCATCAAGACATCCGGTTTAGGATCGCCTAGTGTCTTTCTTCCGGGCCACAGTAGTTGTTTCGACAGTCCCCTATCGTTGTTCTCCAAAACACTTTCAGGTGACGTCAACACTTGCCCTGACCATGCACAACTCGTTTGCCAAGCTTCACCCTGGCCTCGCATGGAGCCAAGCTAGCGGCCCCGTACATATCCAAGTCCTCACCAAGAAGTTTGGGCTGTGGATCCAAATGGTTGCAGTCCTGTAGTCTGTTGAAGAATTGTCGCTCCTGGAACTTCTGTTGCTAGCCATGATCTGCAATTATCTTGAGCTATTTGGGCACCCGTCGAATTCAATTGCCCTTTTTCTGGGCTCACTGGCTCTGCTCGAGCGCGACCTTTGAGCGTGACAGCAAACCCAAACACAGCAGCCACCCACGAAAACACACACACACACACACACACATGTGTGTGTGTGTGTTTACACAAAGGCGAACTGGCCAGCTCTCGTCTCTGGCATCATAGGCCAGCCATGCCGCTGTTTGCGTCCGTTGATTCCCTGAATATTGCTAGTGAGAGACGAAGCAATGCAAAATTTGCCTTTCTTGAAAGTCCCACCAGTCTTTAGTTTGACGCCAAGGTGTGGATGCCGATTGGGGACCCGTGATCGGGCATCGTTTACGTGGGGCGATGTGCCGCTGAAAATTCACAGCCACCGTCCATAGCAAAAGCTGGCAGTCATGGTACAAAGGTGACCCACCTCTTGGCCAGACTGAAAAACGGCCCGCAACATATTGAGATATTGAGTTCTTTGTTACAAGAGGAAAACTTGAGGAGCGGGTGAACGAAAGCTAGCAGTTGTTGCGTGAGATGGGTCGGTGACAGAGTGGATTCATAGGTAGCTTGTGTACAACGAGAGGCCCGGCAAGATTCGTAGGATGCGACACGCAAACGCACATGGTGGCGTAGCAAACCTTGAAAAATGAAAACAACGAGAGGCGTCAGAAGCTGTCTTAAAGCACCTCTGGGTTCTGCACGCTGCGTGTGCAAAGATTCTTGCGAGGTGGTTTACCGAGAAGACTGAGGTCTCAAATGAACAAGCTGAATCGGTGGAACATGTAAAAGTTCGTAGCACCAAGTCCAAAACGGGCAAACCGAGACTGCTGAACACTGAGCCACTGCCCGGGGGGGGGGGGGATGGACCAGGGAGGAATCGAGCCTGAGACCGGGGGGGGGGAGGGGGGGGGGGGTCTAAATAATTGATGTTTTTCAATCTTTTCGGCTCAAATAATTGAAAAAATCAATCTTTCGGCATTTGAGCCCCTTACCTTGCTTACGCAAGGAGAAACTTCAGCTAGCTAAAGCTAGCTTTCGTGATAAAGGCACAAGTGAAAAAGCAAAGCCAAGTCCCAAGTCTAGCAACCCAGTCTGTCCTCGCGCTCCTCGTCCGCCAGAAGCACGGTGCAGTGCCTCTCCATGCCGCCTCCCGGTAGGCAGCGAGACCTTGGGTCACAGTTTCTACCAATCCGGTTGCCACCAGCTTCCACCAAATGGCTCCACTATCATCCTACCTCTATAGGTTGCGATGTGCCGCGTGGAACGGATTGACTTTTGCCAGCATGGTTATTTTGTATGTATTGCATCAAGCCAGGTCGTGAAATCACCTGCTCAAATGGCCTATCGCAGTTTTGACTGTCGCTTCTACCGGCATTGTTGTAAAAGTTCCTGATCATATCCCATGAAGCCAGGTGGTTTCATGGAACCACCTAGCAAAATGATCAAGTCTTTGTGGTGGGTCTACCAAAATGGCATGTATTGGCCTAGCTGCGCTCTCTTTTTGAGGCAGGAATCAAATCGTGCCACCACAGTGGCCAACAGGTTTCGGGGGCTGCCCAACTAGTACCTCAAACTGGGCAACGTTCCCGCTTCTCATGGCTCAAAGGGATAGGGCATTCATTTGGAGGGGTCTCCGACTTAGAACCCAAAACTCCAGTGGACACTCACCAAGCCCAAGAAGTGAGTGGCATTCAAACCCCGTTGATGCCTTGCGTTAACAAATGTGTAAGACGTTTATGCAGACCCTGAGGCTATCCTTGCTTAAGCCGGGAGGAATCCTTATCAAAACGGCCGCCAGGGTTTGAGGGCACTTCTCCAGGTCATATCTGTCAACGAGCAATGGATGCTCTTTCTGTTGAGCTGCCATCCACCACCCAAGTGATCCTCAGTTTGGGCGGCTGCTAGTTCAAGGCATTGGCTCCGAATGAGACCCATCGTCTCCGCACGGGAAAACCAACCCTCAAAAGAAGACAACCCCGGATTCTGGCCGATTTCCCGAGCGGCACGTCCAAGCGGTACTCCAAGGTTGGCCTGGCGATTGGCTCAATGCGAGAAAACAAAGCATTCATTTGACAAGTTCAAGCGCATGTCCGCGCTACTGCCACTCCTGCTTTCGTTTTCAATTCGTTGATCTGCCAGATTTTGGATGGAGCAAAGCTGACCTGCTTGACCCCTTCAAAGCTTCGTCGAACCACCAGACCGTTACCATCAGGGCAGAACCCGCACCGGGCAGGTCCCCAAATGATGTCCGTTGGGTTTGCCTTCAACATCATCCAAAAGATGGATTCATGTTCAGTCTTATAAGGACGTAATTGCGTATGATGGGTTGTTCTATTTGGGGGTAACCTTTTTGAGGTTGTTTTCAACATGAAATGGAAATAGCCCATTTGGGGTACCCCAATCCAGAACCCGGAATGTTGCGCCCACCATTGGTGTTTGTCAAAAATGAGGAACCTCTAAAAGTGGTTCTTTTCGTTTTCCTGCCACCAAGGAGCCCCTCATTTTGGACAGGCAATAGTCCCCTGGCTGAAAAAGGAGGGGTATTTATTTTAGGATTTTTCCCGTTTTTTTTTTGATTTTTTTCGCTTTTGGCTTCTTGGCTTCTTGGCTTCTTGGCTTCTCGGCTTCTTGGCTTCTTGGCTTCTCGCTTCTTGGCTTCTTGGCTTCTTGGCTTCTTGGCTTCTTGGCTTTTCGGCTTCTTGGCTTCTCGGCTTCTGGGCTTCTAGGCTTTTCGGCTTTTTGCTGGTTTATGCGGCTTTTGGTGGCTTTTTGGCTTTTCGCATCCTCTGCATTCCCAGTTCCTCTTCGGCAGGTGGCGTTTTTCCGACATCATGGGGGGGGCTGCCGCCCCCCCCAACCCCCCCGCTACGTTTTAGATTTTCTGCAGAGATTTAATTAGTTGCACCCCTACTTGAATCATCAATTCTTCGAACATCATGGGGGGGTTGCACCCCTAGTTGAATCATCAATTCTTCGACCATCATGGGGGGGCGGCCTTAACCCCCCCGCTACTTTTTAGACTTTTTGCAGAGATTTAATTGCACCCCTATTCAAATCATCGCTTCTGCAAGCAACATCGTGGGGGGGGCTGCCGCCCCCCCCCCAACCCCCCCGCTACTTTTTATATATTTTTTACAGGGATTGACATGGCCTCCTACTTGAATCATCATTTCTTTGACCCCGTCACACGAATTGTTGGTGATGCTAGGGATGTTGGTGGGACATGCGGGGTATATTTCGTGAGAACATGCTGTAAAATACGACACTTTACTGCCCGGCAGATATTGAATTGCACCGCTGTTTGAATCATCACTTGTTCGAGCGTCCAATTTCGCGAGAAAATGCTGCAAAATACGACTTTTTAGGTAATCTGTGTAGTCCGTGTATGTTTGTATGTATGCATTTCTTCGAACATCATAGGGGAAGCCACCCCCGCCAACCCTCCCGCTGCCTTGTAAATTCTATCACACCCTTTCTTGAATCATTGCACCCCTGCTTGAATCACCACTTCTTCCGACATCATGGGGGGGCTGCCGCCCCCCCCAACCCCCCCGCTACGTTTAGATTTTCTACAGAGATTTAATTAATTGCACCCCTAGTTGAATCATCAATTCTTCGAACATCATGGGGGGGGGCTGCCGCCCCCCCCAACCCCCCCGCTACTTGTTAGACTTTTTGCAGAGATTGCACCCCTATTCAAATCATCACTTCTGCAAACAACATCGTGGGGGGGGCTGCCGCCCCCCCAACCCCCCCGCTACTTTTTATATATTTTTTACAGGGATTGACATGGCCTCCTACTTGAATCATCATTTCTTTGACCCCGTCACACGAATTGTTGGTGATGCTAGGGATGTTGGTGGGACATGCGGGTATATTTCGCGAGATCATGCTGTAAAATACGACACTTTACTGGCCCGGCAGAGATTGAATTGCACCCCTGTTTGAATCATCACTTTTTCGAGCGTCCAATTTCGCGAGAAAATGCTGCAAAATACGACATTTTAGGTAATCTGTGTAGTCCGTGTATGTCTGTATGTATGCATTTCTTCGAACATCATAGGGGAAGCCACCCCCGCCAACCCTCCCGCTGCCTTTTAAATTCTATCACACCCTTTCTTGAATCATTGCACCCCTACTTGAATCACCACTTCTTCCGACATCATGGGGGGGCTGCCGCCCCCCCCCCAACCCCCCCGCTACGTTTTAGATTTTCTACAGAGATTTAATTAATTGCACCCCTTGTTGAATCATCAATTCTTCGAACATCATGGGGGGGGCTGCCACCCCCCCCAACCCCCCCGCTACTTTTTAGATTTTTTGCAGAGATTTAATTGCACCCCTGTTCGAATCATCACCCCGCTCTGTTTTTCTTAATTGTTTTTTTGGTATTTTTTTTGCTGGGATTGAAATGCCCTCCTGTTTGAAGCATTATTGTTTTGACCCCGTCAACCCGCCAGCTACATTTTTGGATTTTGTTACCCACGATTTGTTGGTGATGCTAGGGATGTTGATCGGACATGTGGGGGATGTTGAAAACGATGCTGGGGATGTTGACGAGCTAGTGTAAAATGCGTCAATTTCGCGAGAAAATGCTGTAAAATACGACATTTTGCTGGCCCGGACGAAAAAAGGAAAAAAAAAAAAATCCGCACCCGCTGAAAAAGGTGTCCAATTCTAGAGGCGAATCCTTGAATTTGAGGGGAGACACCCCCAGTCATCAGGTTGATTACTCCGGGGCTACTTCGGGGTTAACACCATACAAGGTGGTTAAGAAAAGCCTTGTTGGCGGCAAACTCGGGCCTGACCCCCAGGATGACCATGAGTAACTTTTCCCACAGAGTGGTGAAAGTCCTCTGAACTTGCTTTGGTTTCCCTAATGGTCACCCCATGTAAACAATGTAAAGGACCTTTTCATCGGCTCCCTTTTGGTCCCCGAGCCCAACGAGCGCCTCCCCCTGGCAGAGCCGCCGATGGGCATCTCCGGCGCCTGCACCAGCGGCCACCAGCAACGCGCGGAGCGCCCATCCAGCGCCTCCACCAGCAGCCTCGCCACGCAAGCACGGGGCCTCTCTGTCGCGCGCAAGGCGCAACAAAACGGGGCCGGGCACAGGAAGCACAAAAACAAGGACTAGAGCTATGGAGAGCTTACATCTTGGAAAAAGAAGAAGAAGAAAAACGGAACTGCAAAGAACCACGGAAAAGACAGCAGCTGTAGACCCCGTTTTGCCGTCGGGGTACCGGTTTGTTCTTCGAGTCCAAGGGCCATGGACCAAATATATGGCGTGCCAGAACAAGCGAACCCTTGTAGCTTGAAAAATGACATCTAGATGGGGTGCAGAACCCGGAACACCCCATAAAACCCAATGCAGCAACCAGGAGGGGTGCCTGGGCTCGACTCACAGCCATGCTTTAGGATAAGAGTTCGCAAAGGTGAAGGGCCATGACCAAGATGCGTAGATCGTAAATACACCACTGTGCTTTGCCACTGATGTACAAATCAAGAAGCAATCGGAAAGTGGGAAGCAAAAAGTCAAAGTCAGCTCTGAGAACTGGGACTTTGCGCATCTGACACTGGCTAAACAAAGCTCGATGCCCACTTCTTGCAAGCAGTTGCGACCTTTTTGTAAGGGTTCTGCACCACCTTCTTAGAAGGCATTCTAAGAAGAATTTGGAGAATCTTTGTGGCGAGCAGGGGGCCCTACTATCTCCCTTGCTGGGTTTTCCAACATGACCTCAAGCTCTCTGTCACTAGCAGCATCTATGAGTGGGAAGGACGCAATGTAAGATCCAGGGTGGTACAGTACCATCACAAACCATGAGTGGCATCTCTCTGCTTGGGAATGGCTGCGGATGTGTCAAATCTAAGGACCCGGCACAAGTTATGGGACAATCTTTGAAGGACCGCGCAATGAAGCAAACTTTAGGACCCAACTTCGGACGAGTTCGGCAAAAGATCACTGCGTACCGCGAAAAACCTGCCAGGCAGCTTGCCCATGTGTGGCTCCGACGCTGAGGGCACCGGATTATCAGCTTCTGGAACATCAAACCTGCGCCCATGCAGTGCTCCCCTTTTGGTGGGCATCAGAAATACATGGTTGGATTTATAATATTTGTGAAGGTGTTCCAATCAAAATCTGCAGCCGCACGTGGGATGAGTTGGACACCCTGCAGGGCACCTGTCAAAAGGGAAAACCACCGGCTGCAAAACTTCCAATGGTTTTGAACATTCCCATGCAGAGCGTCTGTTTGATATCCGCACTAGATGGGCTTGTCGCAAACCCAAAATGAGTGGTTGTCCTCTTGCAAACCCCTCACAACAATCCCAAAACGGGTACCCTCAAAAGAGCATATGCTCAACAGCGCAACTGGGTCCCATCAAGTGGCATTCTCAACATGACCCGTTGAATGGTGGTCCGACCCAGCACCAGCCCTTGCAGTCTTTGAGGCTGGCACAGGACGGGAGGGGAAGCCGCTGACCACGAGGAAAAGCGCCGGCCATCCCCCACTCGCACGCTGAGCACGTAGTAAGCCCCGAGCTCCAAGCCCTCCTCTTCGCCAAAGACGCTGTGGCACAGGGATTCCTCGCTTGCAACCAAACGGACCTGGCAAATGAAGGACACATCGACCAACATTGGAAAACCGAAAGATGAAAAGGTCGGCTTTGGGCAAGCAAGATGCTGTCTCCGTGGACACCGTCAGGTACTTTTGATCCAAGACATGCCACTTCTCCACTGGGCTCCATATCTCTTCTCCATCCTCATTCCGACGAGCGGTGCGCCCGCAGCGCACCTGACCAAACAACAGCTCGCCGTTCTGGACGGCGTCGCTGGGCACGAAGCTGGCGCGCACCCGTACGGCTGCGACGGTGCAGAAGACCTCGCCGGCCACCTCCGTGGGCGTGTCCACGTAGGTGAGGCACGGCTCGCTGCAGGGCCCCGCGATGCGGCGGTCCACCGAGTACCACCGAAAGCGGCAGCGCGCGAAAGGCAGAGGCGAGGCCGCCACGCAGGGCCGCGCGTTCAAGTAAATCAGGGACCAGGTGACGGCCGTCCAGGCATAGGCGTGGCACACGTCGCCCAACACGTTGCAGGCCTGCAGCTCCAAGGGCGGATCTTCGGAAATTTCCACCCCCCAAGGCCAGCTCAGCAACGCGGCTCGCCCGCGCCAGCGGCCGCCGCCGGCCTGAAGGCAGCGATGGGCCACTTGTGCCTTTGTTCTAATATCCAAAAAAAACGATGAAAGGGGTATATCTTCAACACCAACCACTTTGCCCAAAACTGCGATGCCGCCTCAAAAGCAATCTGAACCCCTTGAAAGTCCTTTACTTTCAAGCAAAACACCCTTGCAAAACCACCGCATGTTCTCCGGAAACAAACTCCGGCCCGCTGACCCTCGAGGGAGGAAGAGCATTTGGCCAGGGTTGGGCGTTCAAAAAAGAAGAAGAAACAAAAACCTTTGGAGTTCCCTTGAAGGGTGAGCCGCTTGTCCGTCGAAAAGTTCCACCACCTTTGGAGCTCCCTTTACAAGCTTCCTTTAAAGGAACCTTACGGCCCAACCCTTGGATTTCAATCCCTTGCAGGTCACCTGTGTCCAGCTCCCCTTTCCCTCGCCTCCAGGTCCTCGGGCACCGGCAGCACCTTCGGCGCTGGCAGGTCCCAGCTCTCGGGCGCCAAGTCGCTCAGCGGGCCCGGCGTGGGCGGCCACATCACCTCGCTCCGCGCCACCTGCGGTTGCATCCAGCGTTTATAAAGTTTATGAGTTTATGGGAGCCACGCCCACCCTCCCCCCCCACCCAAATGTTGGCATATATGGGACTACTTTGCAAATCTTTGCAAACTGTTTGCTTGGGATAGTGGCTCTTTGGGGGTTTGAGTCCGCAAACTCGATTCTAAGAGTTCATGGCATCCCTTCCATGTATTGCTTGGAGGTTGGGGATTGACAAAGATGTGCAAATCTCCTGAAAAATGGCAGGTGATGATTGAATTCTCAAAATCCCTGTTGAATCCCAAAAGGCGATCAAGGCAGCGGCCCTTGGAGCGGCTTGTGGAATTGTGACCCCTTGGAACAGCTAGTTTGTGCAAACAACAACAGTGACGCTCACCCCTTGGACCGGCTTGTTGCAAAAGGCAAAGCTTGGCCTCGTTGCTCTTTCGGCAAAAAATGTTTCCCTTTGAATCTCAAGTGGCCAAACATGGAAGTGCCCCGGATCTCTGTCCAAAAGGAATCTTAAGTTCGCCTCCAAGAGAGCTCTGTGCGAAAACCAGCCTATGCTTATTGGTGGGAGGACAACCAAAAACTGAGCGCCAAATGATGTGCGTGCGGGTTTTTTCAGGGCAATCGTTTTGAGGTGGTTTGAAAGGGACATAGTTTTCTTGGGGTCGCCCTAATTCGACACATCCCCTTACAGATTCTTTCTCACACGAAGCGACCGCAAAGCGAGCGCCTCGGCAAACTGTGGGGCGCCCAGCAAATGGCACTGAGCCCTGGCCAAGACCTTGAACTGCAGCGGAGTGCCGGCGTCCATGTGGCCCACCTCCACCTCCATCACGTTGCCTCGGGCTTCTGTTTGTTGACCCCAACGTAGACATATACCCAGGTATGGTTGGTTTTCCGGACAGGGAAACCTCGAGGGAACTCAAAACATGGAACCCTGCTCGGGGGACGCGAAGGCAACCTGCTTGGCATCACCTCCTATGGGTTTCCTGCTGTTTCGGAGTCTCCCTGCCTGAGCTGGCATCGGTCTCTCCCACCAGCGCTATCAATTGAGAACTGGCTTTCACCTGGCACAAGCGGCGATGTGACACCAGCACAAGCACAACCACAAACACACACTAGCAGCGCCCGAAACCCATTGACTTTGGGTTCCACTAAGATCATCATAAACGTATTTGTCGCCCTTGCTATTACCCAAAATGGCCACTAGGCCTTTTGCTTAAATCAAGCGGTTTCATTTTGGCCTCCCTTGCAAAACAACTCCAAAAAGGGCGCCTTGCCAAAGAAACAGGTCAAACAGAGCACACACCTTGAAGGGGTGAGCCCGAGCCCGGCCTCTCGACCCGCTGGCCCCACTTGGGCCAGGCTCAGAAAGTACTCCACCGCATCCCCAAAGTCGGTCCAGAAACCTCCGACGCGGCAAATGCAAGAAGGGATATCAGCCGGTAACCAATTCTACCCTGAAAGAGGTTCCAACACTGCTCCAAGGCTCCAAGGGCCCCAACGCGCCCTTGTCGGGTCCTTCTTAAGGTCTTTGATTCTTTCACTCTTTCTGGGGCCAAAAAGTCCACACCTCCACGAGAAGGAGAAAGTCAGTAGAAATGGAACTGGAGAAACCTGCCCACACCACAATTCCATCTTGGTTCACTAAGAGCCAAACAGGGCCACTGCAGGCGCACCCGGGCCTCACACAGTTTCAAGGACAACTGCCTCGAAGGATCCTAGTGCACTGGGAACCAGGGCTGGGCTCTTGCCCAGGGCTGGGCAAGAACTGCTTGGATCATGAGATATGTCCAGAATGCGTTGTGGTACGCATACAGTGTCAGAATTGAGATGCCAATTTGAAAGGCAAAGGACCCATTTATTTGCCCGGGCCCCCGGCCGGCGGCAGCGGCGTCACAGTGAGGCTGGCTTGGGGAGGCTGCAGCGCCGGAGCCGTCATCTCAGCGAAGATATCCGCAAACAATCAAAACCCTATGTATTGAAGAATAATAATTGCATTAATTGAATACCCGATGCAAACAATCAAGAAGAACGGCTACGTCGGCCCGGCTACGTCGCCAAGCTAAGCTCCGCACATGCACTGGCTTGCTGAAGCCGCTCCAAGCAGACCATCTGCAGGAATCTCCAACTCGCACAGCGAAGAGCTGACGCTGGCCCTCGCGAAACTGCGGCTGCCTCACCGGGATCGTCACAGTACAAAGCCGCCAGCCGTTGGATCCCTCCGCTTCCGGCAGCACCCGCGCCGGGAATTCCTGCACATCGTCCTGTTCGTGCGCGTCGCCAGCTTGCCGGCAGCACAGCTGCATGCGCGTGGCCAGTCGGTGCCCATGCCCCGGCGATCTCGACTCTGGCTCCGGCTCCAAGGCGCCCACGCCAGAGCCCGCGCTTTTTGGCAGCAATTCCGTACCTCACTTGCCCAAATCGCCTGGAAGCAAAATGATGAGCGGACATGGAGAAAACGACATTCTGTTTTGCCATCTTCAAAAAGCTTCCACACGACTCTTGCTTACAGTGTTACCCCTCAAACATCACCCCAGCAAAAGCGCAGCCATTTCAAAGAGACGACCAAAACGTCGCCTAACCACACGAAACGGGGGGAACCCAGGGTAGCCCAAAGGGATCGCCGGACGCCGAGCGCCGAGGCGCGGAGGGCAAAGCTCAGCACCAGCTCCAGGCGCCCTGCCAGGAGGGCCTTCGGCTTCTCCGGCGCAGCGAAACCCGTGGCGAAGGGCCCCGAGCTTCGGGACACCCAGGTTCCTCAGCTTCTGAAAACTCAGGTTTCCCATGGGGAAACCGGGTCTGAATCCGGGAATCCGTGGTTTTGCGGGCAAGTCTGGCCCTCCACCACGAAGCAACTGTCTTCCAAGGCCTGCGTGGTTCACTTTCAAGGGAAACCATGGAGTGCCGCAAGGGCTGAAAATGCCATTCCCGAAGCCGCCAGGACGGGCTGGGGCCTTGGTTTGGGGCAATACTCGTTCCCCACTTCTAAATTCCTCGTCAAGGGACTGCTTTTCTGGATGATACCAAAGGGAAATTCAGACAAACACGGCACTGCGCAAAGGAACCCCAGGCTCTGCTTACGAGGTACATGCCAACACGCAATACGTGCCTGGCCTTCAGCTAGAATTCAAGCGAATGCCAATGCAAGAATGTGCTTGCGGAGACTCCTGCTGCCTTATAGGCATTTCCTAAAATAATGGACGCGAAAACGCTCCAGCAGCTGGACAACACTTTGGGGCCGATATCCAAAGACCGCCAAATAGTCGGCGTCCTTTTGGTTTTCCCTTGAAAGCCAAACATGAACTCCCAACAAAAGCCACGGCATTTGGGTGTGTGGTTGTTAAAGGAAACCACCATTTTGGGTGTCCCTACTTGCCATAGTGACCATAGTGTTCCCTTGGCTCCGCTTCCGAGGCTCTGCTGGAGAGGAGTCCATCCGAGTCCTCGCACTGCAGCCTCCGGCATCTGAACTCCACAGCTTCCACCTGGGCGAGGCCGCTTTCGACCTGCCCGCTGAAAACTCCGAAGCGTGCAGTGCTCAGACCAATCACGAAGGTTCTCTTTCTAAACGGGAAATGTGGAAAAGCAGAAACCAAGCAATTTGGGCCTCCAAGTCCTCCAAGTCCTTCAAGTCCTCCAAGTCCCAGGTGCAAAGCGCCGCCTTGCCGCACTTGCCCTGGCTGCGCACCGCCGCCGTCCGCCAACCGCCTTGGCGGTCAAGGCCGCGGAGGATGGCAGGGCGCCACTCCACTCGGTGGGTGGCAGTTTCGCCCAGGGCACGGGGGTCCACCTGGCACAGGCCGTTGGCCAATGGGGGGCTGGAGACTCCCAACACCCTTTGTGGGATTTAGAGGGAGCCAAAAATGCGGCGGGTTGGTAGGCATGGGCGCGACCAAACCCCACCTCCAGCCAAAACTCGGAACTCCATGGCGAACGGAGGTCAACGCCCCCGTGATCAGCTGGAGGCGCCTGATTTGCCAACGGAGCACGAGGAACACTTCGTACAGGATATGGACCCCCAAGAAAACATGTCAAACACTTTGTCCTTTGATATCTAGCACCTCCAGGACGTTGCAGGCTTCGATACGATTTACGTTGGATTCCTCGTGACAGTCATCCGGCCTTGAGAAGCCATGTGCAGTCGAGTCACAACTTGTCTTACTGCTAGTGGCGGCTCACAATCCTCCGTATCCACACCTGAGCTTCTTCGCACGTCGATTGCGCCACCAATGTCAGCCTGAGGTTGCGGCCGAGGGTGCGGAAGTGGGCCTGCCGTGGACAGCGCCATGCAAGACATGGATGTCTCAAAATGGGGAAGCTGCCGAAACACATGCCCAAAATGTTGTTTTGCAGACTGGCCTTGAGCGCGATGTTGCTTCCACCCTCATCCTCGCGCAGCGAGTTCTAACATGTCCGTGAGTTCCACTCCTATGAATATGCGGCGCATCAAAATCTCGCCGGCTTTTTCTGAAGACTGCCCACAGGCACGGACAAATGCACATCCTGTCCGGTGTTGTGGCCGATGTCTGCAGGACAGGCATTATCAAATAGGACGCTGATTGCTGCTTGGCCAGCGTGAGGCAACTCTTGTGACTATACACGAACATTGTAGCACAAAAAGGCACGGCAAAATGTTTTTGCATCAAAAGCAACTACAGAGACGAGATACCTAAGTGGGAAGCCGGACTGACAGAAGCTAGACTGGCCGGCACAACATGGCGCTACCTCGCAAAACCCACGGCTCATGGGTAAAACTGTTGAGGGGAAGCTTCGCTGTTTCTTTCGCGCAAAAAATAGTACATACCCCTCCGGTCCCAAAAAAAACAAAGAAAGAAAACATGGTTTTAGGCGGTATTTACTAGCACTTTCCTGGTTCAATTGACAAACATGGGCACCGACGAGGTGATCTGTCCGCCTCCAGTCACAAAGTGTCAAAGCCTCGCCGCTCACGACTACCACCAAAACGGAATGAATCTACGACACACCAAACCGGGGTTGCCCTGCTGGGCTCAAGGCAGTTTGCGTGCTAGCGAAGGCCAGCTCATGTCGTTGCACAAGCCAATGTAAAGCGAAGCTTCCTCTTCCACTTCTCTTGACTTGCTGGTTCCCTCAGTTCTCTCTGAATCCACCTGTGCTTGAGCCGCAAAAGCTTTCGTGCCCAGTCCGCTTCCTTTCGGGGTTCCTTGAAAGCGGTCCCCATTTCTGGACACACCCATAGTTGTCCCAAAGTGGGAGGTTTCCTTCTGGGTTCTCCAACCCAAAAAAGGGAACACCAAGAACATGGCACACACACACACAAACCCATCCATCCATCCATCTCGGAAGTCCAACCCATGGCCATCCGCTCCTGGAATCGGCCCAGCCACGGGTACCGGCCACGAACCTTCACCACCTGACACTCAGCTCCAAAACCCCCCCCAACCCCGGGCTCACTAATGGGTATTTTAACCGAACCTCAAATGGGCGCGTCTTGAAAAGGCCGCCCTCAAAAAAAGTTCAGTTTGATTTATGGTGCAGCTTTCCTCAAAAAAGTCCATCCCCCATGTTGGGGGGATTCCATATCCAATTTTGAGTCAAACCCAAAGGGTCTCCAAAGCGTCCCTCCCCCCCAGAAGTTGTCAAAAGGGAGTTCCTTGGTGTCACAAAACCTGGCCCCAAAAATTAAAGTCCCACAACCACGAAGAGGTTCCTTCAGGCTGCACCTTTGTGATTCTCCCTCAGGCTTCCTCGTGTTCACCCGTTCTCCTTGGCTTGGGAATGTGTCAAGCACGAGAACTCCACACAAGTGGTGGGTTTCCCCTTCGTGTCCTTTGAAACCAACCCCAAAAAAACTCTCGAGCCTCACTCAAAAGGCACCGCATCGACATCCCGCAACTGCGGTGGGGCCCCCACATAGTCCGTATCCGCCACTAGCCCGGACAGCACCGCGTGGCCTGGGCCTAACTTTGGCTGGTTACCCCAAATGACATGGGGACATTGGGGCTAAGAACGACAACTGGTATCTTAGGTCGTTCCATATCTTCCCCGAACGAACAAGTCTACTTGCCACTTCCAAAGCATCACGGACCTTACAGAGCTTGTCAGCTGCTCCATGCCGAACTCCAAGATGTAGTGCAACTCTTGAAACTTGTTTTGGCGAGGTGTATGTCTCCCGTCTCTCGGACAAAGCTTGGGCATCTGCATGTAGTTCAGCAGCCCGAATACTTCCATGTGAGGTAGGTCTGAAATGTTCACAAACTACGCAAGCTATGCCTAGCTTCAAGCAAAGGGGAAGAAATGAAGGCTCGAAGCTCCAAACCTTGAATACGTTAAACAAAAAAAAGTCGAAGGCAAGCTTCAACGCTTTGAGCCTTCAACATATTCATGGGCTTGCATGTCTTGAAGATTCCCCTTCGTGAAAGTGTTCATAGCTTATCCCTATGCATGTCTTGGAGGGTTGTGCCAACAAACAATGCATGTGTGGGTGTGGGTGTGGGTGTGTGGGTGTATTCCTCAAGTTCCCTTTCATAAAGCCTGACAGGGAGTTGACTTTTGCAAGAACCAACAACGATTGAAGGCGGATGTCGATTTCAGTTATATGGCGCGGTTGTGTTGTGTTCGGAATAACCATGCTGGCAATTGCAGTCTGGTTACAAGGTCCATGCACATCGCGGAAGCATGTGAGCAACCACATCTAGTGAATTGTGCTGAATGGGCGGGGTGGCCACATTCAAAACACATTCCTCACGTGGCGCAAACGCAAGCAGAAGGCTGGCTGGGCCCGGAACCGCCTGCGGGAATCGTGAGCTGCTGGCGCTCCTTCGAAGGGCAAGGAGTGCCACCCTGCAGGTTACAAAGAAAAGAAGAACAAAGAAAAAAAACACCTGGAAAACTCCAAGTTGGAAAAAGCAACCCATGTTTGTTGCTCTGTTCTTTTAGGAAGAAGAGTCAAAACGGAAGGTTTGGGCCTTTGAGCAAGGAGCTTTCTTGTTTGACATAATCGAGTATCATATGGCCGTTCCTGCAATTATGAGCGTCCAGTCTGTTTAACTCGTGTCAAGATCGCTGCGCTTATTGTGCCATCAGTCCAATCTTCTAGTTGCCAAGAGCTGGCGGTGCGGCGCCTTGCTCACCATACTACAGACATGATGCTCGAGCAATCCCCGGTCAACGTGGCACTATGAGCATCACCGGTGCGACAGCAATACTGGCTGCTCTGTCCGCTCTCATAGAGCCACAGTTCTGATAGATCAAGCCAAGCCGCCTCAGACCGGATTCCATGTTCAGCCTCAAACCGGTGCAGGGTGTGCTCAAACAGTGAACCCCGGCTTCGTGTCAGGAGGTCACCCAAAACTAGAAGCCCTTGCCGCAAATAGGCCTGGCGGCCAGGAGAGGAGGGCCGCAGTTGGAAGCCTACGTGGCAAGGCCCGTCCTCAGGAAAGCACGAGCAGGTGGCAGTCACCTCCAGGCTGCAAAAAGCTTGCCACCAAGTGCTCCTTCCCAACATGGCCTTGATTCCGTACTGCATTTGTTTGCTCCCCGAAGGGCTTAAACCCAGCCACTGTGCTGATGTTCCGGCCTTGGTCTATCTTCTGATTTTGACTGACTCAAACCCGGGGGACGCTAGAAATACATGGGGGTTCATGTCCGCCAACGATGTTGGAGTGTTCCCAACAACAAATAAGTATGGTATGTAAAAATACTCATACCAAAGACCCAAAAGAGACAAAAGAGCGCGCGCGCGCACACACACACACACAAACAAACACACACCTTGCCAGCAACCAGCACACCCAAAGCATCGCCTCGTAGTGCACATCCTTGAGGCCTGCCAACAAGTCAAGTGGGGTCAGCGGTCAGCGAGCTTTGTTTGTGCCTCACCGCAAAGGATAACCCGCCAAAGGGACACAATCGCCAAACAAAACGTAGTATATGTTTTGCTTCTCAGGGGCACCCATCATGTGGGGGGACACCAAACAGTGAGGTTCCTACCCCCCTCCCAAAAAAGGTGCTTTTGGATGCAGAAGGGCTGTACACGGTGCAAATGTCCTTGTGCCTCTAAGGCGGAACCATGTGCGGTCAAAGCGTTTCCAAAAGGAGCCTGCGGCAGGCTCAAAGAGTGGCCAAAGCACCTGCGAGGCGCTGTCAAATCGAAGGCAGAGGTGTGGGTGTTCGAGGGAACCCTTTTGATTCAATTGGAAGTCGCGATTGGACCGAGAGGCAACTGCCCGCTTTGGGGCTCACCCAAACAAAGCTGGATGCTTCAAGACGCAATCCAGGCAGGTCCACAACTCGAGGAATCTGTGCACGACCAGAAAATGCCAATGTTTCTGCAGCCATGGACGCATGAAACTGTGGGGACAAATCCATGCCCAGCATGTCGAGCTGGACCCTGCGAAGCCCAACCCTCTTGCACCCTGCGAATGCAGCGAAGCCCAACCCTCTTGCTAATCTTCTGCGCCAGGTTTGTTGCCCGTGAGGCCAAACTTGCCATCTTTGCCAAAACCGAGGAGGCGAGGCGCTGGCCTGCCGGCCCACTCTGCAGAATGGGCTCGGTCACCCCTTTACGGAAGAAATCCATGCGGTGGCTGTCAACGCCCGTTTTGCCATGCCGCCGGCCTCCGCCACGCCCGGGCCCAGCTGGCACACGGTCAGGGCCTCAAAGATATCCAGTCGCGACTGGGAACCTTTTCGGGGAGAAGTTCTTCCAACTGGCTTCCCGCACCCGGCAGGGCATGTCAGTTCATGTCCAAACACAGAACCTCTGTGGCCGTTGGCGGCATCCCCTTCTGGTTGCTTGCAAAGCCAAGGGATCTCGGCGCCCGGACCCCGCGAGCGCGCGGCGCAGGCACGCGCAGCTTCAGTTGCTGCTCTGAAGACCAGTCCTGGGAAGCTCCACCCTGTGCAAAACTATGCAAATAGGTCAATGCCAATGCTGATAACGTGTGAATTCCAAGCTAACGGCTGAACTAGCACAACTCTCGGATGGTCTGAGTTGCGGCAGCAAAACAAAGATGGTTGAGTGGATAGATAATTTGGCTGCCTGCATGTCAGCCCATTTGACTACCTGCGATTGTACAGCTGGAAGGCCATTCTTCTTATACCTGCGAGTGCACTTGAGGATCAGGCGGATTTGCGGCAGCTGTCTCCGATCCGAGCACAAAAAGCCACCTGCAGCTGAACAAATGCAAGCTAATTGTACAACGTGAATCGATGCACCGCAGCTCTTTAGAAAAATGCAGGTGCAGAAACACCTCTGCCAGATCCTGTTCAAAGAAAAGTTGTTCTTCTGTACTAAGACCTTAAGCTCACATGTTTGCCAACTCCGGCCACATGCGTTCTTCAGTGCAATGTTACCTCCGTACAAGCAGTATGTAAAGGGGGAGGAATGAACATTCCTATTTCTTTCCCTTGGACTCGCCGACGCGGGAAGGCGAGAGGGAAGGTAGCAAAGTGGTAATGGTTGGAAGATTTCTAGTTGCGTCATCTCATCACATCCTTTTCCTTCGTCAGGCTGTGTCTGGAGATGGTTACCAACCCTTCACCTCCTACGTTCCTCCGCAACGCTTTACAGTGTCTGTGCACTGAACCTTAGCTGCGACCCGTCTGCTGCGTGGAACAGAAGGGAAGTGCTGGTAGGGTCAGTCACATATCTGCTGAATCTGCTGAATTGCCCCTCACGTGCTGGCACGTCACAAACGCATTTAAAGCCAGGCTCAGCAAAGCAACCCTCTTTCAGGTTTGTTCAACGGAGCACCAAACGGGAAAGGGCCCACCATTTCGGAGCAGGCATCTCCATAGCCCGCACGGCAGCGGGAGCGTCTGACCCAGCACAGAACTAAAGTCGCTCTGCAAGCAAGACAACGGCATCCTCTAAAGTGGGCAAGTCAAGGACATGTTTCACACACTGTTTGAGTTGTTGGGGCTACAATTAAAATGGTTAATAAAGCATTGTAGATGGACCGTACTATAAACCCAATGCAAACAGGAAGCAGGATTAAAATGGCCAATACAAATGGGTTTGGAGCGCTGCTCAGTGACTTGCTCCCAGTGTAGCAGGTTGCAACTTGGGAGCTCTGCCTGCTCTTGGTCACTGAGCATCCCGAGCTCCTGGCGGGTGCGAGTCACAACCGAAACCCATTGAAGGAGTCTGCGGTTGGCACTGTGAAGCAGTAAGCCTACAATCACTCACCTCTTAGAGCCATGCCAAATGGAGCATTGTGTTCGTGCTCAGTCTCACTCTCTTTTTTCTCTCTCTCCCTCTCTCTCTCTCTCTCTCTACCCCTCCCGCTCTGTCATGCTTCATGTGCATTGCAACTTTCATGTCCGCTTCCCCTCACTTTCCCCCTCATTGCAGCTGCCTCAATGTCAACAATGAACTGCTGGTCTTCGATGCTTGCCGCCTTTCCAACAATACTCCGCCTCAAATTGCCGCGAAATTCCTCAAAAGCATCAGCCCCCAAGTTGGCTCAAATCGCCAAACCGCTAAGTTGCCCGCTCCTGAAGCATTTTCTGCGCCTCTCTGCTTCCCTGGCGCCCAACATGGGTCCCCTATTTGAGACACCGCTGTTGCGAGTCCCCCGAGAGCTTTACATGGCACATTCAGCAGCGCCAATTTGGTGCCTTGCTGCTCTCGGCCCTGACCTCGGGTTGACAGCTTTGCGGAAAATAGCCCTTGTGATACCAAAGTGAGCCCTGTTGCGTCAAAGGAAATTCCCCGTGGTATCACGGAAAGTGGCCCTAAGAAACAACCTTCCACAACCGTGGCTCCTTCTAGGAAGAAAATTGCGCTCGATCTGTGGAGCGCGCCTTGAATTGGAGGACTGCAGCGTGACCTTGGGTCCGTGACACGATCCAATAGATTGCCATGGGCAATCGGTGGCTTGAGTTGTCTCCAATGGACGGAACCCCAAAATGGAGTCCCCTTGAATTCCATTTGTTGCTTCCGCTCCAAATAGAGACTCTTCAAAAAAGACACCCCCCAGCTGTTGGCTTTGGGCCCCGCACATTGTTCTGAGGAGCAGCTTCTAGCCATCAGCTGGATGGCCAGGCCAGCGTCCTCTGAGAATCCAGCTTTGGGGACCCGTATTGGTTGGTGTTACAGGGAAACCAACAGGAAACCAACAGGAAACCAATGGAAGCAATCGCAAGATGATCGCTTGGGGGGCCGGTCGCCTGGACGAGGAGCCTTGCAGACAGCATCTCCGGGGGCAAAAATTGGGGCACCACCGCCACAGACGCGCTGACCTCTGCTCAAATGACATTGAAAGAAGCATTGCTAGTCACAAGTCCAGACCACCTTGGGAGTAATCCACTTCATGAACCACTTACTCGTTCTCAGGAAAAAATACAAACAATAAGTGTACAACGCCTCCAGTGGCAGACCAGACACTGCATCTGCCACGACCAAGGCCCAAGCCGGACCACACACGTGGCGTATCCGCCTGGGCGCATGGGTGCATGCGAAAACAAAAGGCTGAAGCGCTGGCTGTTGCGAAAGTCATGCCATGGTGTAAAGGGTCGTGGGGCCCGCCAACGAGTAACTCACCAAGCAACAAACGTGATACATTTTACGGCTGCGCCCGTCCAAGTGACAAGGATGTTTCTCGTGATCAAGTCTGTTGTAGGGGAAGGATGCACCTTACAACAAGTGTTGCAGCAAGCCTTCTAACTTCTAACCCAATCTAATGCCTAGTTTATCATGACATCCCAAGAATCTGCCATCGCTCCCTTGACACATTCCCCTCTGAGTATGGTGAGCCCGACCCAAGGATTGAAAGCGGCCCATCAATTTCGAGGTGACACCGACTGTGGCCCCAAGAAGGTGATGTTCAAACCATCCAGAAAGGGGGCATACAGCAGGGTCAGGCCAACCCCGTTCAAAATGTTTGCAAACAAATTATTGCAGCATCCCACCACTGGCTCCCCTTTGAAGCCAGTGGTTGGGCAAAAAACACGTTGCCCAAGCCTGGAAGGCCCTCGTGTGAAACTTGCACACATACCAAGGCCGCTGCACCAGCACCCGCGCGGCCATGTCTGGCAGCAAAACCCGAAGGCCTCGGAAGGCCAACTCCAATTGGCTGATGAGGCAGGGGCGCCCCTTGCGCCCGACACTTGAACGCGATGATGTAACAGGCTTTTTTCGTGGACATACATGCCGGCAAGCAACTGTGCCCTGAAGCCACCAAACGGCCCAGAAAACGCGCCCGCAATGATCTTTTGGATGGGCGCAGCACGCTGAATGGATTTGTACTTGCACTTCGGATGAAACCGGTGAAACACAGCGGCCTTGCTCGCTCCTCAAATGGAGAAGAGGAAGACCACGGCAAATCACGGGTTCAGCTGAACGATCACAGAGGTAATGTCATCGCAGTATACATTGCTCTCTGTCCTCCATTTCTTTTGTGCCTCAGCTTGCAGCATCTTCAATGCCTCAGCTGGCCCAAGTTGGGCTGCCTTCTTGGCCACTGAATCCATAACCTGGTCAGTCTTCAAGAATTGCCATAGTCCGTCGCTGCCCAGAATCACAAACATGGCGTCCGCGCGGTCCACTGTAGTCAGCGCCACTTCAGGTGCGGCGCATACACCATAGTCCTTGACACACTGGTCGCCGAAGGCGCGGGAAACGCCTAGTGCTGGGAAGTCCTTGCCTGGGAGGCACACGCGACCGTGGAGAACTTGGCCGCCCATGGCCTCGATTCGGAGGCCCTCATCTGCGTCTCCAGGCGTGTGGTCCCGCGTCGCAAAGACCACCCTCTTCTGAGACCCGATGGCGCAGCGCGAGTCGCCTGTGTTCGCGGTCCAAATATTGTCGCCCTTGATTAGCGCAGCCACTGCCGTGCTACCGCTTGCCAGCAAGTCGTATGTGTTCTCCAGCGAGTGCGCCTCCAAGTCCTGCTGCACCTTCTCAAAGGCGTCGGTGAAGGACTTTTGCACTGCATCTTCCTCGACGCTGTCACTGACCCAAACAATGTGGTTCATCAGGAAATAGGGCAAAGTTTGGCTGGCCCTTTGGGCCACCTTGTGGCCACTTCTTCCATGACCGTCGCACACGACAATCAACAAATGGCCACTTTGGAAGTGCGTAACACTCCAGTTGTCCTGGTTTGGAGTCTTGTCGCAGAAACCTTTGCTGCCTTTCTCGCACGCCACCATGACTTGTGCAGGGAGCTTGCCGCAATGGACGCGCTTGAGCTCGTCCCCTTTGTGCTGCCCGTGCGTGTTGACTCCATGCATGTACCCCAGGACCTTTGTCAGGAAGAATTCCTCCAAAGTACTTTGCGCAACCGGGACTCGAACATCATTGAGCCCAGCAAACGTTTGCGCTCTGCATCCCTCTGGGATTTTCAAAGCGCACCCGCCGCCGTGAAGCTCATCCAGTAGAGTTCGGCCCACACCGTCCACCACGTTGGTCCCCTCCCGCTGCAGCTTGCCCTTGCCCAACTTAGGCGCCGGGACCTCCTCTTTTAGCGGGGCGCCCAGAACGAAACTCAAGGGCCCCAAGCAGTTCCAGTTCGTGTTGAAAATGATCACTTCGCGGCGCATGCTGCATATTGTCACGCAGCGGTTTGGGATGTCATCCTCCCATTGCAGGCCACCGCCTACGGCCCTCTGGTCCCGGATGAACTTGAATTCCATCTGGGTTCGGCTGGCCTTTGGCCGAAGCCAAACTGGTGCAGTGTACCAGCAAGGATAGCTCTTGCCATCGGTGGTGAGGGGCACTGACTTCTCTGGGTCCCATGCACCCAGTTCATCTGCTTCCCCAACAACTCGCAGACACTCACCAATCTGCGTTTTGGCCCAAATGGCGAAAATGCAGCTGACCTGTTCCTCCGCCGCGTTGGGCCTTGAGCATTTCAGGTCGGCATTTGGCGTCGCAGGCAAAACGGCCTTGCAACTGTATGCCGACTCTATTTCAGGTGTCTTTGACACTGTCGGCGCCATCCACTCTTTCTTGTGCTCCCCAACGCAACCCCAACGGCTGCAAACTGTCCAAATGCCTTCCACAGGCAAGCTTAAACAGCGGTTTGGGATGTCATCCTCCCATTGCAGGCCACCGCCTACGGCCCTCTGGTCCCGGATGAACTTGAATTCCATCTGGGTTCGGCTGGCCTTTGGCCGAAGCCAAACTGGTGCAGTGTACCAGCAAGGATAGCTCTTGCCATCGGTGGTGAGGGGCACTGACTTCTCTGGGTCCCATGCACCCAGTTCATCTGCTTCCCCAACAACGCGCAGATTCTCGCCGATCTGGGCGTTGGCCCAAATGACGAAAACAACGCCGACCTCTTGGTTCTCTCGAGCCATTTTTCACAATGGCTGCAGGAAGCAAGTTGCGCAACCAGCCAAGAAAGAGAGTGTGATTGATCAGACCCAACGGCCTTGCCATCAAATGCACAACAATCCGAGCGGCCTTCTTCCAACCAGCTCTGAGGTTGCTGAGTGCAGCAGCAATCAAGCGGGAGCAGGTACTATTGCGATGCATCCGTTCCAGTTTCCACGGATGTTGAAGCCAACCAAATGGATGCTTCTGATTGAGAGTGCATCTCCCACAACAATAGGGATATGTCTTTTGACAGTACATAGGGGAAAGCCATTTTGGGGGGGGGTCCCGCTCCAACATTCTGAGACAATGTCACGTGCAACTTTGAAGACTTTGCTGAATGGAATTATTAACATGCTGTAAGCCTCAGCAGCGCGCCAGAGCCGTCTGCAAACTTTGCATCCTGCAAAAAATATCTCATGGCACACTGCTGTTCGGCTTTCAGTTGTCTTTCTTGCTTTGGTTGATGCCCTAAAAAGCTGGGAGTGGGAACCAATCTGCGTTTGACTATTGTGGTCGGTCTGCTTGACGTGCTGGGATCGACACGTGTCCCTCCTCTGTCTGCTGAACAAAGCCGCCGTGAATGGCACTTCTGGTTGCCAAAACCATTCCCAGCATTTTGCCATTCGCAGCACAAATGGTGCACGCGCACAAACACCATAAGGGCCCCAGTCCTTGTGAAGCCCATGTCGGAGCTTAGCTTTTGAAGAAGAGGCCAGCTGCCAACTGCCCGCCTCCTCATTCCTTCGCGGCGGATTTGGTGGCATGAAAGCATGATCAATACCCACAAAGACAAGGGATGGTAAAGCGGCCCAGAGGGTTTGGGCCCCCAACAAACCTGCACGTTTCCGGGGCGTCTCAACAAACCCTCATGTGCACTGGCTGTCCCTTTCCTCCATTCTGCACTGAAGCACTCAGCAACCCAGGATGCCATCATGGGTGGGAGCCTCACATGGCGAGTTGTGACTCAGCATGCGAATCAAATCGGCGCCGGGCCAGAAGGAGTACCAGCTATAAGTTGGCCTTGGCAAAGTGACAAGTTAGTTTGGCCAGTCCTTGCCATGCGGTCTCAACTCTCATTGGGACCCTTTGGTGGACATTTGAATGGGAACACCAACCATTTTGGGAGGGGACTTCCAACCGCAGCGCTTTCGGCTTTGCATGCTTGCCAAACGTCTGTGTTCATTCAGGGCTCGGCTCTTGCGGCTCCAAGCTGGGAATCTCCTGAGGTTCCATCGCTGCAACGTTCCACCCCTTTCAGTTGTTTTCGCAACCAAGGCCAGCGCCCCCACCAGCATCTCATCAGGCACTGCTTTGATTGGAGGCACCCCCTGCCTCCGAAAGCACAGGTATCCTCTTGCATGGCAAGACTCTGCTGGTTGTCACGGTGCCCCTAATGAAAAAAGAAATTCTTGAGATGGTCGAAATGCGCCACTTTGAGAAAACACCCTGTTGACCCTGCGGGCATCTAGGTGTCAACTCCCGCCGCGCCATCCTACCCGACCCATGTCTCCCTTGAGGGCAAGGCTCCGCCCCGCTCAGGGGCTGCCTGAACTCCTGGTGCCAGAGTCAATTGAGCAAAACCCATTGGTTCTACTTTCGTTGTCAGTTGTGAGGCAACAAATAAGCCTTACTACTCCCATTGACCGACCACTAAGCTGTGCCCAAGATGTCTGGCAGAATGAAGTTCTGGCTGGCGCTTAAACGGAGCACAAAAGGACATTTAAATTTACACCACTCAACCCTCTTGGCGTGTCTGTCCCCAGCCCGCCTCCAGGTTCTCCCGCCACTCTGCATCGATGCCCAGGCGACGGGTGGACACTCGCACCTTGTAGCCTCGGGCTTGGAGGAAAACAACTGTACAGATTGTTGGGGCTTTGGGTTTTGAGGGTTTGCAGTCTAGGGTGTGGGCACTCCCCAGGCTGCAGGTATCTCAGCTGGCAGGAGAACTTTGCCTGGCCAAGCCGGTTGGCCCAGAAACACACTTGCACTTGAGGCCTGTGTTACTCTTCAAGGGTGTTTGGGGAGGGGGGTGCGTGGGGGCCCGCAAAGAGGGTGCGGCTCTGGCTTTTTGAAAAGGAACCATTCTAAACCCCTCCGTCGTCCCTGTTGACACATGCCAAATTACAAATGTTTGCAGGCAGAAAGCAGAATCTCCTTTCCGCGCACCAAAATAGGGGTGTGTTGTTGCCCTTCCGTCTGGGCTGGTTTGCAAAGCCCCAAATGCGCTAGGGTCAAACTCTTTAGCCATGGTTCCCTTTGACAGGGATTCTTATAGATACTTGTCTACGCCAATTGGGTTTCATCGCTCCGCGACAGTATTGCAGGCCAAGCTCCAGCCTCAGACAACTGCTCCACCACCACCGTTTGCCATGCTTCGCCAGCCTGCAAGGTTCGCAGCGACATGTCCACATCTGTAAATTAATCTCGGGGACAAATCAGGTGCAAAGAGTATGGGTCCGAATCAACTGAGTAACCAAGTAACCGGGCAAAACCAGTTCATGGGCCTGGGACGTGGACTTTCACCATGCCCCAATGCCTTGCCCAGTGAGGTCTCTATACTCTCCAGCATCTGGGTGTGCTAATAGAAAAACGGATGGCACCAATAGCTTAAATGATTCGAACCAAAATCAGGCCACGGTTTGTCTCCAATGGAACCCTCAAAATATGAAGGCTAAGTTTAGCCTCTTCAAACGAGTACCCCCCCAAAAAAAAAAACGTTCAACCAAACTGACCTAGAAAGGATGCCACGTTTGTCAGGCACACCTGGCTGATCTCCACGCGGCACTGCACCTGGCAGCTTTCCCAGTCGGGTGGGTTGAACCAACCAGGCGACGCAGTACATGGCCACCCTCCATTTTGGGGTTGCACCGGGAAACCGAAAAGAAGCCATCACATGGAGGGGCCTCATGCCGAGCAGTCACGCTCACAGGCACTTCCCATTGAAAGCGCAGGCTGGCCTTTCGCACAGCCCCACTCATCACGGCAACAGCCTGGGCCCAAACGTGTGTCACAGAATCTGCAAGGAGCAAGCAAAAATTATTCTTTGAGCAAGGATGACTAGTGAATTGTCAAATAGAATGCTACGCATGGCGCACAAGTGGAACAATCGCACCTCCTTGCAACATCACTGTTGAATTGTGTGCCCGGCACTTGAACGCGATGATGTAACAGGCTTTTTTCGTGGACATGCCGGGCAAGCAACTGTGCCCTGAAGCCACCAAACGGCCCAGAAAACGCCCACAATGATCTTTTGGATGGGCGCAGCACGCTGAATGGATTTGTACTTGCACTTCGGATGAAACCGGTGAAACACAGCGGCCTTGCTCGCTCCTCAAATGGAGAAGAGGAAGACCACGGCAAATCACGGGTTCAGCTGAACGATCACAGAGGTAATGTCATCGCAGTATACATTGCTCTCTGTCCTCCATTTCTTTTGTGCCTCAGCTTGCAGCATCTTCAATGCCTCAGCTGGCCCAAGTTGGGCTGCCTTCTTGGCCACTGAATCCATAACCTGGTCAGTCTTCAAGAATTGCCATAGTCCGTCGCTGCCCAGAATCACAAACATGGCGTCCGCGCGGTCGACTGTAGTCAGCGCCACTTCAGGTGCGGCGCATACACCATAGTCCTTGACACACTGGTCGCCGAAGGCGCGGGAAACGCCTAGTGCTGGGAAGTCCTTGCCTGGGAGGCACACGCGACCGTGGAGAACTTGGCCGCCCATGGCCTCGATTCGGAGGCCCTCATCTGGGTCTCCAGGCGTGTGGTCCCGCGTCGCAAAGACCACCCTCTTCTGAGACCCGATGGCGCAGCGCGAGTCGCCTGTGTTCGCGGTCCAAATATTGTCGCCCTTGATTAGCGCAGCCACTGCCGTGCTACCGCTTGCCAGCAAGTCGTATGTGTTCTCCAGCGAGTGCGCCTCCAAGTCCTGCTGCACCTTCTCAAAGGCGTTGGTGAAGGACTTTTGCACTGCATCTTCCTCGACGCTGTCACTGACCCAAACAATGTGGTTCATCAGGAAATAGGGCAAAGTTTGGCTGGCCCTTTGAGCCACCTTGTGGCCACTTCTTCCATGACCGTCGCACACGACAATCAACAAATGGCCACTTTGGAAGTGCGTAACACTCCAGTTGTCCTGGTTTGGAGTCTTGTCGCAGAAACCTTTGCTGCCTTTCTCGCACGCCACCATGACTTGTGCAGGGAGCTTGCCGCAATGGACGCGCTTGAGCTCGTCCCCTTTGTGCTGCCCGTGCGTGTTGACTCCATGCATGTACCCCAGGACCTTTGTCAGGAAGAATTCCTCCAAAGTACTTTGCGCAACCGGGACTCGAACATCATTGAGCCCAGCAAACGTTTGCGCTCTGCATCCCTCTGGGATTTTCAAAGCGCACCCGCCGCCGTGAAGCTCATCCAGTAGAGTTCGGCCCACACCGTCCACCACGTTGGTCCCCTCCCGCTGCAGCTTGCCCTTGCCCAACTTAGGCGCCGGGACCTCCTCTTTTAGCGGGGCGCCCAGAACGAAACTCAAGGGCCCCAAGCAGTTCCAGTTCGTGTTGAAAATGATCACTTCGCGGCGCATGCTGCATATTGTCACGCAGCGGTTTGGGATGTCATCCTCCCATTGCAGGCCACCGCCTACGGCCCTCTGGTCCCGGATGAACTTGAATTCCATCTGGGTTCGGCTGGCCTTTGGCCGAAGCCAAACTGGTGCAGTGTACCAGCAAGGATAGCTCTTGCCATCGGTGGTGAGGGGCACTGACTTCTCTGGGTCCCATGCACCCAGTTCATCTGCTTCCCCAACAACTCGCAGACACTCACCAATCTGCGTTTTGGCCCAAATGGCGAAAATGCAGCTGACCTGTTCCTCCGCCGCGTTGTCGGCATTTGGCGTCGCAGGCAAAACGGCCTTGCAACTGTATGCCGACTCTATTTCAGGTGTCTTTGACACTGTCGGCGCCATCCACTCTTTCTTGTGCTCCCCAACGCAACCCCAACGGCTGCAAACTGTCCAAATGCCTTCCACAGGCAAGCTTAAACAGCGGTTTGGGATGTCATCCTCCCATTGCAGGCCACCGCCTACGGCCCTCTGGTCCCGGATGAACTTGAATTCCATCTGGGTTCGGCTGGCCTTTGGCCGAAGCCAAACTGGTGCAGTGTACCAGCAAGGATAGCTCTTGCCATCGGTGGTGAGGGGCACTGACTTCTCTGGGTCCCATGCACCCAGTTCATCTGCTTCCCCAACAACGCGCAGATTCTCGCCGATCTGGGCGTTGGCCCAAATGACGAAAACAACGCCGACCTCTTGGTTCTCTCGAGCCATTTTTCACAATGGCTGCAGGAAGCAAGTTGCGCAACCAGCCAAGAGAGTGTGTGATTGATCAGCACCAATAGTTAGTTACATCCCTTCACGTAGCGACAGGCATGGCTCTGGAGTGTCTGACTTGTCCAACCACTTCTGAGGCCCCGGCGTCCACTGCCAGCGCCGCCTCGGTGAACAGCATCGCTCGGGAGGGAGTCACGCCTCGGAGAGACGCGGCTCCCATCGCTCCATTCCTGGGCACTGAGGCCGGCGCTGATTCGCACTTGCTCCTGGCGTAGGCAATTGTTGACCTGTACCCTGTATCCGAAATCCGTTGGTCTCTCCTTCAAGAAACCTGTACACTGTAAACGTCGAAAGGGGAACACCTATGCTCAAAAATCCATCACATGTCCACCAGAATGTTTGCGAGGCTACATAGCCCCCCACTATGACCGCACCAGTGATGTGGCATCTGTTGGGTGGGTGCTCAGGCGTTTGGCCCTCTCCTGGACAGGAAAGCTGGCTCTGAACTCCCCGCTCCAGGTGCTTAAGGTCACACCCTGGGAGGCTTGACGTGAGCGCACCAGCTTTTGGAATCTGGCGACGGATTGCTGGCTTCTTGGCTTGCTCGCCCTTCAATTGGTTGTCATCGCTAAGTCACATTGCTTCCAAAAGCGTACCGAGAATCGAGTGTTCAGCTGCAAAACAAAAGTGACTCAACAATACCTCAGGCAACCCTGAAAGATACCTGCAAGCAATGGAACGGAAAACCTGACACTGAGGCCAGCACAACACGGTAGCCTCAGCGTGCTCAATTTGCCAGACATCAGAGATGGGCCAGCCCCTTGAAGCATTTTTAGACGACTATTAGTGTTAAAGTGGCGTCCCTTTGAAAAGGGGGGAGGCAAGGCCAGCCGTTTCCACCCGATTTTGGCCAACCATGTATCAAAGCCGTCGAAGATCAAGATCAAGCTAGGTCGCGAGACGCACAGCAAACTTCAAGGATGTACACCGCCAATCCTGGCAGGCCAAATACGCAGCATTTCATGGGCACCGTTGAAGTGGTGTCTTCTCTGAATGACCATCCCTATCAACTTGAAGAAAACAAATGGCTTCTCACCTCGTGCAGCATGCGCACACACACACACTAAAACGCTCAGCTGCCCAACAGCTGAAGCATCGCAAACAGGCTAGCCCACCTCCCTTAAGGGTGGCGGTCGAAGCGTGAGATTGTCCTGGATGACCCGTGAAGCAAGCGCTTCGCCAACTCCCAAAGCACTCCCCTCTGAAAAGCTTTGTGCCTCTGCACCAGTGCCTGCGAACGGGGTGCCACAGTCTTGAAGCAAGCTGTATCTTGCAGTGAAGCTTGATGATGTCACACGGAATGCGCTCCAAGCTGAGATGTCCAAGTAAGTTACACACTGCAAAGTCTCGGTACCTACTGGTAGGTTTGATTCTCGGCCGTGGACTGTTGAAAGAAGGATAGTGATCTGAGTAGGAGTTTAAGTATGCAACCTTTTGGCAGACATCACCTATATTTACATGATAAGCATGCAATTTCTGTCCAAATTCAATTTGGTGGATATTCCAACCATTGAAACTCATAGCCGTATGCAACCCACAAAATGGGTGGTGTCCCTTTGGCGTCCCCAAAAAAAGAGCCCAGTCCTCAAGCACCGCTTCGAACCAACCGCTGTACTGCCAATCCTGGAGAACTGGCTTGAGGTCCCACGGGGAATATGAGGAATACGAATGGGCGGAGAAAAAAAGCCCTCTCGGCCTTTCGGTGGCCCTTGAAACACACAGCAACATGGTGCCCTACAAAAGGAGGACACATTTTACATGAGTTCAAGGAAAGCAACAAAAAACACGCAAAGACCAGGCCTTCCATAAGACCCCTCATTTTGTGGCCATCAAGAACCAATGGGCCATGAGGGAAATCGGTGGCCCCAGGTCCTCACTGTAGGTGTTGCACCAGCAATACCTCGCCCAAGTCGACCGTTGCGTCAGTCAAGAGTTAGATTCTTTGGAGGCAACCAACCAACCAACCAACCAACCAACCAACCAACCAACCAACCAGCCAACCAACCAACCAACCAACCAACCAGGCAGCCAACCAGCCAACCAGCCAACCAGCCAACCAGCCAACCAGCCAACCAGCCAACCAACCAACCAAGCCAAAGCCAGCCAGCCAGAGCCAGCCAACCAGCCAGCCAACCAGCCAGCCAACCAGCCAGAGCCTGCCAGCTGAAACATTGATTTGGCTTGTTGACTGGAACTCCAACTATATGTGGAAACTGCAGGCCTCCACCCCGAGATCCCAGGCGCACTGCCAGTGGAGGCCCTCCTCCAGCCAGGAGCCAATGCAGCTGGGAAATGCCAGGACGAGGCAAGCCACGAGCGAGGCGCCGTCCGGCTCCGAGACCTGCTCCGGTTCGAGCACCGTGGCGCGTGCAGTGCGGGTGGGCGCATGGGCAAAGGCGCGTGCAGCGCTCGCAGGTGCAGATGCGTGAGCGTGTGCTCTTGCATTCACGTGCAGAGAGGCACGTGCGCATGCTGCTTATGCCGTGGCGTTTGCGCGGGCATGCTGTGTGCTTTCTCCTTGCGCGTTTTCCTCGTGAGCTTCGCCTTGTGCGTGTGCGCGTGCATGCTGTTGGACTGTGGTGGACGTGTGTAGGTGTGGCAAACTTGCAGAGTCCTGATCGAAATATGGTTTTGGAGCAATCACTTATTCGAGTGCAATTTGATCCCTATCGACAAAGCAACTGCCAATACGGTTCGTCCACGGACGACCCCCCAAAACCAAACGCAGCTGTCCTGCGACACAGCTCTTTCCCCGCTCATCCTGATATGAGTGTCCTCATTTTTGACAAAGTGCTTCTTGTGATTGTTTTGAAGGGAAAGCACAAAGGGAAACCACCCATTGTGGGGGGGTCCCTTCTTGAGAGACAATCCTCAAATGCCAGCAGGCCTCCAAGCTTACCGCCGGCGGCTCCAGTGGAGGCACGTGCACCTAGCGGAGTTCCAGTCCAGTGGTGTTTCACGAGCGATGGGAAGCCGAGGTGCCAGGAAGGGAGCCGAGCACCGCGAAAGCCAAGCTGGTTCCTGGCAGTTGCAGGTGGATCTTGAAGCTTGATTGTGTGTTGACAATTCGTGTCCCTGGCTTGCATGCTGATTGGTCATCATCTCTCATGCAACCTACTTTGCTTTGGCTAAAGCAACCATCTGTGCAAGAAACTGCAACAAACAACAGAAACCATCGGCTGCGCCTTGCGCGCCGTCCTCGTCCAGTCGTTCCATGCGGCTATGTTGTCAGGGAAAGCCCTCCTCAGTCAGGGAAGCAAAATAACAGGTCCACTTTCTGCATTCTGATCAGCAGGTCAACTGAAAACCATGCCCATAACCCCAATGTTCCTCTGAATTTCCCCCCTTTGCCGCGTTCCCCATTTATTCGCCCCCAAAATGTTTGGCCTCCTTTTGGCTTCCCTCTTTTCGGTTGATTCAAAAGTATCGAAAGCTCTCAGTTCACGAGGTGCAGGCTGCACGGCGCGCAGCTGGACCAGCCCTGAGTCCAGGCTTCGAGGCTGGGGAGGGCCAGGAAAAAGGGGGGGGTGTTGCTTTTGCTTCGCATGTTGACCCTGGAACAACCATTGTCATTTTGGCCAAGGGTTCTTTTGTATTACAGGCGACGCAGTATTCATTCCGCAGCCGTTACAAAAGGAGAGCAGCAGAGCGCCTTACAGGAATAATCCACAGATCACAGGACCAGGGACATCCATTCTCAGTTCCTCCACTATTGCCATATTGGACTCTCTTGCAGAATAGATCCAGAAACCACCACATACATTCTCTACTACCACAAGATACCTGTTGCCTTCTGGGATACGGTTACCCCGACGGTGGGGCTCAGCTTAGCGTGTTTTCATGGAAGCCTATTCAAGTGTTGGCCGATCATCCGGCTACACTGAAGAGACGCTCAACTTATGGATGACCGCCAAGCAGCCGCCATCGTACGACGGAAAAGTCAGCTGGTTTAGATATGAAGAACTTGTAGATGATTGGGTGACCTTCACCACCATCGAGGCATCCAAGAGAGGACCACTCCTCAAGAGCCGTCTCACTGGAGACGCTCACATGTACAAGGCAGTCCTCCAGAATGACCTCTTGCAAGATCCTGACGAAGGAGTCAACTGTTTCAAGAACACGCTGAAGAAGTTCTTCCTGAAAGGGTCGACCAAAGCGTACTTATACAGACTTCTCAGTTTCTTCAGAGTTCCTCATATTCACATCCAAATTTGGGATTCTCTTGATGAGATTGAAGGCAGCCTGGATGGACTTGACGCCCACACATACGGCACAGTCACCAGAGTTCATAGCATCAGCGCAAGACGCCGATGCTAGAAGAACACCAGCAAGCAGCTGGTACACGAGCACCGCCTCCAGATCTGCTGCAAATCGACAATCCAGAAGTACTCAGGCAGTACCTCACCGGCATGCAGACAAGGCACAGGGACGCATTTCCCTCGGCGACAACCTCATAATCCAGCGCAATGTTATTGAGGAAACCACCTACGAGATGATGAAAACGCAGTACCGCGACCTCTTCATCACGACCAGAACATCCATCCAAGATCCATCCATCCGACCTCCCGGAGGAAATCGGAGCAATACCTTCTACATCCTGGAACAAGGAGAATACGAAGGTGAAGAAGGCTTCTGGGTGGAAGACGAAGAAGGACTGGAAGGTTTCATGTCAACCAACGATGAAGAGCCATTTTGGGTATTGGAGGAGAACGATGCGTTCATTGCGAGAAAGGTGTCTGGGCGGAATTTCAGATTCAAGAAGAGAAAAGGAAAAGGAAAATCAACAAGCAACAAGGGCTTCAAACCCTTTTGAAAAGGTAGCTCTGGCGGGAAGGCCAATATGGCCAATGAATATCAGGATCCCTACAACCAGGCATATGGTTATCCATCCTATGCCAATGGCAAAGGAAAAGGCGGACAAGAAAATGGAAAATCAGCCATCGCAGAGAAGACGGAGGAGCAGCCCGCCATCCAGCAGACTGCACCATCCACGGAGCCTACCTATGCCGGTTGGACAGATCAAGATTGGGATCCATCCTGGAATTGGAGTGAAGATGTGGTACTTATTTCATGAGACATCCAGCACAGGACAAGCGATGATGGCATCCATGACGCATATGACGAGCAGCATGAGAAGGACGCCATAAACGAGAAGCTGATGCAGTCCGATACAGTTTCAGAGCAGTCAATGACAGCGACAGCAAAAAAAGCCTTTTGGCAACAAAGCTGATGGCGCCTGTCATCAATCCAACCTGCGCGATCCTGGACAATGGATGTACCAGATCCATGCGCAGCTGGCATGCAATCCAGCGTTTTTCCCAGGCCATCGAAGAAGGACCTCATTTCCTACTCGTGCATCCCGGCCGAGACCAAGTTCACTTTTGCAAATGGAGAGACAGCCAAGGTAAACTGGACCTTGCACCTCAGGTATCATACAACACCTCCATGCAGCACCAACATCGACATCCTTGAACAAGACACTCGTACATGTACATGACCATCGGGCACACACCTCAATGTGACAAGATCACATGTAAGGCTTTTGGCGTGAACCGTCAAGCAGTTCCAGTATCCGGTACAGGACATGCACTCGTCGATCTTGCTGGAGTAGCAAGAGTGAAATCCCACGAAAAGCTCGCCATCAAGGATCGCCATCAAGGGCCTCACCAACTACGTTTACGATGATGACAACAGCATCCATTTCCCTTCGAGGGAACACTCAGAGAGTGAACAAGTCTGTGCATCAAAAGAATCCAAGGCGAAGGAAGAGATAGCGACTCCAAAAACTATTGGTTCTCTCAAGCAGGATCACTGGGTACTCGACAAGAAGAACAAGCAGCTCATCCGCGTGCACATTACGCCTCGCAAGGCGTTGCTCACACCAACGGGAGCAAAGGAGTGTCCAGTTAACCCTGACAACATCAGCCGAGAGCGTACAACGGAAATGATTGATGCATCCGAAGGTGGAGATCCAGAAACCCTTGAAGACAATTGGAGACTTACATCCCAGGCGAACAAACCGTTGATCAACCTGTGGAAAGGTAAGACCATTTTCACCTTCGGGGACGATTCGCTGAAGGACAAAGAATCCGGTTCAGGATCGGCAGCAGACAGGATCATCGACAAGAAGGGCCAGTCGACTATTGAGCCAGATCCTGCAACGCCATCCAAGGAAGAACCCACGTCACTTCCGCTTGCCTTAGGCAGAATTCATCAGCGATTGCCCAAACCAGAAGAGCTGAAAAAGCTCCACCTTCAGCATCATCATATGACTACAGACCGATTTCGATTCAGGACTCGTGCGCTTCACTTGCCAAAATCCATCTACGATCTATTTGACAAGATCAGAGAAGTGAATGTGAAGTTTGCCAAGCAGCAAAACATGCACAATCATGAAGCAAGACGAGTGGACTTCGAGCGGACACATTCGGAGACATGACATTCATTGATCACTGTCAAGTTCCTCTTGGAACTGTTGGAACTGGAGAACATATCACTGTCTTTGTCATCCTGGATGGAGCAACGACACTGCTCACAGCTGAGGCAGTGACAACTACGCAGGAAGCCGAGAACATCACTGTCCTCAGGAACTACGTTGACCAGTACCACCTGCAGCCAAAATCAGTTGTCGGCGATCAGGCATTCATGACGGAGACATGGGAACATTTCTGAATCGAGCTGAATCAGCAGTTCCGTTATTGAAGGCTCAGCTGAACATCATGCTCAAGTCGATTAAGTCGGGCAATGCGCCGGCGACATTGAAGAAAGTGACACACCGACAACTTGTGAAGGCGGCAGCAACTGTCAGAAATCAAACTGTCACCTACGGGGGTGTAACACCTCTGGAGCTCGCGTTCGGACGAAGACCTGCAGGTCTCATCCAACTTGATGTCGCAACACCAACTCAATTGACGATCGAGAGGAATGAGGAAGAGCCCACAGCAATCCGAATCAAGCAGCTATCCAAGCACGCATTCCAAGAGGCTCGTCAATCCGAGGACATCAGAAGAGACCTTGCTCAGAACTTCAGGATGAGCTCCAAACCTCTTCAGGTGAAGGACAAGGTACTTTACAAATCCAAGATTCGTTCCGACGGAAGTAAAGGAGGAATACGGCTAAAGGGAAGAGTCATTTCCTTGGAAGGAGTAATGGTTGGACTTGATCTCGGAACAAGACTCATCAAGGTCAACATGAAAGGATGAAGCCATCCCTCCGGGAAAACCTGGAATTGATCTCTTATTGCCTCATGAGAGGCTCTTCAACCGATTCCAAGAAGAAGGGATCATCCATTCCAACTCCGAAGCCAGCATCCTCACGACCATAACGCATTGCTGGAAAATCAAGCCCCCAGCCTGCAGCATCAAGACCTGCAGAGAACATGTTCGTGGAAGATATGACATCCATTCCTGAGCAAGCACATTGGAATTGTGCACGTAAAGGGAAGATCCACCTTTCTCAAGATCTTTGCAGGGAGTGCCAGATTCAGTCAGCGCTGCGCACTCGCCGGTTTGGAGGTTGGGACACCAGTTGACATCCGCAACGGATTTGACGTAATGACATCCAAGGGACGACACATGGTCATGGAGATCATCAAGGAGCAAGCGCCTGATCTCATTCTCATGGCACCAGTCTGTGGACCATGGTCAAACACGCAGAACATCCAACAAGACCAACAGAAGGTCTGGGAAAAGCGACAGCGCCACATCGCGATGGTTGAGTTCGTGGCATCCATTGCGAATATCAGCTGAAGCACAGAAGATATTTCATCATCGAAAATCCCCAAACATCCAGGATCTGGTATTTGCACGCAGCAACTTTTCTTCAGATCCATCCGTACGGACTGAAAGAGCCGACAAGCAGGTTGATATTCTTCGAAAGGCGATGGCTGCCATCGACAAGGAGTTCAACATGACTAGCAGCAGCACCGCTGTTAGAATCCAGGGCCTCCCGTTCAACAAGAATGTTCCGCCATTAGTCATCAGAGATCGACTAGTCCAGAAGTTTCAGAAGACACTGAAAGAGTACCCTCCGGGGACTGAAATCAACGTTTTCAAACAAGATTCTAATGACTGGCGATGTCAGTACATGTGGAACGGTTGCAAGAAGTTGAGACAATTGTGCATTTCATCCACACAATACGATGCATGCACGGCATACGCCCACACGATTGGCATCGACATGCCTATCAACTCACGTCCGGACGATGCCATCATGGCCTTTTGGCAACCAGATCAGCTGAACAGAATTTGGGTCTTGCCAGCATGTGCAATTGGGAGAGCTACAATCCGAAGACGTGGCATGCAGTGATGTACTCATCAGTCCATCACTCATTCTCAAATGCGCCGGCTATGGGTCCGACGACTTCACCTTGACCTTCTGACACACAGCAGCCACCTGATCAACCGGACCATCCCATGCCTGATCCAAGACCTCCAACTTGACCGGACGAGCACATGTCAGATCCTCCTCCGGATCCTCCAC